ACTTCTCCCACATGAATGGCAGTGATATGCAAGTGGGAGGCCTGGAAGAAGCTCCTGGCTCCTGGCTTCAGACTACTTCGAGTCCTGGTAATTGCAGCCATTTGGGTGTGAGTCAGGGGATGGAAGATTTCTCTCTCTCTCTCTCTCTCTTTTTTTCCCCTAGAACTCTACCTTTCAAAAAATACAGCTGGGTTGTGGAGACAAATTAAGTGACACAGCAAGCTAATCCTTCACCTGCAAGCATTGGTATCGCACATGGGCACAGATTTTTTTTCTGTTCCCCAATGCTGGTCCCTGGAGGAGACTGTTCCAAAATATTTCCATAGAGCTCATGTTTACTGGTACTGAAAACTTCCCTGGATGGCCAATCTCCATGCCAGGAGACAAATGCCCAGAGAGTGCCAGGGCATCGCCCAGCCAGGGAGCCATTCTCTGGAAAGGATATGGTTGACAGTTTGGGTCCCAGGTTCTGCCTCACCTGCCCCTGCCTAGTTGCTTGCTTCACTGCCTGAACTTTCTCTGGCAGCAGGTAGCTGGTGGGAAGGGAGGGTGGAGGGCACCATTTACATGGGGCTTCTTGCTAGGAACTGAAGAAACTGCAAGAGCTGGAACGTCAGCCTGAGAAAAAGCGCGAGCCCCATCAGGAGTCAAAGAAGCCACAGCCACCACCAGCACAGTCACTCTCACCAATGGCACCATCACAGTCACAGCCACCACCCCAGCCAGCGCCACAGCCAGTGCAGCAAAGCACCCAAGACCCTCTGGCTCAGTGCACCCTCAAGCCTAACCTCCAGAAGGATGCCCAGAGGCCAGGCGCCCAGCTTGCTGCTGCAGGGACCCATCAGGCTGGAGGTCAGTCCCACTGCTGGACACCAGCGGATGGAGGGAGAGGTATAGGGCTGGTCTGGAAACCACTCCCTGCCCTTGGGGAGGTGGTAGATAGCATACTGCTTCGTTCTGTGCTCCAGGATCTGCCACCCTCCTTCTAGGACCCTTCTCAGCAATCATCAGCCTCTCTTTAAAACTGCTTTTTTAAAAATATATATATATATTTGCAAGCAAATAGACAGGCTGAATCCTCATCTAATTCAGTCCCCCAAATGCTTGCAGTAGTGGAGGCTGGGCCAGGCAGGAGCTGGAAATGCAATGGAGAGTTTGAGTAACATGGGTGACAGGGACCAACTACTCAGGCCATCTCAGCTGCTTCCCAGGGTGTGCATCAGCAGGAGGAATCACAAAAGTTGGCCCGGGAACCCAGGCACACTAACACAGGACATAGGTGTTTTAAGTAGCATCTTGATCACCAGGCCAGATCTCTTTTCTGTGTCCTTGGCCTTTATTGCCTTGGTGGCCACTCCCTTTGCCAAGCTTGTCTGTGCCCTGCGCCAAGTATGTGCCAGCCCCACCTCCTGGCCCACAGACCTACGTATGGCTAGGAGTGCAGCCCTACTGAGTTCTTATCCTAAAAACTGTTGTGTGAGTTACCGGTGTTTTGTTTTGTTATCAGGTCTCCTAAACCCATGCCAGTGTAGGCCTCCCAAGTACAACGAGTATTCTCGACTCACGGTGAGCCCGAGAGCAAGTCTGGAAGACAGAGATGAGCATGTGTGTGTGTGTGTGTGTGTGTGTGTAGGGGGGAGGTGGGAATCTTTCCTTAGCAAGAGTCAGGAAGCAGGGATGGGGGCGGTGCGGTGACTAGAGTTGATTCTGCCAGGATACGGCCTGTCACTGTATGCTGAGTATAAATTGGAGGGGCTGGAAATGGATTTAGAAAGACAAGTTCTTAAAGAGGCAAAACAAAGGGTCACCCTGAGTGCAGGTACGGGCAGCTGGACTAGGCAGAAGGGAAGACAGGAAGCCACATCACCCATGAGAGAGGGATTTTAACCCTCAGCTGCTACCTCTGTAAAATGGACCAGTCACACCTCCTCCACAGAGGTGTCATGAGGCTGAGTCCGGCAATGAAAGGAGATGGCATCAGAAGCACATAGCACAGGCTGGCTTATCCTAGGCTGTCAGCAGGGAGTGCACCTGTTTGTAAATTTCTTTATGAGTTGAAAGGCAGAATGACAGACAGGCAGGTCACTCTTCTATTCACTGGTTCACTCTATAAATTGCTACTGCAGCTGGGAGCCTGGGACTCCATCAGGATGTCCCATGTGGGTGGCAGGGTGCAAGCACTTGGTCCATCATCCACTGCTTTTGCAGGCATACCGGCAGGGAGCTGGGTAAGGAGAGCAGCTGGGTCCTGAACCCTTGTGTGCGTGTCATCAAGTGGCAGGCTAACTCACTGTGCCACCACACAGGGCTGGGGCAGTGAATCTTCACCAGCATGTAGCAGAGCTGCAAGCTCTGAAGGACACAAAGGCTGTGAAACCGTGGTGCTGGCACGTCTAGGATGGGGCTCGGCTGCTCATTTCCTTCTGGTTCCTCTCACCACAAGGGTTTCACACAATGTCTGGAAACCAGCAGGGCCTAAAATCGCTAACCACCTCGTTTTATTTCCTTTTTCTCTCTCTCTCCCTTCTCAGTCAATCAATTACACACAGCAGTGGTGATCCGGAAATGGCCTCAGAGACCCCACGAGCCATCACCAAAAGGCAGACAAACGGCTGGCCGTACCTGCCTGCTTCCCAGCAATGGCTCTACTCTGAAAGCCATCCAGTCTGGAAGACTAGTTGGGAATAAACTGTCGTTTCTTCTTGGGAAGAATCAAAAGGCCGTTCAGCTGTGGAAGGGGCTGGGGCAGATGAGGGAAAGGCAGCAGGGCGAAGAGGATGCGAGGTGAACGTGGAAGGCAATTCCACGCTTGCTAGAACAGCCAAGGCGAGGACTTTGTCGTGACCTTCCACACCTGCATTTCCTGCTACTGGCCCTCATTCAGCAGGGACAGGTCAAGCGGTGGCTTCAGGTTAATGGCTGACCCTGAGCCCGTGCACCTGGACAACACAGCCCTGGGGAGAAGGATTTGCATTAAACCTTCCGGCTCAGTGCAGTTCTGGTCCACAGGGGGTACTCGGCTGGAGTTCAGAGCAAAGAAGGCTGCAGCCTTGGGTGCAGGACTCCCGGCCCTGGGAAGGGGAGGCGGCTTTCCATCCCAGGTCCTCAAGCCTCTCCCTGCCTGGGACTCTGCATTTCCATCCAGTGGAGAGAACCAAGAAGCTCTGTATACCCAGGTACCTCCCCAGCCCAAGGTGGAAAGGGGAGTGGGTTTTAGGAAGTGATAGTCCTGGCAAGTTCTTGCTTCCCCGGTCCTGAGAAAGGTGGCTATAAGGCGTCTCAGTTACAGTCAGATGGGCGTCACTTCCCAGGAGCCCCTTGGGAGAGAGCTGGGAGAGTGCAGAGCAGATATTGAAGGTAGGAGAGACGTCAGAGGCACCCAATGACAAAAGGAGGGAGACAGCAAGCTTTGGTCAGGGCCACCCAGGAAAAGGACTTGAGAACATAGTATCACTACGTTCAGTAAGCGTTTACCACTTTCCAGATTTAGGAATAGTTTTCACTACTGTTATTTCTACCCTGGTGGTAGGGGCGAGGAATGAAAATCCCTCTGTTAGAATTACTGTGCATCTGTGTGTGGAAAAACATTTCTCAAAGACCGGGATGATACAGTGAGCAGCTGGTCAGCCTGGCCACGGAGCGGTGGTGAAGAACCTCAGTATCAAAATCCCAACCATTTGCTCATGGCTCATTGCTACTAAGAAACTGTGTGAGCTTGCAGGCTAAACGGCCTATGTGACCTTTAGCACTGATGGGCCCCAATTCTTATGAATCAAGGCCCACCTAAGTCTGGTTATCTCACAGGTGGCTCCAAGTAATTAAGTGGGTGCTTACCTTAGTTGCTGGAGGCATGGGCTGTCCAGCCGAGACAGGTAGGGAATGTGTGGTATTTCCCCTCACCTTGCAGGCTATTGTGGACTGCCCCTATAAAAACCCTATGAATGTGCTGTTTGGGGCCACCCTCCGGTAAGGGGTGTTGGTCCTGGCTGGCCGGCTGGTCTGCCAGCTGCCTGTTCTCAACCAAGAACGCAGGCTCTTGGATCGACTTCAGACTCCTGGTGATTTATGGGGATCTCAAAATCTGGGCACAACAGTGGCACTAATGTCCCAATATTGCAGATGGCTCTGAGCTGAACCTCAGCTCACTAGGACTCTGAGCAGACCCAGAACAAAGAATTGTCATTTGAAAACCGTGACCAGGGTCCAGCACAGTAGCCTAGCAGCTGAAGTCCTTACCTTGCACATGCTGAGAACCCATATGGTGCCAGTTCTAATCCCAGCAACCCTCTTTCCCATCCAGCTCCCTGCTTGTGGCTTGGGATGGCCCAAAGCCTTGGGACCCTGCACCTGTGTGGGAGACGCAGAAAAGGCTACTGGTTCCTGGCTTCAGATCGGCTCAGCTCCTTTTGTTGCGGCCACTTAGGGAGAACCAGCAGACAGAGGGTCTGTGTCTCTCTGTGAATCTGCCTTTCCAATAAAAATTAAAAATCTTAATAAAAATGTTTTGAAAAACAAAAAAAAGATTTGAAAGGCAGAGTGCCAGAGTAAGAGGGAGAGAGATTTTCCACCTGCTCTTTCATTCCTCGAAAGGCCCTAACAGCTGGATCTAGGTCAGGTTGAAGTTAGGAGTCAGGAACTGCATCCTGGTCTCCCACATGGGCAGCGGGGGCCCAGGTACTCCAGGCCATCATCCGCCGCCTTCCCAGGCGCTTCACCATGACCAGCATGAGAAGCAGAGCCACTGGCATACGGGATGTTGGTTTCAGTCCCTGGGAATGCAGACGCTGAGAGGCAGCCGCGATGGCTCAGGTGGGCTGGGCTCCTGCCTCCTCCATGAGAGACCTTGCAGCTTCAGCTCAGCCCACCCCAGCCCAGGCTGCTGCGGGGGTTTGGAGAATAAAGCAGCACAAGAGGGAATTCTGTTGCTCTCTGCCTCTCACCTAAATAAATCTAAAAATAAACAAGTCCATTAAAACACAGCCCTTGTCAGTATAAGTTTATTGAACAATATCAATCTTTTGCATTTTCCAACCTATGCACACAGCAGCTCCAGCCAGCACCACCTGTTTGCCCTCGGTCCCCTAGCCAGCTAGTTACCAGCTTCTGTCAGCCCTTCACCCTCTCTCCATTCACCTTGCTTCTCCATTAGTTCTCCCACAAGACATCTACTGTCTCTCTACCTGTTTGAGAAGAACCGAGCCATCTCCAGTGAGCCAATGCCATTCCTGCTGGGCTCAAGAATACATACCCCTCCACTAGGAGGCTGGTTGGAATCTGGGGCTTATCTCGGGTGATAGGGAAGAGAGGGCCTGGCCCCATCTTGGGGATGTGCTGCTCCACACTTACAGGGTCTGCAAGCTTTGCTGAGACACGGACAGCTCCGTCTGTTGGAGACTCTTTTTGGAAGACAGCAGCAGAGCCAGCCATCTGACTTGGCCCTGTCTTCTCATGGAGGCTCAGAGTTGCAGGCTTAGGAGCCTTCCTCTGCCACATCAGGACTTTTAAAAATGATTCTGGTGTTGGCTCTGTCTTTCCTGCTTGGTTCAGCGGGTGGCAGGTGTCTTCCTTCCATTCCCTGCTGCTTTGGTAAAACTGTTTCACAAAAGAGATGCTAACACTGGAGAATAGCCCTGTCTTCCTAGAAACCAGGGACAGCATTAATCAGAAACAACAGAGGGCTTTGATGGGTCTTCCTACCAGATGGGCAGAGGACAAGTGGCCAGAGAAAAGCAGGCTGGCATCATCACCTTGCCAAATGATCAAGCCAGGAGTGCTTTGACTATCCCATCAAAGCTGCTGGCTGTCCCAAGTCACTGCTATCACCTGGGTGGGGGAACTTGATAAGGGTTCATCTTTTAAAAGGCAGAAAACCTGCAGTCTTGTCCATGTTCAGGCAGGAGGAGGGCCAGCCCCAAGGGAGCCTGGCAACCAAGGGACTGAGCACAGAAAGGGCAGGCATGGATCTGGGGCCTTGCAGGCAGCTCAAGACTACAATGCCAGGTCAAGGCTGAGAGGGAGCAGGATCCAACACAGTCATGGATGGAATCTGGGGGATCTGAAACAGTGAAAGTGGTACCCGGAGGTTGCAGGAGGCTTCTGGCTGGCAGTCTCCAGTCTCCTGCTGTGGGCAGCGTGGAGTTCTGGTAGACATCAACCAGGCCTGCATGGAGGGGTCTGGAGCACAGGGACCACAGACAGCTCACAGAGGGTGGGGACCTGGGTGGGATGCCGTGCTGTTTCCCCGGCAGTCCACGTACTCATAGCTCTGGAAGACCAGCTGTTCGGAGTGGCGCAGGTAGGAATAGGTCAGGGTGCCCCTGGGGAGGAAGCAGGTCTTGTTGGTATGTGTGGGAGGAAGAGGAGAGCACCCGCCCTGCTTGGCTATGTGGAGGAGGTCAGCTCCTGGGGACCTCTCCCTGCCCTCCTGTCTGCTCCCCACCCTGCTAAGTCCTTGCATGGGCCATCTCCCCCGTGTTCCTGCAGCTGCCAGACAGCCTGGGGCCCAGGTAGACTGACACAGGGCCAGACTTGCTCTTCCCCACAAGAGGTAACCACAGTGCCTGGAGTCAGCTTGGCTAGAAGTGGAGCCGGGGTGAGAGGGAGGCAGGAAGGACAAGAGGGGATGCACACATTCCAAGTCTACTTACTGGACATGCAAAAGCACGTGGTGCACTTTGATTTTCAGCCAGGTACAGATTTTGCTGAGGGACAGAGTAAGAGAGTGAGAACACTGGGACCATCCTTCACAGGGAACAGCCTTTCAGGGGAGAGGGCAGGTATCGGTTTCCTTGTCTTCTAGATCCCTTCCTTCCCTTCCAGCAGGAGCCCTGAAAACACCATTCCACCCCTTTCCTCACCCCCTAAGGGGAACAGGCTGCCAGGCACTCCAGCTCCTGCCTGCTGGAGCCTCCTTCAACAGCAAAGAAAATGCTCATCTTCCTCAGCCATTCAGACAGAAGCGCCCAAGGTCACCTTGGTAACGATTAACCACATTACAGCCTGGTTTTCAGTCCAATGTACGTCCAAGAGGCTGAGCCCTCACACAGGGCAGCCTTGACCATGAGGGAATGGGCTAAGCTGTGGCTACAGTTTACTGTGTGAGCACTCAGGCAACCTGGCAGGTATGAACAACTTCAAAGAAAGGCAGGAGGCTGGGGAAGAAGAGATCAAGGGGTACTCGGTACTCACTAAGTGTTTTCATCCCAGATCCTGCTGGCTACTGCATAAAACATCTGTCAACCAAATGGGCACATGGTTAGTTCCCCCTTTGGCTGCCCACTTCCCACCACACACATCCATGCACCTGTGAGCAGAGTGGGCCAAGGGGAAGGGGAGTTACCTGTTCACTGGCCAAAGGGCCGATGTGCAGGAGGAGGCTATTGGATACCTGACCTACCACAAGGGACAGGTGCAGAACCTCCGTGGTCAGCTGGGTCACGGTGATGGGGTAGTAGTTGCTATTGGAGATGTTTAAAATATTCTGGGGAGGAAGATGAGGAAAAGGAGGCTTTAAGACTGCCTACTCGTCGAAGAGAAAAGCAGCTATAGAGCTTGGCTTTCAAGCCTGACCCCCTATTCTACCTTCACAGGCCTTATTTGCACACAAATCAGAACTAGGAGCCTCTCAGAGAGGTTTACATGGGTGAGAGGTCACCGCTCAGAGGTTAAGCTGGCTGAGAATCCCACTCAACCCTGCGAGGCTTCTCTCCATTCGCTAGCCTTGAGCACTGTTATTCCCACCCACCCTGGCATTTATTTTTCTGGTCCTGCTTCTGACCCCTCACTGCACACAGTCCCAACCCATCTCTTTTGTTCCTTTCAACACCTTCTAGTGATACAGTGCTACAGGCTGAGCTGCAACACCAGGTGAAGATTATAGGGGAGCTGTGTCCCTGGGAGGTTGGGGCAGGGACTCGGAGCCGAGGGCACCCACCCACCGTGATGTTGAGGTGGATGTCAGCCTTGTCCACAGCCACCGTGGAGGAGTTGAGGCCTGCAGGCTGCACAGAGATGGATCGAGGGAAGAGGAAGAAGATGATGCAGGAGGTAATTAGCAGGCAGATGAGCACCGCCAGGAACACGGAGAGCTTCCTGTGGCAAAGCGAGACCGGGGCCGAGGAGTGAGCTCAGAACTCTCGGGGCCTTGCAGAGGTGGTCCCAACACTGCTCTCCAGACACAGGGTGGCCCCCGCACACACACACTCAACAAACCCACACTTCACTCCCCCAGACATGTCCCAGAGCAAGTAGGAAGACAAGACTAAGCAACAGGCAGCCTGGCCTCATTCCCAGCTCTGTTCCCACCGACTTTATCATGCTGAGCAGCCTGCTCAGCCTCCCTACGCCTCAATTTCCTTGTCCATAAAATGAGGCTAACTGTCCCTGCCTCACAGAATTCTCCTATGAGCCGTAATGTGAAAATACATTAACCATAGATCCTAGCACATAGCAAAATCTTGGTGAATGTGAGCTATTGTCATCAGAAGAAATAAGTCCACATGAACTATCAGAGTTCTGCATTTTCTCTCCTGAGAAGAGATCAAGCAGGTCCAAAGTGCCACAGCAAGGAAGCCCTTACGAAGATCATTTTGTCCAACCAACAAGAGTCAGGGTCACTTGCTCTCCACCTCTTAGAGCCAAGAGGTTTCCTTGGAGAGGGAGTTATGTACCAGGGAGTAGTAAAGTTCCGGTAAGGACATCAAGTGATCCTCAGGGGACATCTGCTGTATCCAGTGCTACTGACACCTCTCTCAAGTGTTATCTGACTTCTGACTGACACGTAACTGTATTCAAGGAGAGCACCGTGATGTTCCCATACATGCACACACTGTATATGATCAAATCAAGGGAAAGTGGATATCTGTTATAGCACCCCCTGCAGGATTTCCTAGGAAAATCTGTAGAAACAGGGAACTACTATGTGTGAGCTGGGGGAGACCCACCAGTGGAGTAGTCCCCAAGGTCGATGGCCCATAGAGCTGGGGGAGGAAGAGGAGCTTACGTGTGCCTGGGCTTTAGCCGCTGGTCCCCGTAAGGGATGAGGGCCACCAGCTGCTTCTCCAGCTCTGTTGAGAGAAGATGGGTCAGTGGGAGGGTCAGGAAGTAGCCATGCCACATGCTTCCTGTACCAGCCTGCCCCAAAGCCCCTCCAGCCCAGGCAGCAGTGTCAGCCCTCTGCCACACAGCAGAATGGGCAGCACCAAAGTGCCTCCTGGAGGATGCCCAACCACTTGGGTGGAAGTGAGATTTTTCATGAGCCAGTGTGAAGACTCTGAAAGTCACCAGGTAATGCTGCTTCTTTGGAGAAGTAATCTGTAACTTCTTGAATGCACAGTGTGGTTCAGGCAGTGGCTGGAGCCCCTACTTCCCCACACCACTGCGGACAACGAGGGTATTTCAGAAATGCAGGGGCAAAAATAGAAGTGCAAGACAGGTTTATGTGGACTCAATTTTGAAATCCACACAGTTCCTTTATAGTACATGTTTTCTACAAACTTTTTTTATTTATCTGTTTGAAAGGAAGAGAGACAGAGATGCCATTTACTGTTCGGTGCTCAAATGCCCACAGTAGCAGGGCTGGGGCAGGCTTCAGCCTGGACCTCAGTCCAGGTCACATGGAAACTAAGTGCTTGAGCCATCGCCTGCTGCCTCCCAGGATGTGTGCTGGCAAGAGGCTGGACCTGGAGTTGGGATTTGAACCCAGGCATTCTGACACGGAATGCAGGCATTCTAAGTAGGGTATTAACCTTTGTGCCAAACACACCCCTAGAAACTCTTTGAAGATCTTGTATAGGTAGGGCAGGAGAAGAGAGGGATGGCTAGCTCTTCCCCGACCAACCCGAGGCTGGGAAGCCCAGAGCTAGACGCTCCAACCCCATTCAAAGAAACTCAGAGATATGTCCCGCAGTAGCTGGCAGAGCGCTTTTGTGTGTGTGGATCACAGTTCATTTCCAGAACACTGGACCACTCACTCACCTTGGGGGATCTCCCCATGCCCTTGGCAGGTAGGACAAGTCACAAAACCCACAGCAGCAGCGCCTTCACGAGGCACACAAGGACAAGATGACTTGCTGCTAGCAGTGCTGGAGTAGCTGGCAGCCTTGACACCCACGGCTGTGTCGGGGTGTAGGAGCAACTTCTTCTCATCCTCCTGCTGAAAGCCTGGCTGGGAGAACACCTCGCCCATGGCTCAGGGGGAACTTTCTGCAAAGAGAAAGACCAAAGGTAGCACTGACACCAGAAGTAACCTTGGCTTTAGAGTTCTCAAGATTGGCAAGGAGTTCAACGAGTTAAGCAATCTCAAGTCTTGGTGGGACTCAGTGCGTTTCAGCTCAATCCGCCTACAAAAGGGTCAACAGCAGAACAGCATAAGTTATTTCACTTTAAGGGACTCCTCCCAAAGTTGCTGAACTATATCTCTTGGAAGTTGGATAAGGTTGGGAGGGTGAGGGGCTGGAAAAGCTGCCGTTAGGGTGCCCTCTACTTGGTGTGCAAGGGCCTGGGTGGCTGCTGGCTTAATAAGAAGACAGGATTTCCTCAAATAAGGAGACAGGAGGCTCAAAGTCCCAGGTGTGGCCATGTCCGTTCTTAAAGGTAGTCCGGGAGAAAGCACCTCATTTTCCCAGGCAGACAGAAAGCAGGCCTGGGGGAAGGGGAACTGTCTTCACTAGGGAAGAGACAAGCTAAAACTGGACTCCAGACTGGTGGCAGAACTGGTTGGGCAGGGTGAGGAGCACTCAGCTCCTCCGCTGTAACCCGGAAGCCTCACCTGCTTCAGCAGCGCGATCCGGATTTCTTCCAGGTGAGGATCTGCAGAGTTTGGGACAGGAGGGCGAACGTCCGTCCGCACTGGAGCAAAGCCGGGAGCCAGGGTCTCTCCAGATGGCCGAGCTGCTTCCCCTTGCTCGGGAGCTCAGCCATGGGTCCGACAGGGTGGATGATAGGGAAAAGGTGGGGGCGACACTGAGGGCATTCCTAGTCCCGCCAGACACCCAGAGGACCGTTAGGCAAGCCTGAATCCCGCGCACACTTGTGCGTCGAGCAAGGAAGCTGGAACGTCTCCGGGTTCGTCTCCGGAAATGAAGGCGAAAAGGGTTGGGGAGAGCCTTACCCGGCAGATGGCAGCGGCGGAAACCACTGCGGGCTGAATCAGCTAAATCGCAGGAGCTGGAGCCGCGTCCTCACCGCAAGCTTTGACGGGGGCCTCGGGACGCTCCGCCCCTTCCCCCTGCGGGCCCGCCCCTCGACCCCGGCTGTGGCCGGTTTCCCCAAAGGAGCAAGCAGCCCAGGTAGGAGTTTCAAACATTTTCCAACACTCTTTAACTGGTTATGTACAGGCACAATGGGGCAGTGGCCGCCTGAGACCACGAGCCCTCCTGGACCCGCACTGGTCAAGACAGGCCCCGCCCGAAGTGGACCCAATGACACACATCCTGCCCTTCTCTCCCCGAGAAACCCGATATAAAACGGTCTAAATTATGCACACACAGCCTGGTTGGCTTACATTATAAATCCGAAGAATTCTGGTTTATTAAGTAGCAGCCAAGAATCACAACATAAATGAACATCGTAGGGCTAATGGTTTATTAAAATCACCATTTGTCATCAATACCAACCGTGGTCAATAATACTATTTCAACTCTCCCTTCTTTGCGCTGGGGTTCAGACTCTTCTGGAAGTCACGTTCATGAATACCATTTCTAGCGGCATTAACCTTTTCCTTCACCTGAGCCCAAGACTCCATCTACACCTGGGCCCTAAGCAGCCAGCCCTTTCCCACTTGCGCTGAACTGTTTCAGGAAGTTGACCTTCATCCAGACTTCGCAAAACTCCCAGCCCCCCATTCCTGCTCCAGGCTCTCCGGGGCTGGGCTCTTCGGAACGGATCTGGAACACTCCAGAAGCCATGGGCCTGCCCTGTGCCTCGCATGCTCACTTGCTTACTCCTCACGCTTGTGGAGGTTGTGGCAGGAGCCTGCTTGCCCTTCCCTTCCCCAATGTACTGTAAAATAGGATTTGCTCTGACATGAAGCAAAAAAGGTAACTGTTAAAATTTACTTTCCCTTTAAGTAACATTTTTCCCCCTCTTCTCTATAGGATTAGCAAAATATTTCATGACTACCTACTTAAAAAGTTTTCCTTAAATAAACATGTATGTAAAATTGCTCTAAGAGACACTGCTCCACGGGTGCTGGTGGGCTAACTCATTAGCACGCGTTCCCCTCCTCTCAGCCATGGCAGGTGGTACCCTCAGATGCACCGTAGTTCAGACGACAACGGTGCCAATGTCTAGGTCTTGCAGAAAACAACTTCCCTCCTGAGAAAGGAAGGCTAGAGATATTGTGTCATGCGCTGGCTGTCATCTCAATGGCATGTAACTAGGAGGCTACAGGTAGGTGACAGAACTTGTGAGAAAAAGACTCAAACTTTTAAGGTTAATTTGAAAACTGACACCAGATGCTTCCATATAAAATACCCACATTAATCAAAGAAAGCACACTAACTTCAGTACAAGCAGAGGGAAAAATGGGTTCTACAGAAGTGATACTGTCCAATGCGCTAAATTGGAGGAGTTTTATGCAAATCAATTTAAAAACTCTTTCTACTATTCATTCAATGTCTAAAGCAAAAATTTAAGTTCTGGTATTTGATTTACTCCAAAAAATACTGTAACAGGTTTTGTCCTGATAATTTAACAATGGGTCTTGTTTAGATTCACCAGATTCAGAAACAAGCAAGGCTTCTACCCACATCCCCAGTGACAGAAGGAAGATGGTCCATGAGCAGCAGAAAGTCATTTAATGCAAGGTCAGTCCTCAGTAGCGGTGGCTGTACCAGTCATTGTTGTTGACCTGAAGGAGTTCTGTCACAACCTGCAGGATATTGTAATTGTGTTTCTTCAACAGCCTGAGGTTCAGCTGCCGGTCACAGAATCCCATTTCAAAGAGATGGGCCATCAGGGCTGCAGTCTGATCTTCAGAAACGATTGGCTGTGTGGAGACAAGAAAAGCACATTTTCCGGAGGTCTTTATCGTGTACATTTTTATTATTTGGTGGCTTGAACTGTGGTGCAGCAGGCTGAGCCACAATCTGCAACACTGCCACCCCCCATGGCTGCTCCGTTTCTGACACAGCTCCCTGCCAACGAGCCTGGGATGGCAGAAGACTGCCCAAGTCCTTCCGGGAGTGAACCAGCAGTCTCCCTCTCCCTCTCTATGTAACTCTGCCTTTCAAATAAATCAATCTTAGTTTAAAATCAAAGTTTTACTGTCTTTTTTGAGTCTTTCTGGTCTAAATTTGCTTTTATTCTGTACGAAACTCAAAAAGAGTCAGGCATAAAACTGGTCACAAACTATCCTGAGTAGTCTTATTAACCTTTTGGTTTTCTCCCTGTAACACAGAAATGGTCCAGGCAAGGAGAAGTTAACATCTACTTACTACCCTTTCTGGGCCAAGCCCTGTGGCGGACACATCATCTTCCTAAATCCTCTTAACTACCCCCTCGCCCTTCTTTAAAATTTTATTTGAAAGATACACTTTACAGAGAAAAAGAAACAAGAGAGCAGGATCTTCCATCCACCGACACTCCCCATGTGGCCACAACGGTCAGAGCTAAGCTGATTTGAAGCTGGTGCCAGCAGCTTCTTCTGGATCTCTCCTGTGGGTGCAGGGGCTCAAACACTTGAGGCACTCTCTACTGTTTTCCCAGGGCATCAGCTGGATGGGAAATGGAGCAGCCAGGATATGAACTGGCGCCCATACGGGATGCAGGCACTAGCAGCAGACTGACCTGCTTTACCATAATGCCAGCCCCCATCCCATTAAAAAACAAACAAACAACGGCAACAACAAAACTCCAGCTGTGATGTGGGTGGAGTCTCTGCCTAAGACGCTTTCCTCTAAGTTTTTGCAGCCCTCCTTCCTTCTCAGTGGCTGCTTCTGGCCATCCCTTTTGCGTGGACAACCTGAATCAATCATGTGGTTGCTTGCTGTAACTAGCACGGAGCCATTCAAACTTTGATCACAAGATGAAATGTCTCCCCTGTGATACAGATGCTATGCTTCAAAAACGTCAGAGAAAATGGAATTTAAAAACTTTACTTTGTTGCAAATTTTTAAAAAAATTCAAGCATTTTCTTTTCTTTAGGATGTATTAAGAAGACTTTTTTTAAAAATTAATTACATTGCACTATGTGACACAGTTTTATAGGTACAGGGATTCCCCCCACTCCTCTCCAAACCCTCCCCGCCTAAAATTTAAGCATTTTCAAAGATTTTTTTTTTTTAAAGATCCACTGCATTCTTAACACCTTTACTGGACATGCCCCAAACTCAACATTATCTAAAATTGAACTCATTGTCTTTCCTCACTAAAATATATCCTTCTATCTGCAGATACTCTGTTTTTTAAAGAATTTTTTTTAAATTCATTTTTTATTGGAAAGGCAGATTTACAGAGAGAAGGAAATACAGAAAGATCTTCCATCCGCTGGTTCATTCCCCAAGTAGCCGTAATAGCTTGAGTTGAGCCAACCTGAAGCCAGGAGCCAAGAGCTTTTTCTTTTTTTTTAAGATTTATTTTTATTATTTTTTAATTGGAAAGACGGATATACAGAGAGGAGATACAGAGAGGAAGATCTTCCGTCTGATGATTCACTCCCCAAGTGACCACAACGGCCAATGCTATGCTGATCCGAAGCCAGGAGCCTCTTCCGGGTCTCCCACGCGGGTGCAGGGTCCCAAAGCTTTGGGCTGTCCTCCACTGCTTTCCCAGGCCACAGGCAGGGAGCTGGAAGGGAAGCGGGGCTGCCGGGATAGAACCGGCGCCCATATGCGATCCCGGTTGTGCAAGGCGAGGACCTTAACCACTTGCGCAGCTGTGCTTGGGCCCAAGAGCTTTTTCTGAATCTCACACGCAGGTGCTGGGTCCCAAGGCTTTGGGCCGTCCTTAGCTGCTTTTTCCAGGCCACAAACACGGAGTTGGATAGGAAGTGGGGCAGCCAGGACACAAACCAGTGCCCATATGGGATCTAGGCATGCGCAAGACAAGGACTTTAGCCACTAGGCTATCATGCCGGGCCCCACATACTCTTAATAAATGCTAGTACTGACTGCGTGGGCCAGAAACTTGAGGTTTATCCTTCAAGTACTGCCATTTCTATTAACTTGTCTACCTTTTTCTTCTACTTTATCAAATCATAAAAAAATCTATTCTGTTTGAAAGTTAAAGAGTCAAAGAGGGCCCGGAGTCATAGTGTAATGGTTAAGGTTCTCGCCTTGAATGCGCCAGGGTCCCATATGGGTGCCGTTCTAATCCCGGGAGCTCTACTTCCCATCCAGCTCCCTGCTTGTGGCCTGGGAGAAGCAGTCGAGGACGGCCCAAAGCCTTGGGACCCTGCACCCGTGTGGGATACCCGGAAGAAGTTCCTGGATCCTGGCTTCGGATCGGCGCAGTACCGGCTGTTGCGGTCACTTTGGGGAGTGAATCATCGGACAGATGATCTTCCTCTCTGTCTCTACTCCTCTCTGTATATCTGACTTTGTAATAAAAATAAATCTTTAAAAAAAAAAAAGAGAGATTATCCTGATCTGCTTGTTCACTTTCCAAATGCCTAAAACAAGTAGGATGGACGTTAGCCAGGGACTCCAGCCACGTAACTGGCAGAGACCCAATGACTCAGGATGTCACCCGCCTCCCAGCTCCTAGCTCCCAGGGGAGCCTCAGGAGGAAACTGAAATTGCAAGTAGGTCTGGGACTTGATAGCGGATGCAGGTGTCCCAGGTGGCATTTAAACTGCTGAGTCAAATGAGCACCCTCCTAAGAATTTCTTTACCAGCCCCACCAGCCTCCACACTGTGACAGAGATCTTGCTAAAAAACAAATCTGATTGTATTAATCAGTTCTTTAAAATCCTGCCTGTACTGTGAATACCTATTTACCTCGCTAGCTTCCCAACAGGAGTTATCTTTCACATCATCTTGCAGAGCCAGCACCTGGAGATTGTTCCCGTCTCTATATTTTAGGTCCTCCTCTCATTCCTTCAATAACTTGTCTAAAGTCATACAGTTAGAATGTGGAGGAGCTGTGTTCTAATCCGAGACTAAATCTTAAGTTCTGGCTCTTTCCACAATGCCATGTTACTTTACAACCCAGAGAGATGCCATCTATTTCACTGGTGACTTGGAGATGAGGCTCCATAAAATGGAGTACATACTGACCTGGGCAGTGACGGGAGGCCCAGCAAACAGGGCCTTGTAGGCAGAAGCAGCAACCGACAGAGCCCCCTTCACCAGTCCTCCAGCAATGCTGCTCCCGTGCTGGTGCCTACAGAGGAAATCCACATTATCACCTGAACAAAATGCAAACCATTATCTTCTTACAAGATAATCTGGCTTCTAGTCCTTGAGAAGAAAATATTTCCTTCAAGAATTAAAAAAAAAAAAAAATCCATGTAAAAGACAACACAATTGTTTCACCTCATTTTCACAGCTACAAATCTTGGTTTGATGTACAGCCCAGTTCCACTAGTGCAGAGAATGCAGTACTGCGGTAAGCCACTGTTCTGGTGCGCATGCCCATCTCAGTGCTGGCTGGAAGCCGGGATACTGTGGCATTCTAGGGTACCGACTGTCTGTCTGCTCACCTCACACCTCAGAGAAAAGACCTTGCAAAGGCAATGTGAGGACACTGCTGAGGTGACTGGGAGCAGGAAGACAGGTGTGTCTAGGACCCACACTGGGCTTGGCCTGCATGCTTTTGGCCTGGTACTAAGGCGAGGTGAATCACAGGGTACTCCTTTCTTGTCTGGAATGTGAATGCTTTTAAACATCAGCCGGGACCTTGTGTTCATTGTTGCTCCAAAGCTTTTAAGGTGGAGAAAAAAACAAACAAAAAAACACCTAGCAGGAAACAAGGGCTCTTCCCTGCTGAGATGGGCACATGCTTCAAGAGGCTCTCTGAAGCAGAAGCAGCTCTGCAGTTTCCACCCGCGTCAGAAGAAGAGACTGCACAAGGTCGTTACCTTGAGTGGTCATAGCTCTTCTGTCTGCCGTTTACAAGTCCTGATGAGCCTCTGGGCTCTAAAAGCAAAAGAGCTGTTGGTTAGATGCAGAATCCACAAGCGTCTACTGCTTCCTAACTCACAGTGGGGCTGCCAGAGGCAGGTGGGAACCAGATCACAGGTTTGAAGCACTTTCAACTTTTTAAAAAGCATATGCAAGCTCTGTGGGTGTTGAAGTGATAAGGGGAAAAACCATCCAGAACTGTTTACTGACTCAAAAAAGATAACTCAATAACCCGAGCTCACTGTCCTTCAGGTGCAGTGTTGTAGGGAATCATTAGAAGTGACTTGAGGGTCTACACACAACTTCACAATGCTACTATCTTGATTTTGCAGATAAGAAAACAAACCCACGGGTATCATACACTGGCTGAACTGCTGCTGCAAGGTCAGACCGGAAAAGAGGAGCCAGAGCTGGGACCACCTGGGTGCTCCAGCCCCAAACCTGTGCTCTTTCCATTATAGCACAATGCCTAGCTCTAGGAGGGCTCATTTCATAAATATTTAATTGTAGAACAGAAATACGAGTTTGAGGGAAGAATGCAGGGAGAGTGAAAAGGAAGGTTTCTACCAGCTGCCAAGAACTGCAAAAATGAGCAGGCTGTTTATACCTGGGTTCCGTTAGAAAGCAGCAGGGAAAGGAAATGAGGCTGAGGCTGCTCCTTACCTCCTTGGATCTCCTCAGGGGCAGGAGAGGCTGCTGGGATGGTAACTGGTGAATCTACTCCTAGGCAACCATGATGCTGTACACAGGCGGTGCTCCTTGGAGAAAGACACAAATTTAGAGTGAGTTAAAAAGGAGTCTGCAGCCACAGTGGAGAAACAAGGAAGTATAGCAGAGCAGTGTCAACTTCCACAGAGGCTTCACCTGTCTCACGGCCCAGGAACAATCAGAACGCTGTGTCCCATGTGCCCTTCCCCCTCAACCACAGTCAAACTACAAATACTGGCTTCTGCCTAGTGGTTCCCCCTCTCCAGGTCAAGCGTTGCTGATGAAGGGAGAAGTTTAAATCATTTTCTGGAGAGCACTGATTCAGACAGACCCAGCACAGAACTGAAAACAGCTTGAATCTGATTTTGTAATGTATTTTTTCCATAAAGGAGTTAACTTTCTAATTATAATTAATTATAATTAACTTTCTAATGTTTGGGTTAATCTTTGAATTGAGCTGTCTTTACACCTATGAATCATCAGGAGAAGGGTCCAAGGATGTTTTAAAACTGGCTCAAAAGTAAGCAGAGTCTAGAATTAAGGTTGACTAAAATAAGTATTTCTTTAACTTCAGAATCTATAAATACAAATACTAGAAAGTAGAAATTTCCCCCCTAAATTCAGAGTGCACCAAGGGAAACAGCACCTTCCCAAGCTGCTGAAAACATAGTTTTGAGACTGAACTGGTTCCCTCACTCTTTACTTCATCACAGCTGAATGGGTCTGGATGTTACCTGGGCAGTGGTGGTGGCAACCCCACCACCTCTGGGATCAGGGGCACTGTTTCCAGAGTCTGTGAGGTCACGAGGATGTCAGTGATGGGATGCTCCTGTGGCTGGTTCTCCTCCTCAGGGAGTGTCTTTCCACCCTCGACCCCAGCCTCGCCTTCAGCCCCGCGCTCGAGGCCTGGCTGGGACAGTGCAGAGCTGTACATGGAGTCCCCCAGCGGGCGGCTGGTGTCAAAACACTCCGGCAGGATGATGATGTAATCCTCTGAAGAAGCAGAGGATTGACTCTGAACTTCATCTTGGAGCTCATCTTCTTCCTCCTCTTCCCCAACTTCTTCCTCAGCAATGTGGACAATTTCCTCCTTCTCGTCTCCAAGTAGTCCCTCTTCAGGCAAGGCCAATTTCACTACAGTATGAAAGAACCAATTTTAAAGTAGATGCTAAAAGGAGCTCCCAGTGCTATCCCTACTTAGAAAAGCTTTGTTAATCAAGAGCTAGAACTATGAACAGTCAGGAAAGGAAAGAAGAGGGAAAGGTCATTGCTGGAACCACAGTTGTATTCTAAGTTTGAAGATTAAGCAAAACTAAAGTTCAACAAAATGAGGTAGGCAAAACACCAAGGCTCCCAAGAAGAAGTATGAATCTTCTAACAAGGTGGCTCAGCTGGGTTAGCCAGCAGCACCTGCCAGTGAGAGCTCAGAATGGGTATGGGCTGGTCTGAGCTAAGCTGTATCACCTGACAGTAAATGCTCAGACTGGGGCCAGGCCATGCCAGACAGGGCCACAGCATATGCTGGCAAAGGCAAGACCAGCAGCTGGGAGTGGGCCTAGTAGGGGAATTTCACTACTTCCACAGGTGAGTATGAGAGCTGAGACTTGGGGCAGGGATGCAACATCCTTCAGTGTGCACGTAGACTAGGTCTGGGCTAGCCAGGCTAGGCTAAGCTACTGCACCCACTGGCATATGAGACAGCCAGGGTGAGTGGCAAGCCACCTACGCTAGGATAGCACTTGGGATTGGGTGCAAATCATGTAGGCTGGATTGTAGCATGCCCTGGCAAGCGCCAAGATCCAGGGCTGGGAGTGGGCCTAACAGGGGAACCGTGGGCACTCCCTTGCTAGGCTGCAGTTTCAGCTGGTTGAGTACAGGAGCCACTGGGGGCAGGCCAGGCTGGACAAGATAGCAGTACCAAGCATACATATGGACCAGGTCTGGGAGTGGATTGGGCTGAACTAAGTTGCAGCACTCATTGGTGTGCATGACAGCCAGGTGTAATGCAGGACAGTCTGCGCAAAAACTGAGACTGGGAGCAGGCCTGGTGTTACAGAGTATCACCTCAACTAGGCTGCAGCACCCACTCACTCACTGGTGTGAGGATCAGGCCTGTGGTGGGTTGGGTTGGGAGTTGGTTCATGTGAGAGAGGGAGCTGGGGGCAGGATTGACAAGACCAGTATGTGTGTTGCCCGATGCAAGTGACATACTGAATGCGATCCTGCACTAGCTGATGCACACAAGAGTCAAACCTGAGGTCACCCCAAGGAAGGTTTCGTGGGGGATTCTCCAAACAAACTGCTGGACTCACACCCTGGCCACAGGGAAAATCACAGCATATGTGGTTTGACTTTCAAGTGTAAATATTGGGATTGGGCCTCCTCAATTGCCGATGCCCATGCAGTAGACACAGCATGCCCAGATGCACATGGGGGATATGATCGCCAGTTCATCTAACCTTCTCAGAGGATGGAAAGCGAAACAGACTGGACAACTGTCCTGGCCACGCTTTGTGTCTGGGTCTGTGGCTGCACTGAGGTGGAATTAGTCAGCCAATAGACCTTAAGAAGATTTTCTCAACCCGGTACAATGAAGCAAACAACTTAAAACTATCAACAGCACTAAAGTGGTACCCTCAGAACATTTCCCCCCCATGGGGGTCTCTAAGGCACCATCAAATGACTGTGGTGCTGATGTAGTTTGATCGTAAGGAGCAGTCCCCTTCTCTGCCACACTTCAGACACACAGAAAAAAAAAAAAAAAGAAACACGTAAACATGTATTCTACCCACCTTCCTCCATACTTCGACTATCCCAACCCTAATCAGAAGCCGATGTGAGTGCGTATCCCTCTCAATTGTGAACAATATTAAGGATAAAAATAAAAAAATTAAATAAACCAAAAAAACCAAGGTGGCTTAATTCCTTCTTCTCTCCACAGGATAGTTAACACACTTACACAGAGTTTAAATAAAAATTTATATACTAGCTCAAAAGGCTACATAAAAAAATTTCTTTAGATTTCCCCATAGATATGCACATATATATATGTATATATTTAAAGATTTACTTATTTTGAAAGTCAGAGAGAGAGAGGGAAAGACGGAGGGATTTTCCATCAGCTGGTTCACTTCCCAGATGGTCAAGGGCCAGTGCTGGGCCAAGCCAAAACTAGGAGCTTCATCCAGGCCTCCCACTTGTGTAGGAAGGGGTCCAAATGCTTGGGTCACTTGCTGCTGCTGTTTCCATTCCATCAGCAGGGAGCTAGATCAAAAGCAGAGCAGCAGAGACTCACACTGGAGCCAACATGCAATGCCAGTGTTGCAGGTGGAGGCTTCACCCAGTATGCCACAATGCTGGCTATCTCCCTGTATTTTTTCAGTTCTCAAAATATATGGCGCTGGTTCTACCCCTCTGATATTTACAGATTTGTGTTAAGAGGTGATTAGCATATCAGAATTTTTTTTCTTCCAATCCTGTCTGAAACTGGCCCAATGCATATTAGAGTTTAATCTTGAGAAACATCATTTGGTCCTCCTCCTTCTCCCTTCTATTTCCTGGACTGTTGACCTTGGAGAAAACAGACGACTCCACTGCCCTGAGAATCGCTGCAGAGGAGCTCCAGCAGCTCCAGGGCGCCTCCTGTAGAACACAGGCAATGCAGCTGGCCACAGTCTGCAATGAAGCTCTAATGTGGCCCTTAATGATCAGGGCATATATACAGAGACGAGGGGAATGTCCAGCCTCTGGGCTAAATTAATTTGGTGTGACCCTGCCAAGGAAACTGCAGGTGGGGGGAGTTTTTGGGTCCCTGCTGCCCAAATGGGAGACCAGGATGGAACTCCAGGCCCCTGGCTTTGGCCTGGCACAGCCTAGGCCATGGTGGCCACCTGTGGAGTGAACCAGAAGATGGAACACTTTTTTCTCACAAATGTCAGTGAACACAAGCCTGCTAGCTACCCAGGCCTGGCAGCCCTAAGTCAGGTGCCACTCTGCTAGGTGGGAGCAATGAAGGACACTCACACTGCAAGGGCTTCTGTCTACAGGGCGGGCTGTGGTCTGGCGCAGCATCCAAGGTGAGGGACCGGATGACAGTCTCACACACAAACTGGGTCCCACTCAGGTCTTCCTCTGCTTCTTCTACTGAAGCAATGTTCTCCAACTTCCTCTTGGTGGACACTGTGGGATCTGAAAGAGACGTGCACCTTGTCTGTGCTCCCAGTTGAAGAGTGTTCAGCAGTCAGTGCTCAAGGTGCAGCAAAGCAGGGAACAACCGCTATATGTGCCATGAGATGGTGGCGGGGCAGGGAGGATCCTCAAAACGGGGACTCCAAGGGAAAGAAACCCAGTGATGTGCAAAGCTCAGGTCAGTAAGGAGCAGACAGGAAAGGCGTGGTGCAGAACGGGAACATGCAAATGCTTTATAAATTGTTAACCCCTTACCAGGAAGTGCTTTAAGTCCCGCCCCTTCACTCTCTTCCTGTATCTGCCCCAAGCCTGGCTTCTCTATTAAAGGATTGTCATGTGGCAGAGGAGACATGCAGGGAGTCATATCTGGAGAAGGAAGACAGGAGAACCATCAACTTAGAGGAAGCATCCACAGACAGGCTCCAGAAGCAGTAGGCCCAGGCTTCGGAACCCCTGCAGAGCTCAAATACTCTGGGATGCTTCCACACCCACTAGAAAGGGTTTCTCCACACCACCAGGTGTGCAGTCAGCTCAGACAGATCCTGCAAGGCAGGAAGGATCCTAAATACTGTGGCCAAGACACAAAACACACACAAAAAAAAGATCAAAAGGAGGAAAACAGAAAAGGTCCTTTTCTGGTGGGGAAGTCTTACATAACCTTGTCCCACTGCTTCTGACAGACAACAGGGAACAAAGGGAAGAAGACCCGTGGGTGCAGCTGAACACGCTGGGAGGAATTCTCTGCTGTTTTCTCAGAATAAAGCACAAACTGCTACAGTCTAGGCTGTAGTACTTCTGTGCTTGTTAACAAGCAAGCGAACCGAGTGACATTCTTACCTACAGGGGTGTTGTGGGGCACTCGCTCCAACTCTTGAACAATGTTTATATCCAACAGTTCAAAGGACAGCAAGTCCTGGGGGAATAAACAAACGAAACAAAACAAAACAAAATAAATAAATAAATAAAAGATAGGTGCTGGGGGTTTGCAGTACACACTGCAGCATGCTCTGTCCTCACAGGATCCTACGGGCTACCTCTACAGCACCCGGGATTCAACTCAGTTTGAATTCATGCCTCTCCCTAGCCAAGTACACACACAAGTGGAATTCAGTGGGAACCAGTTCTGCAAATGACTGAATGGCAGCAGAGAGAAAATGCAGGGTGAAGGTGAACTAGACAGGCTGAAGGGAAGCTGTAGAGAAGCACAGGACAAGGTTCCCAATGCAAAGAGGAAACCTTAGCTTAGAAATCTGTTCCCTGTACATATGAAAGTCATGAAACAGGTCCTCTTTATAGATATTTTAAAAATGCTTCCATGGCTGATTTCTTCAATAAGGTCAAGACTCGTTCCCGGAAAGCTCTTTCTGACCCCCGTCCTCAAGGTGCTGAATCTGCCACCTGAGCAGTCAGAAGGTCCACAGAGGGGATGTACAGCTCCCTCTCGCTGGCAACATTCTTTGCCTTCTGTGTGATGCATGGTCCTGTCCCTTCTGTCTGTTCTGTCGCTGAGTCGAGCTGACTTTCTTCTTTACTCAGAAGAAAAGCTTCCTACAGACACAAACCATTGGGACACATTTTAGACTCAAGAGGGAAACTGACAATAGACCCCTCCAAACATAAGGTGCTGCTGCATCTTCACATTTTTTATTTATTGTTTTTAAATGTTGACTTATTTATTCACTCCCCAATGACTACAATGGCTGACACTGTTTCAGGAGCCAGGAACTCATCTGGTTCTCCCACATAAGTGGCGGGGCCCCATGCATGTGGGTCATCTTCTCCTGCTCTCCTAGGTACATTGGCAGAGAGCTAGATGGGAAATGGAGCAGCTAGGACTTAAACCGCTCCTCATATGGGATACCAACACTGCAGGCCATGGCTTAACGCATTGTACCACAATGCCAGCCCTTGAGAAAGAGATCTTTTTCTAGTTCACTCTTAAAATGTCTGTAAAAGTGAGGGCTGAGTCAGGCTGATGTCAGAAGCCAGAACTCAATTCTGGTCTTCCACATGGGTGGCAGCGAGTCACATTCTGTTGCTCTCCAGAATGCATTAGCAGGAAGCTAGACAGGAAGAGGGAGCAGTTCAAATTCAAACCCAAGAGCATTTTAAAGCAGATGTGAGCAACCCAAGCAGCAGTTTAACCCTCTGCACTACCATGTCAGTCCCTTCTACATATTAAAAAACAAACAAACGAACAAACAAAAAAACAACTTTGCTCTACTTGTATGAAGAATAGCAAAGACGGATCCACAATATTTAATTTGTTTGGATAATGGTTACAGATAAATAGATACACCCCACATACATGTGCCAATACGTTTTGCATAAAGTTCACAATGAGTACATTAATCCTATCTTATCTACACTCTAGTTCCTCTACATTTTATTTTGATATTTTAGATTTACAGAAAAGTCACAATAATCACAATATAGAGTTCATATATTTGTTCAGCTTTCCCCAATGAGAACAACTTAAATTATAGAATATAAAACTTCAGCAGTAAACAGTAAACAGTATGAATACTGAGAAATAACATCACAAAAACAAACAAACAAACAAGAAAACCAAATAAAACAATAAAAAAAACACCCAAAAGCCTCCTGGAGGCTGGCACTGTGGGCTGGCAGTGGAGGCCGCCTTCTGCAATGCCACATCGAAGTGCTGGCTGCTCAGCTCTCCATTGATGTGGCTGCAGAAGCACCGGATGGGCCCAGGGCCATAACCAGGACAGCCTGCCCTTCTTTCCCGTGTGTGGTACACAGTATGGTGAAAGCCATACTGCTGCCACCAAATCCTAAGCATTTTTTAAATGAAGCCCTGGATGACCAGGTCAGATAGCAGCATATAACTAAGTCCCGGGGAGGACAAGGCAACCTTTCATGGTTTCTGAAAGAATGACTGTAGCAGGGGATGTTGTAGCTAACTCTGGGTGTGTGCCTTCAGGTACGAGGCCACAACCTGTCAACACTCACCTCCTGCTGGCAGCTGAGCTCAGCGGCTTTGCCCGTGCACACCAAGCCCCGTTCAGTGGTATCAGGGCTCTCTGTAGAAGGGAAAGGGTCCACTATGATACTGCACCAGACCCGTGGTCCAAACTGCTGGCCTTTGTGAGAAAGACGCCAGTGGGAAGTGTACATTCCCTCTAGGGCTGGGGCAATGAATTCCACAGACACAACTCCGACATGGCCAGCCTTCAGGCAGGGAACTAAAACATCCTTGTTTTCTGCAGAGGCCAAAGTCAGGTTTCCCCACATGAACTTGAGCTGAAAAGAACCAGAGATGGTGGTCAGCTAAATGCTTGGTCAACTCCCTCCTCCCTCCTCTTCACATTCTGTGGGGGAAAAATACCTTTGTGTCTGTGCTCCACTTTACATTTCCTGTATTTTTCATCCTCCAGTGTTTAATAAACTTGGTTCCTGGCTGAAGGTGAGTTCCATCAGGCAGATTCTCATCCACAAAGGCTGCACTGAGTGTTGGCATCACAGGGGCACAGGGCTGCAAGGGGAGCCTGAACAGAAAGGCAGATGCTTGGTCACTTGCTATTGGATGTAAGGGTTTCTGAGTATCCCACCCCACGACTAGAGATGATTACCAACATAGCTGCTTTTCCTGGCAGCCCTGTTTCCCATCTAGCACCCTGCATGTGTCCTGGAAAAGCAGTTGAGGATGGCCCAAAGCCTTGGGACCCTGCACCCACGTGGGAGACCTGGAGGAAGTTCCTGGCTCCTGGCTTCAGATCGGTGCAGCACTGGCTGTTGTGGTCACTTGGGGAGTGAATCATTGGATGGAAGATATTTCTATGTCTCTTCTTCTCTCTGTATATCTGACTTAGTAGTGAAAATAAATCTTTAAAAAAATAATACTAATGACACTTAACTGCTTAAACCTCCACTGTAAATGCTGTCATCCCATTTGGGTGCTAGTTCATGTCCTAGCTGCTCCACTTCTCATCAGGCTCTCTGCTTCTGGCCTGGGAAAGCAGAATATGGTCTTTGCACCTGCATGGGAGACCTGGAAGAAGTTCCTGGCTTTAGTTTGGCTCAGCTCCACAACTGTGGCCATGTGGGAAGTGAACCAGAGGAAGGAAGTTCTTTGTCTTTCCTCCCTATAAATCTGCCTTAAACTTTATTCTTCAAAGATTTATTTTTTTTTTATCAGAAATTTGGATATACAGAGAGGAGGAGAGACAGGAAGTAAGTTCTTCCATCTAATGGTTCACTCCTTAAGCAGCCATAATGGCCAGAGCTGCACTGATCTAAAGCCAGGAGCTCAGACTTTCTTCCAGGACTCCCACACACAGGAGCAGGGTCCCAAGACTTTGCGCTGTCCTCGACTGTTTTCCCAGGCCACAAGCAGGGAGCTGCATAGGAAGCAGGGCGGCCGGGATATGAACTGCACCAATATAGGATCCTGGTGTGGTCAAGGCAAGGAATTTAGCCACTTGGCTACCACACTGGGCCCGGATTTACTTATTTTTATTGGAAAGGCAGATTTACAAAGATAAGGAGACAGGGAGAGAAAGATCTTCCATCCACTGGTTTTTCCTTAAGTGGCCATAACAGATGGAGTTAAGCTGACCCAAAGCCAAGGAGTCAGGAGCTTCTTCCAGGTCTCCCACACAGGGATAGGGTCCCAAGGCTTTGGGCTGTCCTCTAGTGCTTTCCCAGAACACATGCAGGGTGCTGGAATGGCAAGTGGAGAAGCAGGGAAACAAAATGATGCCGGAGCAGGCAAGGTAAGATTTAGCCACTGAGCCATTGTGCTAGGCCCAAAAAGAAAAAAAAAATAATAATATCAACAAAACAGAATGGATATATCCTAAGTGAAAAAGTCATTGTGAGGATAATTAAAAGGTTCCATAAATATAAAAAAATTAGAGAGTAAGATCCTCTTAAAACATTTGCTTGAGGGCTGGTTCTATGGTACAAAAAGTTAAACCACCTCTTGCAAGGCTGGCATCCTGGAGCAGAGCACTGGTTCCAGTTCAGGGTGCTCTGCTTCTGCTGCAGCCCCCCGTACCGTGCCTGGGAAGGAGTGGGAATGATGGCAAGTACTAAGGAGACCTGGAGTTCAAGACCCCCGGCTTTCGCCTGACCCAGCCCCGGCCACTGCAGCCACTTGGGCAGTGAACTAGTGAATGGGAAGATCTACCAATGTCTGCGCTGTCACTCTACTTTTCAAATAAATAAATCTTTATAAAGAAAACCTAAAAAATTCCTTTTGTATCAGATCCAGACTGCCTCCACTGAACAGCTGTTATAGCTAAGAAATTCTGAGCCTTACTGGATTTGCCTTTTTGAAGGATGCAACAAAGCCAGAGTCACACCACCCTTTAGTATAGCTGTGATCAGAGAACAGACTGTTTGACGGGAAGGGGGGGTTGGGTGTTAGTGGCTGCCAATAAACTAAGTCTATAGTTTTCGTAAACTGGACCTCAAGTCTTGGCACCCACCCCAGCCCTGGGCTTACATCAAGGGGTGAGACTGCAACAAGTTCTCAGGTCGGCCCAGAGGAGACTTGGGGCTTTGGAGTCCATGGATTGAGTTCCACAGATGAATCTTCCTGTGGAGTTTAAGCTGCTTTTTCAGTTCCTTGACTTCTGCTTTACGCTGTTTCTTCTCAGCTCGCAATCTTTGCTTTTCTGCTTTAAGGAAGTTCTTATCTACTTGTTTCTGAAGCCTGTAAGACAACAATTGAAATTCTCAAAAACAAATAAAAAAAAATCACAAATTTTGAAGTTATCTGGAGCCACCACCAGAGTCGGCTCCTATTTTAGCTTCATAATTCCTGTTACAGTTGTCATCTCTACTTCATTAGCTTTGGATAATGACCTTCGTTTTGAACATCCACTGAAGATGGGCAGAACTGAGAAGGCTAGCTGTAGTGCTGTGACACTACACATTGTCACCAGTGGCTTATGTCTCCAAGACCAACAGGCCAACCAGCAGCCTCGTCTCACCTGACTTGTTCCAGGGCGGCAGGAAGCCGAGGAGTAGAACACTTTGAGTGGGAGAGTGGTTCAGAGGAACTCACAACAGGTCTCCTCAACTTCAGCAGGACATGGTTAGTGTCATGGGCGTATGACCCTGCTTCACAGTCTTCGCAGATGTTATAGGACGGGCAGAGGCTGTGGGGAAGCAAAGGCCAGGGCAGAATGGCAGAGCAGGAAGTACCTGAGCGGGGAGCTATCAGACCAGAGTCCTCCACTGGCTTCATATCCCCTTGGTAGTAAGCCTAGGATGTCACCCAACCATGGCATGTTTCATTAATAAGGTTAGCAACACTTAACCTTGTACCTATTTCCAAGGGCGATCCAAAATATGAGAACATTTGGAACAAATGAGGAGTTACTCTTATTGACACAATTTAGTTTTCTGGAGTATGATGTTGCCTAGTTCTGTTAATACAAATGTGTAACTGAATACAAAAATCTGAACAGTTGCCCCTTAAATCACACAATGGCTTCTGTTTCCACTCCAGAGCTACTAGACCCAATGCTCCGAGGCAGAGCATGCACGTGGTCTCCCGCCACCTATCCAAGGGCCACAAAGGTCACTGTGGGAAGGTTTGCCAACACCCAGCTGGCCGCATGTCCCTGCTTACCTACACTGGTAGCGCACACCAATGATCCTTCTTTGGCAGTTACTGCAAGCCATATGCCAGCTGAACTGATTTTCTGGCAAAAATGGTGTTTCCTCTGAAACAGGTATTGAGACTTCTGACGAACAGGAAGTCAAGGAAGGGTTCTGAAGGACAAGCTTCTCATACAATCTCTGCTCAAGCTTCTCAACTGTTTCTTTAACCACTTGTTCTCTGAACTAGAAGGTAGAACAGAAAGTTGGGGACACAATAAAGTAACAGCTACTGAATGAGCACACAGAGATATAGCGGAAGAAGGCCTATCCCTCCCATACATAAACTGATTCAAAAAAGTGATCAAGAAGTAAGTTCTTCCCCTTACATATTCAGAACCCCATTCCCTTTCTCTCAGAGCCTTATCACAAAGGCTAAGTCCTTGCCTGGAGTGGCTCTAAGTTTGGAAGTAATCAACTGCCACTCTTCGCCTGCAACTGTGGCAGCAGCCACCTGGATGCTATCACACTCCAACTGTGCCAACTGTGCTGCTATAAAACCCAAACATGAGAGAACACTCACAGACTCCAGGTAGCTTGTGAACCAGTCTGGGGGCTTGTCTTCAGGCTGGTGGGCATCGCACGGAGCAAGCGGAAATGACTGTAAGAAAACACAATCTAAGATTTTGTAGATTCCTTTTTCCATTTAGAGTAACTGCCCTGAAGTATACTATTTTCAGGTGTCTCCTGTCAAGTTACACAAACTTATGGTTAAAAAAGGGTCACAGGGCCCGGCGTGGTGGCGCAAGTGGTTAAAGGTCCTCGCCTTGCACGCCCGGGATCCCATATGGGCGCCGGTTCTAATCCCGGCAGCCCTGCTTCCCTTCCAGCTCCCTGCCTGTGGCCTGGGAAAGCAGTTGAGGACGGCCCAAAGCCTTGGGACCCTGCACCCGCGTGGGAGACCCGGAAGAGGCTCCTGGCTTCGGATCGGCATAGTATCGGCCCGTTGCGCTCACTGGGGGAGTGAATCATCGGAAGGAAGAGCTTCCTCTCTGTCTCTCCTCTCTGTATATCCGCCTTTCCAATAAAAAAATAATAAAAATAAATCTTAAAACAAAACAACAACAACAAAAAAGGGTCACAGTATGAGAGAATATAAAGCCAAAACAGCTTCTATGCTATCCTATTCTCTAGAGGTAAACCACTGTTATCCGACTTGAACATCGGGACAAGAACAGTCACAGTTACTCCTAAATCTTTAATGATGCGCACACTTAGATCAAAGACAGATGTAGAAATAGGAAACTGGGTAGAGATGTCCATCCCATTCTCACCTGTGCTGCAGGAGTCTCCGAGTTCTTCGTGTCTGATCCCAAGACTCTGAGCAGGGAAGGACGATGTGCAAGCGGCTTCTTTCCCGCCTGGGGAACTACTCGTTTTTCTGCCACGACTGGGAGGGAGGTTTCCTCCACAACATGGTATCCCTCGTGGACTTGCATTTGCAGTTGATTTCCCTGCTTCACCGCCATCTGAGAGTGTGGTGTGAAACAGAAATGCCCTGGGTGAGTCTGCTTCCAAACGTTTCAAAGAGAGAGACCCAGCAGAAGAGTGGGGAGAGTCAAGCTGGAATGTGATTTGCTTGCTTTATCACAGCAAACCACATAACATAAACAAACATGAATACCTAGTCTGCTGAGCTTTATTATTAAAGCCATGGAAGTAGATAATTAGCACAGCACTTTACTAGGTGAGTTTTTTTTTTTAATATATTAATTGGGTTGCTATTTTCCTGTCTAATTTGTTCTTATATCAGACTCTATCGTCCAAAAAACTCATTCCCAGACTACCAGAACTGGAGAAACTAAAAAGTTATATCCTATAACTGTTTGCTTTTCCACTAAAAATAGGAAAGTAACTGTAAATGGTCAAGTTTTTTTTTTTGTTTGCTTTTCGGAAGAGCACCTTCCCATTCTGAGAAGACACTAGCATGCATCATTCATCACAGGCTCCCAATACCACATGTCACTGTACTTCCTGATTCCTCTTCATGGCTAATAAAATTCAGATTTAAATTTTATAGGGAACATTTAAAACATTACTTGGAAATGAGATAACCATTACCTTAAGTGCTTCTTCATACTCTCCTGAAAGAACAAAAATACACACTGTGATATTTCATCACCTCCATAGATCCTATTAAGTATAGTCAATCCTAAAGATCTAATGCACAGACTACAGTTAGTGCGTTACATTCACTACATTTGCTAAGATAGTGGATTAGAGCTACTCCTGCTCTAGGGGGCTAAAGGGGCAGTGGGAACTATTTAAGATAACATCTTGGGCCTGGAGTGAAAGCCTAGTGGCTAAAGCCCTTGCCTTGTATGCACCGGGATCCCATATGGGCACCAGTTCTAATCCTGGCAGTCCCACTTCCTATCCACCTCCCTGTTTGTGGCCTGGGAAAGCAGTCGAGGACGGCCCAAAGCCTTGGGACCCTATGCCCGTGTGGGAGATGCAGAAGAGGCTCTGGACTCCTGGGTTTGGACTGGCTCAGCTCTAGGCTGTTGCGGCTGCTTGGGGAGCAAATTATTGGATGGAAGATCTTCCTTTCTGTCCTCCCCTCTACATACCTGATTTTACATAAATCTTAAAAAAAAAAATTTCTTAGCCTGAAGTTAGTGCTATTGCACACTGGGTTGGCCTGCCACTGGTGATACACACCCCATATCCAAGTGGTGGTTCAAGTCCCAGTGCTGTGGTTCCCACGAGCTTCCTGCCAATATACCTGCTAATGCAGTATTTGTGTTCCTGTTACCCTCGTGGGAGACCCAGATGGCAACCAGATGGTAACAAAACAGAAGATATCTTCCTGTTTTGAATAAATCAACATTTTTAAAAGACTTCAAAGGCAGAGCAATAAATATGTCTACTGGTTCACTCCCAAAATGACTGCAACACTTGGGGCAGGGCCAGGCGGAACCTGGAAGCCAGAAGTTTTTTCCTGGGTCTTCCAAGTGGGTAGCAGGTACCCAAACACTTGGGTCATCTTGTATTGCTTTTTTCAGCCATTAGCAGGAAGCTAGATCAGAAACGGAGTGGCAAAGCTCAACTGGGTGCCAGTGTTACAGGCTGCAGGCAGTGGCTTTATCAGTTACACCACAATGCCAACCCCAAATGAAGAAATCTTAAAAAAATTTCTTAGTTTATCCTACAGTCCTTATATATAAACAGCTACTATCTTTTTGCTGTCAAACTCCCTTCATACCCCATGACAAAGAGAAGCTACCACAAATCAGTTTCCCCCAACTTAAATTCCTTTCTTCACACAGCGTGTTATGAAACTCAGAGCTCAAGGAATTTAGTGTCAATATTTGTATAAAACATAATCTTTATGCAAAAATGAACCCTAAGCTATGCATAACCAGTCATCTGGAACACTACCTGTTTATAAGCGAATATTAACATACACACATACCAAGTCAGAGATAAATATGTCTAACTGGGAGACATATTATTTTCTGAGAATTTACATAAAAGCCGAGCTTGGGGTTTATTCAAAGGAACTGCTCTAGCTATAAGCCTGCAATCCAGTAAAATTCTCATATGTAATTAAATGCCTATTAATGAATAATTAATGTAATATCAGTTTTCAGAATATCAAATTCTACTCTAAAATGAAAATTGCAATGAGGTTTGAGCATAATTGGAAATGCCCTGTTGAAGAGACTGAAGGTTTCCAGTAAAGGTGAGTATCTTCTCAGGGACACACCTTGACTGTTGATAGACACCTGTAAAAGGAAAGAAGCAACAATACATTATAAGCATCTTGTCAATCAAGTATACTGTCATTAGGACTCACTTCATAGGCTAGAGGCAAAATCTTAGGTCAGGGGAGTTCAGGTTTCCCAGTATGACCTACTAATCATGAACACCGTTTGTGACAATTGTTGCTTTACTTCTGTGTCTGCCTTTATTTCAGGTACATTAAGGAACACCATAACACAGTGGTGAGGGTAGTGGCTGAAGTAGTACCTTTCAAGCAGCTTTTGTGGGGCCAGTGCCATGGTGTAGTAAGCCGAGCAACCACCTGTGGTGCTACATGCATCCCATATGCGTGCCGGTTTGAGTCCCAGCTGCTCCACTTTGATCCAGTTCCCTGTTTATAGTCTGGAAAAGCAATGGAGCATGGCCCAAATGCCTGGGCCCCTGCACTCACATAGGAAACCAAGAAAACACCAATAATATAAAAGGTGGGCAGCCAGTGCTGTGACATAGCACCAGTTTAAGAGTTCCCTGCTTATGGCCTAGGAAAGCAGTGGAGGATAGCTCAAGCCCTTGGGCCCCTGCAACAATATGGGAGACCTAGAAGAAGCTCCTGGCTTTGGACTGGCTGAGCTCCAGCCACTGTGGCCATGTGGGGAGTGAACAGAGCACGGAAGATCTTCCTCTCTATCTTTCCTCCTCTCTGTATATCTACCTTTCAAATAAAACAAATATTTAATTTAAAAAAGCCCCAATGAATGTGAAAATAAAAAGCTTTTGTATCTCATAGGTAAAACAGATGCTCTTACTGTACCAGATACCTAATATCACTTTGCACTATAACACTTAAAGGTTATTCCTTATTAACAAATTAAGTGGCAGATTGTGGTACATCTGAAATTAAGATATTTACAAATTTAAAAAGATATCTCTAAGATATTCTGCAATATTGTTTTCCTATTTCCCAATTCTATTTCAAATCCTACAAGTCATTTCAGAATGTACAATTATCAATTATAGCACTCCTTATCCAAAATGCTTGGGTACAGAAGTGCTATGGATTTTGGTATATATACAGTGAGATTTCTTCAGGTATAAGACTGAAGCCTAAACACAAAAGTCCTTTATGCTTCATATATGCCTCATATACATGGCCCAAAGCTAAATTCCCACAGTTTCCATAGCACACCTACATTTTGACTGCAACCTGTCATGTGAATGTGGAATTGTCCAATGTGGCACCACAGCAGTGAGCAAAAAGTGTTGGGCTGGACAGCATTTCAGTTTTCAGATTTTTTTTTTTAAAGATTTATTTTATTTTCATTACAAAGTCAGATATACAGATTCACTCCCCAAGTAAGCGCAACGGCCGGTGTTGTGCCGATCCAAAGCCAGGAACCAGGAACCTCTTCTGGGTCTCTAGCACGGGTGCAGGGTCCCAAGGCTTTGGGCCGTCCTCGACTGCTTTTCCAGGCCACAAGCAGGGAGGTGGATGGGAAGTGGAGCTGCCAGGATTAGAACCGGTGCCCATATGGGATCCCGCTGCGTTCAAGGCGAGGACTTAAGCCGCTAGGCCATGATGCCAGGCTCAGTTTTCAGATTTTTGAGCAGGGATGTTCAACCTGCACTTCTTCCTTTCATGTGAGAGGCAGAGAACTCTCATTGAACTATCACTGCTGCTTCCAGGGTCTGCACTGGCTGGAGGGGGGAGTCAGGTATGTCTGCTGGGATTCTCAGTGGAAGCCCTTGGCTAAATGGTCTCTCTCCAACCTATACACTGAAGCTGCTGCATGCAGCAGCCACGACTCTGACCTCTTCCAGCTCTGCATTCTCCCAGAGAAGCAAGACCCCTATACTGAGCGGGCGCCAAAACATTTTTTTACCTCTTCATCTTCCTCATCCAGGTATTTTATCTGAATAGTGTTCAGGTCAAATGAAACTTTCACCTGTAAAGAAAATATATTATGTATGATTATGACATAAAACATTTCTAACAGAAATCTAGAAGTCATTAAAAAACAAAGATGGGCACATTTCAAAGACTTTATAGGGCTATAAAATACCAGTACTCAAAAGACATGTGCAAAAATATTTACGATTCTTAACATAGGGTTAATATGTGCAATACAGAGCATCAACAAAGCTGCTAATAAGATCAATAACCCAGGTAAAATGGTAAAAAAATGTACAGAAAATTCGCAGACGAGAAAAGCAGAACACCCAAAAAATATACAAAAGCATGTTCAACCTGGCTGGTAGTCAGAACAACACAAACTCAAGCAAATAAGTTCATTTTATCAGAATAATAAAAAGTTTTAAAGCCTGAACACACATATAAAAATATTCAACCTCTCCGGTCATTAAGAACAATGCATCTTAGAGCCATAAGATGCCATCTTACCGGAAGAGCTCACCAATTTTTAAAGCTAATTTAAAAAATTCAGAGATCATCATATATTGCAAGAGTTCCTACAACTGCCGCAATACACGGAACAGTATCTTTCACACTATAAAGGACATGCCTTATGACCTGCAATCTCATCGCTGGATAGGATAAAGTTTATCCTATACAACAATGCCTAAGTTACTTGAGGAGAGCAATATCTTTTGTAGTTTATTTTACAGTGGCAAAAAGAAACACAAAAAAATACTGGAAACAATCTGATAAACAAGGGTTTACTGCATCATGGCTCAATAACACCAATAATCCTGTGGACTGAAGTTTTAAGGGGATATTGATTTTTTTCTTTATATCTTCTTGGATTGCTGTTTCTTTAATGGGCTTTATTACTCTTTTGCAATTTAAGTTTTACAATTAAAAAAAAAATACATATCATTGGCTTATTAGAGAAACATATTTGTTTGACTTTCAGATCATTTGACAAATGAGAACCAACTTTCTCAGTAATCATCAATCTAAGATGGTACAAAGAGATATTTTCCAGAAGGAAGAGGACTAATCAGATCGTCTTTTAAGGCCTCTCCACCACTTCTTTTTAGTTACCATGACACATAACCAGGAAAAAGTAGGTTTTTACTAAGTCTCATTAGTTCCACAGTCACAAAAGAAGTAAAACATTCACCACTGTAAACTGAACAAAAATAAAAGGGTACAAAGGGCAAACCAAGAGGAAGAGCATTAGCAAAGAAGCACAGATGAACTGCTGTCTAAGCACCTATGGCATTTTTTCCTGCCGGGTCTGGGCTATCCAACCTCTGACCTGGCAGTACACGCAATGCTGGCTGTGGTGAGAGCTAGGCCTCACCCTTCCTCCTTCACAAGTAATAGCAAATCTGTGCTCAGGCACCAACATCCCCCTGGGGCCTGCCGGGAGAGGCACAATTCCTTACACTGTTCTAAAATTAATAGATTTTCCACATCCTAGCTTACTTTGAAAAAATTATGTGTTTCCTTTCTAAATTGTTCCAGAAGGAACTTGTTCCCTTTCTGGGAATACATCTCCTGGACAAATACTGAACTCTCCCAAAGTCATTCTCCCAAAGTCCTAGAAATGGCAAATATAAAGTCTTAACAGCCATGAAATAATACTGCTAAAAACAGCTAACTCTAGGAAAAATATGTATGCCTCAACCATTGAGAAACAAAACAAAGTTAAGACTCACCATAGCTTCCACATCAGCCCAAGTTGTATTTTCTGGATCAGAAACCAGAAAGCTCTGAGTTTCATTTTTAAAAGTCACATTTAGAGTAACTTGTGGTTCCATGCTGTGGTGCTGGAGTTGATGCAGAGGGTGGGGGACAGAAAGAAAACACATTAGAAAGGGCTCGGACGACTCTTGACAACATTTACTCAAGGAGTACTCGTGAGGACTTGAATACAGGGCACGCTTGGGCGACACACCAGCATACAAGAGAAATGTCCCTGCCCTAAAGGAATTTATGATCTAGTAGGTGGGTTAAGACAAATTTCAAATTTCATTGAGAAGTAGAAATCACTGCAAAAAATATAGACGTCATTGCTAAAACTATGCCATAAAGATTTTTGTCTTTCAACCTGGAATTTTTTTTTTGTAGATAATTTTTATTTTTTTCTATATATTTATTTTTACTGGAAAGGCAGATTCATAGGGAAAAGGAAAAACAAAGAGAAAGATCTTCTGTCCACTGGATCATTCCCCAAGTGGCCTCAATGGCTGGAGCTGAACTGATCTGACGCCAAGAGCCAGGAGCTTCTTCCGGGACTCCCAGGGTCCCAAAGCTTTGGGCTGTCCTCTACTACTTTTGCAGGCCACAAGCAGGGAGCTGGATGGGAAATGAAGCAGCTGCAATAAGAACTGGCACCCATATGGGATCCCAGTGAGTGAAAGGTGAGGACTTTAGTCACTAGGCTATGGCGCTGGATAATTTTTATTTTTTAACTTAAAACAAATTTCAATGTCCAATTTCTTTTACTCCTGCGGTTTTCTTTTGAGACAATCACCACTTCATGTAGTTTCATGACCAGACACATATGTACAATTTGTAAATACAGATATGCATAAATTCTTTTTTTGAAAAGGTGAAGAAATAACAGCAATACATTCAGGGAGAGTGGGCATAGAGGGGAAAGGTGGGAGAGAGATGTTTCTACATCCTCCTATATCCATGTAGAGAAAGGATACCTCACCCTCCAAGCCACAGAGATCTGTGCTTCAGCTGCAAAACTTACTCCTACAGTTAACTGGTACTTCCACACTAAACATAACTCCGCTAGGAATATTTATATTTGACCACATTCACCAGTCATTCAGCAACTATAAAATCCTGAAGGATTTTATGACACTTTATGACTGTTAATTAAAACAAAGAGTTACTAGTAGTAGTAGGAGATAAGAAGATGGATAAGGTAGACAAGGTGTCTGCCCTCACGGACAGGCATTGTATATTTTTCTTGAGGAAGTAGCTTTCGACAACAATGAATCCAAAAATTCAGTGGCCAAAACACTGGCCAAGAAACTACAAAGGGGTGGAAAGCGGTACCTTCCTCCATGTACTGTTTTTTTATAATCTGATGCTTGTTTTTTTCTGAATGGCAAATTTCAATCATGCTCCAAAGTGGAAAGTAATGAAATCACAACGCAGGGCTACCCTCATTTCATCTGCGCCTTTGGCACTCCCTTTCCCCTAATACTAGACTGACCATAATCAAGTAAAATTTTAACCAAATTACAATAATCCAACTTTTTTTAAAAAAAGGGCCATTTGTTATGTTATGCTTAAAGGGTTAATTTGCTATGGTAACTTTTAAATCTTTACACGAGTAAAGAGCATAACATAATAAATCCCTCCGTGCTCACTTCCACGATTACCAATGTAGAAACAGCCTTGTTACACATACACCTTCCCTGGTGGATTATCCTGACATTCATTCTTTCATCTGAAAAGGTACGAGCATGCCCTTCTAAATGATAAGAATAAACAAAACTATACACGACTCCTAAGAGGTTAATAATTCCTTAATAAAAAAATATCTACTCTGGCCTTTTTTTTTGAAATAAAGAATTTTATTTGCCAATGAGCTGTTACATGCTGAATTGGTTTGTTTTTCAATAGGAAAAAGTTTAAGTGGTTTAAAGCTAAATTTAAGTTACATGCCTGCAGACTTATAATCTGTAGCAACAAAGAGCCAGATTCTATTCTAGGAGCAGGAGATAAGAGATGGATGAGATTAAGGCCCCCAAGTTTCCAGTGTCAGAAGGGGAGGCAGCTTGAGCTATGAGCAAGTTAGGAGACCGATTCTCTGGTCTTTATGTAAAACACACCACACCTCAGCTCTCTTTTTTGCCTCACAATGTTATTGTGAGGATCAAGTAAAAATGTGTGTGCAAACTCTTCGCAAACATGTCTGAGTATAGAAATGACTACAGGTAAAGCTGCTGCATGCCTCACCAACACTAGCAGAGCCACTGCAGGCAGTGGGGGAGGAACCAGCGGACGGCAGCTCCATGTTTCTCTGTCAGACTTCAGAACCTTCAAAACAGTGTTTTTATTCACAGTATAATGTACCGCCCTTCGAAATCTCTGAATATCAGGATATATTTTTTTTAATTACTGCAAAGACAGCCACCTCCCCAAATTTTCCTTTGTTGTCTCTATAAATTCCCTGGGACCTTGGAAATGAAGTGAGAGACTGTCTGCCATGAGTGGACATTCCAGAACACATTCTCAGTTCCCAATGTCCAGAACCACATTCCCATACTTCCAAAAGTTTAGAAGAAAATCCATCTTCCTCCCCCTTGCTCAAATTACACCATTAGAAATTAGTTGTTGCTTTGGAGCGCATCCAGCTGCTCTACCACTGGGGAGCCAACAGGAAGTGGCAGATTCTGGTTTAGCTGGGCCACAGCCAGGTCTTCGTAAAGAGCTGCCTATCGCTCTCAGGCCGACATGTGAAAATTCTTCCAGCACGAGTATTAATCTTGAAACTTGGAAACAAACTATGGATTGTTCCAAGCGTCTTTACAGATTTCCCGCGAGCAGTGTCCAGTAGCTGCGGTCCGAGCCTTCCGCCTGCATAACTGGCATTATCAGCTCATGACACTGACTCACCTAAACTTGGCCCTAGTCAGCTTTTCCTCTATGTCAGTTTTTTTTTTTTCAATCTCACAACACAACACAACACAACAAAACAAAACAAAACAAAAAACTCCCTAATGAAGCCAAACTGGGGATGTGAGCTTTGATCGATCATTGTCAACAAGGTATCCGGGCTTTCAATAGTGTGGCCTGAAAACTTGGTGTGTGACCCAAAAGAAAGAACGGTGCGTTTCCAATAACCGAAGTTCCCTGAGATCTCTTTGAGGGAGGCGGCTCAAAAAGAAGAGGACGGGGTGAGGTGGCAGTGCAAGACTTCATTTTCCAGGGACTGCTTCCTAGCACTCCATGTCCCCAACACAGTGTCATCACCCCCGACAGGATTCTTGCCCTTTCCCTTTCCCAGGCCCTCTTCGTACTGGGCAATCACGGCCTGCCATCAGGCGTTCTGAGCCCCGGGCCCTCCATCCCTGCGGTCGTACCCGACCCTTCGCTCCCTCGGAACCCGAACGGCTCCTCTCATCTGGTTCCTGAGAAGATCGGCGGCCCCTGAACAAGGAAAAAGTCTCCCTTCTGTGCAGGGTGCCTCTCCTGAACTTGCCCAAGTCCTCTCAAGGCGACATGACCCCATCGCTAGGTAACCGCGGCCAGCTTGCTTACCAGCTTTCCGCCCCCGGGGGGCGCCTGCGGAGGCCGGTGCAAACACCGTCCGCTGCCACTTCTGTCGCGATCCCTGCGGGCGGAATCTAACATGGCGGACAGAGACAGGGCCTAGTCCCCTGTTTCTCTGAGTTTCCGACAACATGATTGGCTTTGGCCGCTTGTCCCTCAAAAGCCACCACCCCTCTGGATTGGTTGTGCTTGCGCAGGGGGGCGGGGCAGAAGCAACCTGAGCTTCACAACAATAACAAACACGGGGGTCGAGGGGCGGAAGCACGAGTGCGCAGACGCAGGCCCACAGGGCCCGAGTTCCCACAGGTCACTGACCTTACAGGTCGCGAGGCTGGGTGGGAATTGTAGTCTTCCTAGGCCTTGCAGGTTCTTCAGTCGCCGCTCTCAAGATATGTACACATAACATTCCAGTCCAGAGCTGTCGGCGTGCATAACTGTGCGGGGGTCCGAGAGATTCGTGCCCGTCTCCAGGGTAGGAAGCGTTTCTCCGTTAAGACTAGACTTCCCAAGTCACACCATGGCGAAGGCCTTTTGTTCCGCTAGGCATGCTGGAAGTCGTAGTTTCCTTTCCCCTTCTCCTACCAACAATCGTTTTATTTACCTAAACCGGACAGTTCCATGGCGGCAGGAAGGGTGAGGGAATAGGCTGCCTTTGGGCACTCTGGCGCTCATATTGAGGCCTCAGGCAGCCGATTTCAACCCTGGGGCAGCAATGTCTGTGACGTAGCAAGCCGCCTAACAGAAAACTCACGCCTTGGTCCCTCTCTAATTACGTCATTCGGGGCGGGAAGGGCCGGGCTTCTGCGGGGCTGGGCGGGACGCTCGGCTCCTTCCGCCCCGCCCTTCCGCCAACGTGTCCGGACTCTCGGCCTCTGAGAGGCTGGACGGCGGCGGGTTTCCGTGGCGACCGGAAAGCGCGGGAATTACAGATAAGTTGAAAGGGAGACTGCGCGTCCGGAGCTCTTTGGCGCTTTCTGTACCTACTACCGGCCAGGGGGAAGTTTCTCAGCTAACTAGGCCCTAGGGCCCTGCTAGCCCGGACTGCCCCCCCGGGAAATGAAGAGGAATCCAGGAGGGGTCCAGCTGACCACCGGACAGCAGGTGATCGCCTGAAGCAGCGCGAGCCGGGTGTTTCTCGGGCTGGAGGGGGCGGGGCGGAACCCCTCGGACTTTGTGAATCTGAGGTAAATCTGGGGGGAGAGAGACAGTTTGTGGGTCGGGAGGCGCGGGGCGCTGAGGAGAAGGAAAGGGCACCGCGTGTCTCGGGGCGGGGCGGGGGCCGATCCTGGTACTCGGATCTGCTGGTGCCTTGAGGACGGAGGGCACCTTGAGTTAGAAGGTGGGCTGGCAGGTGAGGGGCGGGTCCTTGAAGGAGAAGGGCCCGGAGTGTGTCTGGGAAAGCGGAGTTCAAAATCTGCGAGAACCCTCTGGAGTCAGATCCACAGGCATTTCTGAGAGGAGTGGAGGGGCGTCCGTAGTAATAGATGCTTCCGGCACGTTTGTTCTTGAGGAGTGGGAAATGTTCCCTGGTGTTGGTTTTGTTGTCCTTTCGGACAGTGGTTTTGGTTTTAAGCAAGAAAGTTAATAAATAAGACAGCCCGTTAACCGGAGGAAGCCGAGCTGGCAGCACCCAGCCCGTGAGAACCAGATGTGATTGGTGGAGAATTTTATCAAATGATTTAATTTCGCAAAGCATCTTGTAAACTTTTTTTTTTAAACAGAGGCTTTTCTTGTTAGTTCTATGGGTTGATGTAATTATAAAGTACTCTTAAATTTCTCATTAAAATGATGCTTGAAATTAATAACTTAAGAAAGGTCATTTATAGCTCCTTTAAAATTGTTTACTTATATGTGTGTTTTTGGTTTATGTGTTGATGGCCAATGGAGCAGAAAGAAATGGATTTATCTGGAGTTCATGTGGAAGAAGTACAAAATATCCTGAATGCTATGCAGAAAATCTTAGAGTGTCCCATCTGGTAAGTCAGCAGAAGAGTGTATTGAATTGGAATTATGGCCACTGCAGATGAGTAGAATTGAGTTTATGTAGTAGGGAGAATAAAATATAATGGATCTATTAAGATTAGACTGTTGAAATTACTGTTTTTCTAAACTAAAGATCTTTAAAAACATAAAAGAAAACATTCATCTTTTTTTCTTCACTTTGTCTCGTTGCCTGCTACCCCCAAACCTCCTTAACACACTCATCCTTTACCTTTCCTGACCTTGGGCTGTCTTGATTAGGGACAGGATTCTGGTCTGAATTAACTCTGGCCACAGTGGTAACTTGATATGGATGCAACTAATGAGGGCAAAACAAAGTCCCAAAGAATTGGTAGCCCTTAGTGGATCAGTCCTTTTTGCTGAAAGTAGCCCTGTACATTTAATTAAAGAAGAGGATTGCGACTCAATGTCTTCACAAAATCTTACCGTTTGAAAGAGCCTTTATCTAAGATGAAGAGGGGATTGGACGATTCAGGTTGGCCTTTCAAAAAAAATTGAAGTATAATTTGCATGAAGTGAAATGCAGAGGTCTTGGGGGCTGGCTGCACCCACATGGGAGACCCTGATGAGGCTCCAGGATTCAGCCTGGACCAGCCCTGCCTATTGCAGCCATTGGAGAGTGAACCAGTAAGTACAAGATGTCTCCGTTTCTCCCTTCCTGTCACTCTGCCTTTCAAATTTTTTTTTTTTAATGCAGGGCTCTTTTAAATTTATCAATTGTTTTTTATTGACTTATTTTTTTTAAAAGATTTATTTATTTGTTTGAAAGGCAGGATTACAGTCAGAGCTCTTCCATCCAGTTATTCACTCCCTAAATGGCTGCCATGGTTGGGGCTAGAGCATGCCAGAGCTAGGAGCCTGGTCTCCCATTTGGATGCAAGGGCCCAAGCATTGTCTCATCTTTCATTGCTTTCCCAGGCACAGTGAGGAGCTGGATCAGACAGATCAGAAGATACGGTACCAGCTCCCATTTGGGATACTGGCATTGCAGGTGGACATATAACTTGCTGTGCCACAATGCCGTGCCAAGAAATGCAGAGATCTTAAGTATGCGAGCCAGTGAGCTTCTTTTTTTCTTTAAATATTTATTATATTTTTATTAGAAAGATTTACAGAGAGAAGGAAAGGTCTTCTACCCACTGGTTCACTTCTCAAATGGCTGTAATGGCCAGAGCTGAGCTGATCCAAAGTTGGGAGCTTCCTTGGGATCTCCCACTTGGGTGCAGGGTCCCAAGGATTTGAGCTATCCTCCACTGCTTTCCCGGGCCATTAGCAGGGAGCTGGATGGGAAATGGAGCAGCCAGGACATGTATTAGCACCCGCATGGGATGCTGGAGTTTGTAGTTGGAGGAGTTGTAGTTGGTCTGTTGAGCATCCATACAGGCCTCACATCTTTAGTTGTTTTGTTGTTGTTGTCCTTGTTGCTTTTCTGTGCATTTAAAAGCACTACTCTGGGCCCAACACAATGGTTCAGTTAACTAACCTTCTCCCTTCAAGAGCTGGGATCCTTTTATGGGGTGCCAGTTCCTGTCCTGGCTGCTCCACATCCCATCCAGCTCCCTCCTGTGGCTTTTTCAGTGGACTGTGTCCCAAAGACCTGCATGCTTGGGAGACCCAAAGGAAACTCTTACCTTCAGATCAGCTCAACTTCAGCTATTGCAACCACTTAGGGAAAGAATCAGCAGATGAAAGATCTCCTCTTTCTTTGCCTTTCAAGTACATAATATCTTTTTTTTGAAAGGTGGATTTACAGAGAGATAGATCTTCTTGTATTTACTCTCCCAGTGGCTGCAGAGGCCAGTGCTGAGCTGACCCCAGAGCAGGAGCCAGGAGATTCTTCTGGGTCTCCCCCACATGCAGGGAATATGTATATTACACAGGAGTAGAACCTTGAGTTTGTTTTAGTTACTTCTGTGTTCTGAGTAGACGGAATTTTTACCTGGGGCATGGCAGCCGTTCTTGAAAATTCAGTTGAATGAATTGAGTATAATCAACTACATTGGTTCTTTGATAGTTAAATTAATTTTTCTTTTTTTAATTATTTTATTTTGATTAGGGCACAAAGGCTCAAGGGTTACAGGAAAGTGTGTAAGACCATTGTTTCCACACTAATGTCATTTTTTTTTTTTGTATCTGAGGTAAGGGGAGAAACAAAGGGAGAAGCCCCACCCAGCTTCCCACCCATCTCAGGTCCCTGATGCGGGGCATTGTCGCTGTCCTGAAGTGATGGACTTGGTGCACGGAGCTGATAATAACACGCTTGGACCCTGACTGATGGTCAAAGCCAAAGTTTATTAGTGGCATCAGACTTTATACACTGAGGGTCATATGGGATAAGGGAGGAAGTATTGAGCTCATCAACAAAACCCAGTAACAGTTTCTGTTTTTCTTTAGAACTCCTTTTGTCTTGTATATTCCACCACGTGTTCTCACACACATACTGTCCATCCAACTGTTCTTATACAAATGCTATCGAATCAGGTATACAAAAGGTAGCCACTTCGTTGTTCTCATGCAAATATTATCCAATCAACTGTAATCCTGTGCTCACTGACCTTCTAGGATCACAACGTCCTCCTACAGGGCATGCTCAGAGGGTCCTGCTCAAGCAGTTTTGGTAGTTCAACAGTTCTGAATTGCTGCCAATCTTGCCATCTGTGCACGATGAAATCTCTTCAGAATCCACTGACTGACATAGTCTCTTCATAATTTGGGTTCTGAGATCAGCAGTTCAGTTGGAGGGATCCCCAAAGAAATTTTATCTGAGGTGATCCCAGACCTGATTCTTGTGTGTGCTTGCCAGTACAGGATCTGGCACAGTCCATTGCCCCAGTCAGCTTATGCACATGCTGGTCATTGCAATTGCTGGGTCAGTTCTGTTTCCAGCCCTGTCTTACACACAAACCAGCAGTGTTGCAGTCCAGCCTGATTCTGCCCATCACACACTTGACCCTCAGGCAAACCAGTGGGAGCTGCAGCCTAGTCAGGGTGACTCCCCATAACCCCCACCAGGCCTGCCCCCTACCCTGGTTCCCATGCTTGCCACTATGTACCACAGACTTGTTCAGTCTGTCCCACATCCCATTTAGCTCTCCTACATGTCAATGGGCATTGAAGCCTAGTTCAACCCAACCAGCCCTACTATCCAGTCCACACACATACTGGCAGGTGCTGTTCTGTCTAGCCACCCCTGCCCCAGTCCTGGTTTTCATGCTTTCCAGTGGGAGTGGTAACCCAAGAGGGAGGTGTCCACTATTTCCCTACTAGGCCACTCCCATTCCCAGATTATGCACTCTGGAGTTTCTGGAGTTTAACTTGACAAATTTAGTCTCCAGTGCCAGCCTCTACCAGCTGATGCAGTGGCAAAGCCCAACCAACCCTCACTCACTCTAATTTATGCTTGTACCAGTTGGAACAATCAGCTCAGCCTGGCTTTTCCCTGATCCAGCTCACATGAGGCCCACAGGTGTTGCAGCCCTGCCTGGTCTGGTCTGCCCCCCATCCCAACTCACACTCTCCAGTGGGAGTAGCTGTCTAGCAGGGGAGCCCACATTTCCCCTGCCGGCTTTGCTCCCTCCCTCCCTGGTTCTCACGTGTGCTGTTTGGCCGCTGCCACATCTGGTACGGCTCACCTCACCTTGGCTTTCTGTAATGTGCACTGGTATGTGTTGCTACCAAACTTGGCTGGACCCACACTCTGTTCTGGTGCTCGGATTTGCCAGCAGGTGATGTGAACTGGTTCAGCCTGGTCTGCCCCCAACCTATGCCAAATGTATGCCGGTGGGTATCTTTCTCTGGCCTGGTCTGGGTTGCTCCCTATCATGGTTCTTGCACTCACCTGCAGGGACTGTGTCCCAACAGAGGAGTTTCCCAAGCTCCTCCATCAGAACCTCTCCCTGTGCCAGATCTTGTGCATACTGGTGTGTGCAAATGACAATGTCTAGGAGTGAATAAAATCCAAAACATAAATTGAAATGTTTTTCTAAATAAATGAGGGTCAGTTTAAATAAAGTTTTGTTTGTGTTTTATAGGCTTTGTTATTTCATATTTGGAATCAAGTTGCTAAGAATAAGGACAATGCAAATTTTGTTTTCAGAGAAAGCTCAAGATGTATAGATATCTTCCTTTCCCTTCAGCATTTATGATAAACAAAAGCAATAGCTAACAGATTTACAGCCTCATTTGAAACCACAGTCAGAGAAGTCGGAAACGACATTGTAGGGGGCAAAATTGCTTGTTAAAAAGCACAAAATTTACTCATGATAATTAAAAAGAATAATAAAAAAGTCCTCAAATGTGGCATTAGGACCCATTTATTTTTAATTTCTTTTTTTTAATTTTCTGGGCCTATTTATTTTACATTTCCATGGGATTCAGTCATAAAGATATAATGTTCTTTCTCATTCTGGCAGATTAAACCATCAATTAAAAAACTCCGGCACATAAAAATTAAAGATATTAGAATGAAAGTTAATGTTAAATTTTTATTTTCAGTCAGCAATTATGTTTTTGAGCTTCTGACAGTTCTTTCCTCTGCTGTGATAATTTCTAAACTAAAACTGTTTACACTGGTCATTGTCAAATTTAAACTGACTTATAAGGAACATTATAGGGTGAGAATCATACCTACTTCCCTAATTTATTTTTTCCAGCAGAGCCCAGGATAGCACAGTGTACAATTAAATCTCAAGTGGTACTATAGGACAATTTCTTAGTTTCTTTTAGGTGTATTGGATGAAAATATCTTCTGCTGACCTACTAAGTTTCTGTTGGCCATTATTTCTAATTGATTGTTCGCTGTTCAGCAGTGATGGACTTGGTGCACACGAAGTCTAATAACACGCATGGATACCAGCTGATGTTCAGTAGCCAAATTATGAGCATCAGATTTTTTTTTTTTTTAGATTTATTTATTTTTATTACAAAGCCAGATATACAGAGAGGAAGAGAGATGGAGAGGAAGATCTTCTGTCCGGTGATTCACTCCCCAAGTGACCGCAAGGGCCGGAGCTGAACTGATCTGAAGCCAAGAGCCCTAGAGACTCTTCCAGGTTTCCCACGCAGGAACAGTGCCCAAAGACTTTGGGCCGTCCTCGACTGCTTTCCCAGGCCATAAGCAGGGAGCTGGATGGGAAGTAGAGCTGCCAGGATTAGGACCGGTGTCCAAATTGGATCCCATTGCGTTCAGGGCTCTAACTTTAGCCACTGGGCCATGCCACCTGTCGGAGCATCAGATTTTTAAAAGAGGTTGTCACATATGCATCAGGATGGGGATTGAGGAATTAACATTTCAGTAGCATGAAGCAGTCTTCTAATATACAGTTTGATCCACTAACAGGATCCTTGCCTCCGTTTATTAATTCCTGTTCCCCTGCCTGGGGGAGGAAGTGTCCCTCTTAGATCTGTTATCTAAACCTGTGGGGACTAGGAAATTTCCTTTCTGTTCTTTTCCATATTAACTACTCCTGATAGCTGTGGTTCTTCACTGGCAAAGATTAATCCTTCCAAAAATTGGTATTTCTTTCTAATTTTTTGCATATAGCTGTATAAAATGTTTAATATTCAGAAGAATTGCTAAAATATGTATCCAGGTGGGTAGTAATTTTCAAGCCTAAACCAGCTTTTTTCCTGTTGCTTGCACAAGCTGGAAGTTCAATATGCAGATATGAAGTAGGTTTAAAATACTACTAGGTTGGAAAAGTGTTTAAAATATTTAAGTCACTTTTTTAGTAAACATTTACTGTCGTTCGAACCCAGAGGAGCAATGCTTTAATTTATTTCGTTTTCACTCCTATTCTGTCTTCAGGTTCTTCCTTCAGCCATCATTACCTTTTTATATATTGGAGTTTACATCTGTTCAGAGTTTGTGTTTACAGTGTGTTTGCGTAGCTTGGATTATAATTACCATGTTGAAATATAATTATTGCGGAACTGAGTCAGTGGTGAGAATGAAAGCCATCTGGTATCCTAGCTGAATCCAATTCTCTTTCACTGAGAATTTCCTTGATATCTAGCTTATCTTAGAAATTGTGATTTAGGGACAAATCAGAGTTCTCTTTAAGATTTATTTTATTTCTATTTGAAAGGCAGAGTTACAGAAACAGAATGAGAGAAGTCTTCCACCTACTGGTTCACTCCTCAAACGGCTGCAATGGCCGAGCTGAGCTGATTGGAAGCTGGGAGGATGCGAAGGGCTTGAACCATGCTCTGCTGCTTTCTGTTAACAAGGAGCTGGATCAGAAGTGGAGCAGCTGGGAAAATGAGCCAATGCTCATATGGGATGTCAGTGTCACAGGCAGAGGCTTTGCCAGCTGTGCCACAGCGTAGCCTCAGTGTTCGTTGTCAGGCTTAATTTCCTTTTTTTTTTTTTTTTCAGATGTTGTGTTTCATTGTTTCTGGAAAGTCAGATACACAGAGAAAAGGAGAGACAGAGAGGTAGATCTTCCATCTGTTGATTCACTCCCCAAGCAGTGGCAACATTTAGAGCCAAACCATTCCCAAGCCAGGACCCCAGAGCTTCTTCATGGTTTCCCATGTGGGTGCAGGGTCCCAGGGCTTTGGGCTGTCCTCAACTGCTTTCCCAGGCTACAAGCTGGGAGCTGGATGGGAGCGGGACTGCCGGGATTAGAACTGGTGCCCATATGGGATCTGGCACATGTAAGGCAGGGGCTTTAGCCATTAGGCTACTGTGCCGGGCCCATTGGGTGGATTTTTAAGATTTGCCTTGACTCAGTTATACCAACTTAAAGACAGATTTAGCAAAGAATATGTTTTTAAATAAATCACTATGCCTTATTTATTTTTCTCTTGTTTTTCGCTTCTACTGTATCCTTTAGTCTGGAGTTGATTAAAGAACCTGTTTCCACAAGATGTGACCATATATTTTGCAAGTAAGTATAAATGTTTTTTGTGGTTTATTATTAATAACTTTTGTGCCTTGTTTTTCGTAGTACTGAGAAAGCTCACTGTGCAAGCTTTAGCTTCTACAATTAAGTAACTAAGAAAAATACATTTTTCACTGTGTCTGAGTTGTAGTTTTTGTTTGTTTTAAAGATTTGTTTATTTGGAAGTGAGAGCTTTATCTATATCGAGAGAGATACTCCATCTGTTCATTCACTCCCCATACAGCTGCAACAGCCAGGGATGGGCCAGGCCAAAGCGAGGTCCTTTAAACGAGTATCAGGAACCCGAGCATTCGGGCAGTTACCTGCTACTTCCCAGCAGCATTAGCAAGAGCCGGACTATGTGACTGCATGTGGTGCAGTCAAGGGTCAGTCTAGGCACTCCAATATGGCTGCAGCCATGCCTAAAAGTAACTGATTCACAGCAGTACAATGTCTGACTCTGTTTTTTGTGAGTATTGTAAAATAGAGGGACCCGAATTGGAAATACAGTAGCCAGAGCTGAACCAGCACTCCCATATTGCGGGTCCAAGTTTTAGGCTGCAACTTAGCTTGTTGAGCCATAACATCAGCCTAACTTTTTGTTTTTAAGTGTCTTTTTTTTTTCTTTTTTGTTTTTGTTCTTGAAAAGCATACATTTCTAATTTTAAAAAAATTAGTTGAAAGGCAAAACAACAAAGCAAGCAAACGCTCCTCCTGCTATTTGCTGGTTTGCTTCCTGAATGACTGCAGTGGTTGGGGCTGGGCCAACCAGGGCCAGGAGCCCAGAGCTCACTTTGGGTCCCCTATGTGGCTGGCACAACTGGATCAGAGGTCCTTGTCTTCATTTAAGAAAAGAACTTCAAGGGTCATTGCTGTGGTGTAGCAAGCTAAACCTCTAACTGCAGCACCTGCATCTCTTATGAACACTGCTTCAAGTCTTGGCGGCTTCACTTCCAAACCAGCCTCATGCTTGTGGCCTGGAAAAGCAGTAGAGGATGGCCCAAAGCCTTGGGACCCTGCACCCAGAGAGAACTGGAGGAAGCTCCTGGCTCCTGACTTCAAATTGGCCCAGTTCTGGCCATTGCAGCCATTTGGGGAGCAAATTGGTGGGTGAACGATCTCCTTCTTTCTAAATCTGTATGTCTCTCCTCTGTAACTCTGACTTGTAAATAGAAATGATAAAATAAATCATTAAACAAAAGAATTTCAGACATGAGATGAGCAATAGTAAGTAGCGTAGCAAGGTTTAATGGGGGGAATATACCTAACCGACCAGGCAGGCTTTTCCACGAAGACCTGAGCCAGCAGTCAGCCTTTGACTGGAGTTGTGTATGCTTGCCCACCACTTCTCCCCCTTCTGGAATGTTGGTAAGTGGACTGCTCTCTGGGCATGGAATATCTGAAATTCTTCCCAGCAGTTTATCAGCGGTGTTTGTGAGCCTCATAGCCCCTGCTCTTCCTCTCCATTAAGGGCTCAGACCCACTTAATAAAGTTATCAAACATGGGCAAGAATTTTGATGCATAAATGCTGGTTTACGTCCAAAGCATGCTTCTGTGCTTCTTCCCTTAAGCAGTAGCACAAAATTCCCATTTTTGTTCTTTAATCCCTCTCATATTTGTAGGCTACCCTTCTACCTGAAGATTTAATGTGCTATGCCACAACACCATCCCAAAAGTCCTCTTTTATTGGAAAACAAGCCATTTCTGGTAATGAATTTGTGAATACAAAAGTGTATGTGGCATAAAGTATGTTCCTGCCACCTCCACCCTGAACTCCTGCTTCTCTCTCTCCCTGGAGACAACCACAGTGATCTTTTTTTATGTATCCTTTGAGAAATTTTTTAATTAAAGGATTTTTAATTAGGGCCATCCTCTGCTGCTTTTCCAGGCTGTAAGCAGAAAGCTAAATCGGAAGTGGAGCACTCAGGACACAAACTGGCGCCCAAATGGGATGCCAGTGCTTGCAGGTGGAAAATTGGTATGCTGTGTCACCACACCAGCCAAAATTCAAGGGTTCATTAATTTTATTTTATCTAACTTATTAACTGGATAAATATACTTAATGTATAAATTTTAATGCTAGCAACATACTTTTTATAAGATTTGTCTATATTTTGAAAGAGTTACAAAGAGAGAAATAGAGACAAAGAATTGTTCTATCCACTGGTTCACTCCTCAAGTGGCCACCATCGCTTGAGCTGAGCCAGTCTGAAGATAGGAGCAAGGAATGTCCTCCAGGTCTCCCTCATGAGTGCAGAATCCCAAGACTTTCAGTCATCCTTGACTGCTTTTCCAGGCCACAAGCAGGGAGCTAGATGGGAAGTGGAGCAGCCAGGGCATGAACTGACGCCCATATGGGATCCTGGTACTTGCAAAGCAGAAATTTAGCCAGTAAGCCATCATGCCAGGCCCATTTAAGGGTTCTTAGCTTTGGGTTCATGAATTTCCTAAAGTTATATCCAATTTTAAATTTAATTTTATTAACCAGCAGGCTCTTTAGCATAGCAGATAAAACTTCTGAGTATAACACCAGCATTCCATTAGATTCTGGTTCCATTCCCAACTGCTCTGCTTTCGATCCAACTCCCTGATAGTGGTTTGGGAAAAGCAACGGAGGATGGCCTCTCTACGTGAGACCCGATAAAGTTTCTGGTTCCTGACTTTGGCCTGGCCCAGACCGAGCCCACTACATTCATATAGTAGATGGACCAGCAGGTGAAAGATCTGTCTCTTCCTCTTTTTGTAACTGACTTTCAAAACAAAGACATAAAATTTTTTTAATGTTGTTAGTATTAAAATTTATAGACATGTACTTTTTAAAAGAAGGAAGTCCCTATTTCCACCAGATTCTTAGCAAGTTTCCACAATCTGAAAAAGGAAACAGCTGCTATTTTAGGGAGAACGCGAGCCGGGTGAAGCTGCAGGAGACCTCTTTGCTTTGGAGAGAGATTCTCTAACACATCTGCCAGCTGGCTTTGCCTTACTCCCTCTGAATTCCTCGTCCCATTCTTCTGCCCCGCTTCCAAGGTCTTGTACTCATCTTCTGTGTCACTCCCCCAACCCAGCTTTCAGTCTGTTTTCTTGTTTCCTTCTGATTCCTCTGGCCCTTTCCCCTTGGCTTCCTGCCAGGGAAACAACTTTCTATAAGAATGTTTGGATTTTTGATATTGTGTCCTCTAGAGCTATGCGTCCCCAACTCTCTGGTGATAAGTTTTTTCATAGGTTGATGCCTGGTGAAACAAGAAAGTCCCAGTGTTTAAACAGTTTCAAAGAGCTGAGGATTAACTTTTCTACAATGAGACTTACCCGGTCTCTTGATGAGATTCTTTTGACAGTGTGTACTGTCTGCCTTCCTGTCACCTGTGTAATTAGTCCTGAAGATACTATCATTGTGAATTAAGAATAATTTATTAACATGGTTTACTTTGAGAACTTGTGGAAGAAGGAAATAACAGGCAGAGGAAATAGATGAGCAAAACTATGAAGATTAGAAATAAAGTATGTCCGGATGATATTTTGGTATAATGGGTTAAACTATCACCTGCAGTTCCAGCATCACCTATGAACTCAGTTTGAGTCCCAGTTGCTCCATTTTCCATACAGCTCCTTTAAAATGCACCTGGGAAAGCAGCAGAACAGGACCCAAGTCCATGGGCCCTGCACCTCTGTGGGAGACCAACTCCTGACTCCTGACTTCTTCCTGGCCTGGCCTTGGCCTGTGCTGCCATCTGAGGAGTGAACCAGAGATGGAAAATCCCTTTCTCTCTCATCTCTCCCTGTGATTTTGTTTGCCAGGAGTTTCTTTTTTTTTTTTTTTTAATTTATTTATTTTTATTGGAAAAGCAGATGTTCAGAGAGGAGGAGAGACAGAGAGGAAGATCTTCTGTGCAATGATTCACTCCCCAAGTGACTGCATTGCCAGAGCTGAGCCGATCCAAAGCAAGCCAGGAACCTCCTCCAGGTCTCCCACGCAGGTGCAGGGTCCCAAGGCTTTGGACCGTCCTCGACTGCTTTCCCAGGCCACAAGCAGGGAGCTGGTGGGAAGTGGGGCCAACGAGATTAGAACCGGGACCCATATGAGATGCTGGTGCGTTCAAGGTGAGGACATTAGCCGCTAGGCCACACCGTCAGGCCCAAAATGAAGACATTTCTTTAGGTTTGTGTGGATTAAGAAAGAGTACCATAGGCTAGATATTGTAGAGCTTTTATAAAATTCGCTGCTTGTGACAGCAGACATTCCATATCAGAATGCTTGTTTGAGTCCCAGCAATTCCATTTTCATCTAGCTCCCAGATAACATGCTGATTCACTCCCCAAATGGCCATAACAATCAAGTGCGGGCCAGGCCAAAGCTAGGCACCAGCAACTCCACTCATGTCTCCCATATCGGTGGCAAGGGGATAACCACTTGAATTCGCATCTACAGGCTTCCCAGGTACATGAATAGGAATCTGGATTGGAAGCAAAGCAACCAGGACTTGAACATGTACTCTGACGCATTGGAGGCAGCCACTTCACCCACTACACTACAAGGCTGGGCTTCTGTATATCATTATGCCTGCACCATGTTGTCTGGGTTTTTTTTGTTTGTTTGTTTGTTTTGTTTTTTTCTTTTTTAAGATTTATTTTTATTGGCAAGTCAGATTTATAGAGAGAAGGAGAGACAGAGAGATAGATCTTGCGTCTGCTGGCTTGCTATCCAAGTGGTCACAACAGCCAGAGCTGAGCTGATCTGAAGCCAGGATGCAGGAGCTTCTTCTGGTCCCTGACACAGGTGTAGGGTCCCAGAGACTTGGTCCATTCTTCACTGCTTTCCTAGGCCACAGACAGGGAGCCTGATGGGAAATGCAACAGCTAGACTCAAACAGCTAGCCATGTGGGATGCCAGCACCACAGGTCGAGACTTCGGCTACTATGCTGTGTGCTAGTCACCACATTGTCTTGGTTATTGTAGCTTTATACTAAGGTGTTGAGTTTTTAAGCTAATTATAGTAATTTCTGTAGATTACATATTTAATATGCCATATTAATATCTTACTACCTTCCATCCTAACAGTAAGCCATATGCATGTAAATTCAGTTTTCATGGATGATTGCTTGTATATTTGGTTTCCTGCTGAGGCAGCATCTAAAAACAATTAGAGAAAACCATGAGCTTAATTCACCTGCCATTACCTTTTAAATGGCTTTTAAGGGCATTATGAGATTATCTTTTTGAGGCTCTTTGCATTTTGAGTATTTAATGTACAAAAAGAAAATAATTTGAAATGTTCTTCCCTCTTTTATAATTTTTAGATTTTGTATGCTGAAGCTGCTCAACCAGAAGAGAGGGCCTTCACAGTGTCCTTTGTGTAAGAATGACATTACTAAAAGGTATGCAACTCGGATGTTGATGGGAGGAAGGTTGGAAGTAAACAGCAGGAGCTAATAAAAAGTCTTTAGTAAGAAAGCTGGTATTCCTCTGAAACCATTTGTCAGTTTTTTTAAAAAAAAAGATTTACTTATTTTTATTACAAAGTCAGATATACAGAGGGAAGAGAGATAGAGAGGAAGATTTTCCATCTGATGATTCACTCCCCAGGTGAGCGCTTTGGCCAGTGCTGCGCCGATCTGAAGCCAGGAACCAGGAGCCTCTTCCGGGTCTCCCACATGGGTACAGGGTTCCAAAGCTTTGAGCCGTCCTCAACTGCTTTCCCAGGCCACAAGCAGGGAGCTGGATGGGAAGTGGGGCCGCTGGGATTAGAACTGGTGCCTATATGGGATCCCGGCATGTTCAAGGCGAGGACTTTAGCCACTAGGCCACAATGCCGGGTCCCATTTGTCAATTTTTAAAGAAGGCATGAAAATGTATTTAGGAGACAAAACAAATTCTTTTTTTTTTAGTGTTTATTTATGTTAAGATTTATTTATTTTTATTTGAAAGTCAGATTTACAGAGTGAAGGAGAGACAGAGAGAAGGATTTTCCATTCACTGATTCACTTCCCAAGTATCCGCAATTGCCGGAGCTGAGCCAGTCCGAAACCAGGATCCCAGACCTTCCTCTGGGTCTCCTATGCGGCTGCAGGGTCCCAAGACCTTGGGCCATCTCTGACTGCCTTCCCTGGCCACAAGCAGGGAACTGGATGGGAAGCGTGCAAGGCAAGGACCCCAGCTGCTAGGGTACCATTCTAGGCCTCACTTTTCCTTTTTTTAAAAGATGTATTTATTTACTTACTTATAAGTTAACAGAAAGATGGGAGACAGAAAAGTCTTCTATCCGCTGGTTCACTCTTCAAGTAGCTGTAACAGCAAGAGCCAAGCAGATCTGAAGCCAGGAGCCAGAAGTTTCCTCCTGGTCTGTGCCAGTATGGGATACTTGCACTTGCAAGCAGAAGATTTACGTACTCTGCCAAGGCACCAGCCCAAGTTACTTTTTCTAATGCTCCTGAATAGTGCAAAAACTTACAGCACTTTGATTTTGATTTAGTTTTCATTTTCATTTAATTGAAAGGCAGTGATCCAACGACTGGCTCAGTCCCCAAATGTCCTCAGCGCTGGGGCTAGGCCAGGTTGAAGCTGGCAGGCAGGAGCTCACTTGTGTGGCCGAGACCCAAACATCTGAGACATCACCACTGCCTCCAATGGAGCACAATAGCAGGAAGCGGAAATCAGAGGTCGAGCCGGGACCCAAACCCAGGCACTCTAGTATGGGATGTGAGTGTCTCCAGTGGGTCCTAACACCTCGTCAGACATCCACATAATTCTTTAATAATTCAGTGTGTTTATATGTTGTGTATCTCTCTTGCCACAGTGTTTGTTCTACTCTGGCAGGAAGTTGTCTCAGTCAGTATAAGTACTGATTCCTCAATGTTTTGAGAAGTGACCATTTTTAAAGCAGTGCACTTGTATCTTTTATGTTTTTAGAATATCATTATTATGTCACATAGTTTTAGACTTTTGGTAGATTTTAAAAAGCTGACAAAATGATTATCTAAAAGATGCCAGTGATGGGCCTGGCAGCGTGGCCTTGCAGCTAAAGTCCTCACCTTGAACACACCGGAATCCCATGTGGGTGCCGGTTTTAATCCCAGCAGCTCCCCTTCACATCAAATAAAAGTTTTCTGCCATTCCTTTTGTTTGTCTTTATTTTAATGTTCTTAAAAAGTTGATCATCACTAAATATGCCTCTCAAACAATTTAATTTCAGAAGTCTACAAGAGAGTACCCGATTTAGTCAACTTGTTGAAGAGCTGTTGAAAATCATTCAGGCTTTTGAGCTTGACACAGGATTACCGTGTAAGTGTTGAATAGACCCAAGGCTGACGCTCAAGTGGCTATCTGAAACCTCTGAAAGCCTGCTGTATTATTGTCTAGGATTAAGTGATAAGACTTAAAGTTTTAATTTATGTATTTGAAAGAGTTACAGGGAGAGAGAGAGACTTAGGTATTTCATCCCTTGTTCACTTCCCAGGCTGGGCTGGGCCGAAACCATTAGCTTCTTCTAGGTTTCTCACTTGGGTTCAGTGTCCCAAGCACTTGACTGTCTCCACTGCTTTCCCAGGCACATTAGCAGGGAAACGGATTGGAAGTGGAGCACCTAGGACTTAAATTGGCATATGAGATACTGGCACTGCCTGTGGTAGCTTAACTTGCTACGCCACAGAACCAGCAGTATTTTCAAGGGAGGGCAATAATAATATGGAGAGCAATCTTCTATCCACTGATTTATTTCCCCAAATGGCTTCCACAGCCGGACTGAATCCAGAATCTAGGAATCTGCTATCTTCTATGAAGGGCAGGTGCCCAATCGTGCGGGGTCATCTAATGTTACCTTTCCAGGCCCACTAGTTGGGACCTAGATCAGAAGTGAAACCATTGAAACTCAAACTAGTACACCTATATGATGCTGGCATCTTAAATAGTAGCTTACCTTGCCACAGCCCAGGGTGAGCCCAAAGAAATCTAAATACTGGAGCCATCACCTCTGCTTCCTGCATCCTAGGGTCACCATTAGCAGGATGCTGCAGTCAAGAACTGGAGTTAAGGATTGAACCCATTTACTTGCATACTGAGCATAGATGTCTTAACCCATGTCTTAATTGCTAAGTAAATGCCTTCATCCTGTATTTTTGTAAATCATGGCCTCGTACCTTATTTTATCAGTGCTAAAATGAACATTTTTTGCATTTTAACAGCTTTGAAATTGAAAGCCTTTTATAATAGTGATGTTTAGTTTAGTGCATTTTCCTTCTTGGTAGCTTAGAAAATAGCAGTTCCTCATTGTTGTTCTCTTAGATTCAGTAAAATAGAGCTTAACAAATTTTTCAGTATTGAATGGAGGAAAAAAGGCCTAGAGATAAGTTTGACATAGGTGCTTTTTTTTTTTTTTAAAGATTTATTTTTATTATTTTTTTTTTATTGGAAAGGCGGATATACAGAGAGGAGAGACAGAGAGGAAGCTCTTCCGTCCAATGATTCACTCCCCAGTGAGCGCAATGGGGAATCCGAAGCCAGGAGCCTCTTCCGGGTCTCCCACGCGGGTGCAGGTTCCCAAAGCTTTGGGCCGTCCTCGACTGCTTTCCCAGGCCCCAGGCAGGGAGCTGGAAGGGAAGCAGGGCTGCTGGGATTAGAACCGGCGCCCATATGGGATCCCGGGCGTGCAAGGCGAGGACTTAACCACTTGCGCCACCGCGCCGGGCCCGACATAGGTGCTTTTTAGGAGTAAAATTTCCAAAGTTTTTAGGTTTTTTTGTTTTTTTGTTTGTTTATTTGTTTTGTTTTTAAATAAGTAACCTTAATGCCTTGTCTTATTACAAAGAACATACATAGGCTTTCTCTTGGTTTGATCATAATTAGTATCTTTTTTCCTTGCTCGAAAAAAAAGTATTTTCATTTGTAATTCACAGTTGCAAGCAGTTATGACTTTTCAAAAAAGAAAAATAACTTGCCTGAACATCAAAAGGACGAAGTTTCCATCATCCAAAGTCTGGGTTACCGAAACCGAACCAAAAAACTTCCAAAGGTTGAGTCTAAAAATCCTGCTTTGGTAAAGCTGCTTTCATTCATTCATCTCTTTTTTTGAGCATTAGAAATTAATGAATGTGCTAAAGGTTTTTGAATTTAAATTAAAAAATCCAGAAAGAAGGTACTAGGGTAAGTTCAATGACTAGTAAGAGAGGAGTTCAACGGTCAGGATGCTTGGTGAGATCAGGAGAGAGGTGATAGGTTTTTCTCTGACCTTGGAGTTCTAGCTTCCCTGACACTTGCTAGAATAGCCATAGGGTCACTGACAGCTGGAAGCGTTTGAAAATTACTTCTTGGAAGGTAGAATTGTCACAACGTGCAGAGATTTGATAGCGAACTGAAGAATAGTGCTCATGATGCCAGCATTCACTTTTTTAGTAGACTAAAAGGAAGAAAAAAAGCTGTAACGTACCATTGAGCTTTTAAATATTCCTTTCCTTAATATGATTTGAAATTCTGGGGATTTATTGCCATTGTTTACCTTTTTTTTTTTAATTTATTTCATCTTAATTGCTAACCCCCTCATCAGATGTGATCAGAACTATATACTACGTATCAGCTTTAACATATATTATCTTAATACTTTAAAAAGCTGCATATATAATGAGTTTGGGAAAATGTAAATGGGGGAAATTAGCCAAGTCATACATAATTAAACATTCTTGTTCAGTTTCCGTAGCATTTTTCCTAGATGTCATAAATTTTAGCTAATGACATATGATCAGTTTAGTTTCTCTGTGGCCTCAAGATTTTGTATAGGAAAAAAGAAATTTTTCACAAAATGGACTGCCAACTGGTTAACCATTCTTTATTGCTTAGCAGGACAACAGTCTAGGCGTTCAATTCTCTGATCTTGGAATTGTGAGATTTCCAAGGACAACACAGCAGACTCAGTCTCAGAATAAGTCTGTCTACATAGAACTGGGTGAGTATCTCTGAGTTTGTAGACTTAGCATAATAGTTGCTGGATTGCTTATCTTAATTTATACATGTGGCTGAGAGTTTTGAGAAGTAAAGAAAAAAAGATTATGAGCCCTATGGTGGAGTTATAAAAAATATAAAAACACAGATTTAATTTTGAAGAACATTATTTCATAAAGGAGGCAAAAGACAAGCTGTCTTGGTGGGTAAATATGTTTTGGAGATGTGGAGAGTAGAGATAAAGAACTTCATGGCTTGCTGTAGCAGTTAGAATTATAGTGTTTTGTGAACTTTTTTTGCTGTAAGATTTATTCATTTTGAAAGACACAAAGGGAGATACATCTTCTATCCACTAATTCACACCACAGGTGCCTACAGTGGCCAGGGATGGGCAAGGCTGAAGACAGAGCTAAGAGTTGCTTTCAGATGTCCCATATGGGCAGCAGGGGATTAAGCATTTAGTCCATCTCCCAGTGTTTTCCCCCGAAGCCCTTGACAGGGAGCCGGATCTGAAGTAGAGCAGTTGGAACTCCAGTCGGACCCATAAAGGGTGCCAGTGGCAAAAGTGATAGCTAATGCATTTACCGTCAAATGCCGGTCACAGGAGTCTTTTCTGAAAAGAGTGCATATTGTAACCAACAAATCTATAATTGTATTTTGTAAAATATCTTTCTGGGTTAAATTTTAGCTTGTCATTGAATTTCTTGAGTTTTGTTTGTTTCTTTGTTTCGACTTATTTTATTTTTTGAAAGTCACAGAGAAGGAGCAAGAGAATTTCCCGTGTGCTGGTTCCTTGCCCAAATAGCTGTCATTGCCAGAACTGCGCCAGGGTGAAGTCAGGAGCCAGAACTCCATTCTGCTCTTGAGTATGGATGGCAGGGGTCCAAATTGTCTGTTATTTTTCCAGGCATATTAGCAGGGAGCTCAATCAGAAGTGAAACAGCTGGGACTCAAACTAATACTCATACGGGATACCAGTGACCTAGGCAGCGGCTTAACCCACTATATCGCAATGCTGGCCTCTGGGAACCTTTTTAACAAGAATTAAGCTCAGAGTTCAAGCAAGTCTCTCTAGGTTTTAAAATATGCTTAATTGAAAAGTGTGTGTTGGGGCCCAGCAGTGTGGCCTAGCGGCTAAAGTCCTCGCCTTGAATATGCCGGGATCCCATATGGGCGCCGGTTCTAATCCCGGCAGCTCCACTTCCCATCCAGCTCCCTGCTTGTGGCCTGGGAAAGCAGTTGAGGACGGCCAAAAGCCTTGGGATCCTGCACCCATGTGGGAGACCTGGAAAGAAGTACCTGGATCCCTTATCTGCACAATAAGATGCTGGACTCTATGCTTTGTAGATGCTTGCAAGGAAAAAAATCTCAACTGAATTTGACCTGTGGTAATGCAACAAGATGGAAGAATCCACCATGGGGGGGGGGGAAGCAGGTTTTGGGGAGGGGAGGGGGGAATCCCAGTGCCTGTAAAACTGTGTCGCATGATGCAATGTAATAAAAAAGAAAGAAAGAAAAAAAAAAAGAAGTTCCTGGATCCTGGCTTTGGCTTGGCGTAGCATCAACCATTGCGCTCACTTGGGGAGTGAATCATCGGATGGAAGATCTTTCTCACTGTCTCTCCTCCTCTCTGTATATCTGCCTTTCCAATAAAAATAAATAAATCTTTTTAAAAAAAAAAGTGTGACCCTTTTGAAATTCTAAGCATTGCCAAATTTTATCAGAATACCTGCATGTCTTCCCTGCTTCAAATCATAAATCTGGACAACAGGTATAATGATGAAAATAACTACAGTAGCTAATATTTAAGAGCAGTTGAGCATGCTTCATGCACTGCTCTGTTCTTGTATATCTTATTTAAGATCCATATCAAACCTTTGTAGCTGTTACTAATATATATATATTTAAAGATTTATTAATTTTTATTGGAAAGGCAGATCAGATTTTTGGAGAGAAGGAGTGACAGTAAGCTCTTCCATCCACTGGTTCACTCCTCAAGTGGCTACAGTGACTAGAGCTGAGCTGATCTGAAGCCAGGAGCTAGGAGCTTGTTTTGGGTCTTGCACACAGGTGCCCGATCCCAGGGCTTTGGGTCGCTCTCAATGTCTTTCCCAGACCACAGGCAGGGAGATGGTGGGAAGTGGAGCAGCCAGGACATGAACTGACACCCTTATGGCATCCCAGCACTTGGAGGTGAAGAATTTAATCATTGAGCAGTTCCAGATCCGTTACTCTTTTTACTCTTTTTTTTTTACTTTTTAAATTATATTTTTGACAATCTTTACACAGTTAATTAGGGTGAAAAGATTCAAGGGCTATAGGAAAGTGGGTAAGACTATTATTTCCATATTGTTTCCTTCATATATCTAAGCTAAAGGGGATATTGAGGGAGATTGGGTGGGGCTTCTCCCTCAATACTATTATATTTTTTAAAAATTAATTTAGTTGGGTGCTGATTACATGGTATAGTAGGCCACCTATGGTGCTAGCATCTGATATGGTCTCTACTTCATATCCCAGCTACTCCACTTCCTATCCAGCCCTCTGCTTGTTGCCCGGGAAAGCAGCAGAGGATGGCCTAAAGTCTTGGGCTTCTGTACCCATGTAGGAGACCCAAAGAAAAAACTCTTGGCTTCAGGTCTATTCAGCTGTAGCCATTGTAGCCATTTTGGGCAGTGAACCAGCAGATAGAAGATCTGTCTCTCAATATATATCTTTCTCTCTTTAACTATGCCTTTCAAATAAAAAAATAAATCTTAGAAAAATAAAAAAAGATTTGTTTCTTTGAGAGTTACAGAGTGAACTTCCATCTGCTGATTCATTCCTGAGATCAACACAGTGACCAGATTTGGATCAAACCAAAGCCAGGATCCTGGGGCTTCTTGTGGGGTGTTTTTTTTTTTTTTTTGCTGCTTTTTCCCTACCATTAGCAGGGTGCTAGATTGGAAATTGAGCAGCCCAAATTCAAGCTGGCATGGGATACCAGTGTTGCAGGTGTTAATTTATGTGCTATTCCAGAATGCCAACCCTCTATACAAAAAAAAAAAAAAATGGGTGGCATTGGCTCAATTGGCTAGTTGTCTGTGTGCAAGTGCCAAATTCACATATGGGTATCAGTTTGTGTCCTGGCTGTTCATCTTGGTGTCCCACGTGGGTGCAGGGGCCCAAGGACTGGGACCAGTTTCCCTTGTCTTTTCATGCATATTACCAGGGAGCTGGATTAGAAGTTGTGCAGCCAGTACTCAAACTGGTGCCCATAGGGAATACTGGCAAAAGCATAACCCTCTATGTCACAATGCTACTCCCAATTTTTAACATGAAAAAACTAAGCACACATAAGAAATTTTGCCAAGTACCCAGCACCTAACAGCATAGTACCTAAATCCTCATCTTGCATCTGCTGGGATCTCATATGGGCGCTGGTTCTAATCCCAGCTGCTCCATTTCCCTTCCAGCTCCCTGATTATGGACTGGGAAAGCAGTGCAGGATGGCCCAAAGCCTTGGGACCTTGCACCAGCATGGGAGACCCAGAAGAGACTCCTGGCTTCAGATTAGCTCAGCTCTGGCCACATGAGGAGTGAACCAGTGAATGGAAGACCTTTCTCTCTATCTCTCCTTCTCTGTAAATCTGTCTTTCCAATTAAATAAGTAAATCTTTTTTAAAAAAATTGCCAAGGTAGTAATACTAGTAAGTGATAAAGCTGTGCTGTGATTCTGGACTCCTGAGCTTTGGGCCACCTCTGGATTGCCCAGCGCATCTATCATTGTGCCTTCCATGCAATAGGTACTCAGTCAACATTTTAGGTGAGTGAATGTATTTTTTACAACAAGCACTTTTTTGTGTTTAAGTCTTTGAACAAAAGAAGCCTTTCACTGATTTGTTTTTTGGCGAATTTTTTTTTTAGGATCGGACTCTTCTGAAGATACAGTTACTAAGACAGATTGTCACAGGTGAGTCGAAGCAAGCTTGTTTCCTTGAAGCTCCTTTTAGATTTAGCCAGATCAGGATTTGTGTTTTTCTGGATTGAAATCATGAGATTGGAAGACATCCTAGAAACCTCTTGTTTATTCCGCTCATTTTGTTGATTCAGAAATATTCCTTTTTGTTTCTTTGATTTATTTATTTACTAGTAATTTCCAAAGCAATTTGTTGTTGGTTGTTTGTTTAACAGTTAATTTAAGGGACCAGTGTGGTGACTCAATAGGCTAATCCTCTACCCTGCGGTGCTAGCATTCCATGTGGGCATTAGTTCATGCTCCACTTCCAATCCGACTCCCTGCTCATAACCTGGGAAAGCTCAAGGATGGCTCAAGTCTTTGCATCCCTGCACTCATGTGGGAGTCCCAGAGGAAGCTCCTGGCTTCAAATCAGTTCAGCTCTGGCCGTGCAGTAAATGGGAGATCTCTCTCTGTCTCTTCTTCTCTCTGTAAATTTACCTTTCAAATAAAAATAAATAAATCTTTTTTTAAAAATTACTTGTTTGAAAGGCAGAATTGACAAAGGGACTTTCCATCTGCTGGTTCATTTCCCAAATGTCTGCTCTGGCTCAGTCTGGACCAAGCCAAAACTAGGAACCTGGAACTTCTTCCAGGTCTCCCAAGTGGTACAGGGTTCCAGAGATTTGGGTCATCTTTCATGGCTTTCCCAGGCATGTTAACCAGTTGCTGGATTGGAAGTGGAAAAGCTGAGACTCAAACTAGTGTCCGTGAGGCATGCTATGCTAACGCTACAAACAATGCCTTAACCTGCTACACCCCAATGGCCTCTCCAAAAGAAGTTTACGATAACATTGGAACTCTCTTCGCATTTGCTTGTAGCAGAGGTTGTTGTCTAGCTCAGTTCCTCAAAACTCTTCTTGACACCATAGTAATTGTGACTGAGGAAAATATTAAAGAAATTTGCTCCCTCCCTTTTTTTTTTAAGATTTATTTATTTTTATTGGAATGTCAGATATACAGATATACAGAGAGGAGGAGAGACAGAGAGAAAAGATCTTTCATTCGCTGGTTCAATCCTTAAGTGGCCACAACGGCCAGGTGTGAGCTGATCCAAAGCCAGGGAGCTTCTGCAGGTCTCCCACGCGGGTCCAGGGTCCCAAGGCTTTGGGCAGTCCTCCTCTGCTTTCTCAGGCCACGAGCAGGGAGCTGGAAGGGAAGTGTAGCAGCTGGGATTAGAACCAGTGCCTATATAGGATCCTGGCACATTCAAGGCGAGGACTTTAGCCAACAGGCTATTGTGCCAGCCTTTCCCCCACCCCCTCTTTTTTTTTTTTAAATAAAAATGTTTTTCAAAAGTAAGATCACAGACACATATGGACCTGTTCAGTGAAGGAGTAGGGCAGGAGAGAAAAAAAATGTTTCTGCCTTCCATCCTGTATCCCTAGGGAAAAAGAGAGTGCCCCTCCGCAGGTGCAGACTCGGTATGTTCCTGGGAAGGGGCCAGGTCACATGACACTGTCCTCAGGATCCTGGTGGAAGGAGTACATCCGGGGGGCTGTGAGGTGCTTTGTTTTGATATCTTACTTCTTTACTTCTCAGTAAGATAAACTTAGCAAAAAATATTTACTTGAAAAGCAGAATGACAGCAAAGTAGAGACAGAAATCTCTTTGACTCACTTCCCCAGTGGCCACAGGGACAGGCCAAAGCCAGGAGCCTGAAACCCTTCAGATTTCCCGTGTGAGTGGCAAGGATATGATCATTTAAGCCATCATCTGCTGTGTTTCCAGCCTCATTAATAGGTAGTTGGATTAGAAGTGGACTAGCTGGGGACTTGAACCTGTGCTCAGATGGGACACTAGCCTTGCAGGCAGTGCTTAAATATACCACAGTGTCAGCCTCCATGTATACTTTCAAGCATCTTTTAAATGTTTTTTGACTGTTCACCTTTTGGCTATGGTTTACATGCCATGTCCACTTAGCAGTGTTCTATGTTTCTGAATGCGTTATGTCTGGCCATTCCATCTCAATTAGAAACCAGTAAAGGAGCTCTCATTTTTGGCATCACAGAAATACACAAAAATTTCTAATGGTGGAAGTAAATTTCAACACTTGAATCTAATTCATCAAGTGATTACAACCCTACATGTAGGAGCTAAAATATTTCCTTGCTGATTTGACAGTTCAGGGAGCACAGAGCTAATGTTTCTTATTTTAGGGCTTCTGCTTTTTCCTTCTAGTCTGGAAAACCAAATCAGCCTTCAAGAAGACAGTGCTAAAGCCACTTTGGATGCTACAGAAAACAATCATGGCAAGTCTTCTCAACTTACTATATGCTGAGGAGGGGATGAGTTGATACAGTTTTGTAATTAGATTATCCTGAAGGTCATTTGCGGCATTTATAATTACAACATCAGAATTAGAATGTCATTCTTTCTCAGATGTCATGGTATATAGCTTGATAAACTTTCATGATACTAGACTGATGTCATGGTAGTAGTAACGTACATGACTGATTGTTACCCTGCTTGGTTTTATTTACTGGAGTTAGAGAAACAGAAAAACAGAGAACTGCTGTCTGCTGGTTAACTTCCCAAAGGCCTGAAATAGCTGGGACTGGGCCAGGCCAAAGTGGAAGCTACGAATTTAATCCAGGTCTCCCAAATGAATGGTAGGAATCCAACAGTTTGCCATTATCTGCTGCTTCTGATTAGCAAGAAGCTAGAATTGGGAGTGGAGCTAGAAGAAGACCTCAAGCATTCTGATATTGGATACAGATGTCCCAGTGGACAATTTTCCTTTGAAAATAGGCTCTTTTTTTCTTTTAATGGAAAGGTAGGATACTAGAGTGAAATCTTTAATTCACTGATTCATTCCCCAGTGGCTGCAATGAGCAGAGCTGAGGTCATTCAAAGCAAGGAACGTTTTCCAGGTCTTCCATGCGGGGACAGGGGTCCAAGGATTGGGCCATCCTCTGTTGCTTTCCCAGGCCATCAGCAGGGAGCTAGATTAGAAGTGAAGCAAGATTGTATTCAAACTCTTGCCCACGTTGGATACCAATGCTACAAACAGAAGGTTAGCCTACTACACGAGGCCACTACCCCCACATCATGGGCATTTAGCTACTAGGGCAAATACTTGCCCTGTTCTTTACTTTGAATTAAAATATTTGCATTTTATCTTTTGCCTACTACGTGTTTGTGTTTGCTATTTTTGCTTTATTTTAGATTTATTTATTTGATAGAAGAAAGGGTGAGAGAGAAATCTGGTTCATTCCCCAAATGACTGTAGCAGCCAGGTCTTGACCAGGCAGAAACCCAGAGCCTGGAATTCCTTCCGGGTGGTGTAGACCCAAGTACCTGAGCAGTCATTTGTTCCTTCCCATACTCATTAGCAAGGAGCTGGATCAGAAGCAGAACAGTCAGGATTCAAACTGGGGCTCCAGTATGGGATGCCAGCTTCACAAGCAACGACTTGACCTACTATGCCAAAACCTCAGCTCCTGCCTGCTGGCCTTTTCTTTTTTCATTGGAAAGACTGATAATAGAGAGAAGATACAGAAGATCTCCGGTCCACTGGTTCACTCCCCAAGTTGTTGCAACAATCTGTTACAAAGCCAGGAGCATCTTCCAGGTCTCGGTGCAGATGTATGGTCCCAAGGCTTTGGGCCCTCCTCTGCTTCTTTCCCAGGCCACAAGCGTGGAGCAGCAGGGCTATGAACCAGTGCACACATGGGAATGTGGTACATCAAATGCAAGGATTTTAGCCACTAGGCTACTGTACCAGGCCCCTACCTCTTGGTTTTTAAATACAAGAAGTATGAATCTGTACCCAGAACTAAAGATTGTGTGTCTGGTGACCAAAGTTTGTTTTTAATTCACTCTTAGAAACAGAAAGTGTTCTTTATGGATAGGAAAAATCTTGAAATTAACATTCTAGTTGTCTTGATTGGAAATAATGAGAATCAAGGTAAATAGTGGTTATATATCTTCTATATAGCTGGTAGTTTATGAGGCTAATTTCTCTAAAAATAGTCCATTGTCTAACTACTTACTCCAAGTTGAATTAAGTGTGTATTTTTTCATAATTCACTTTTTAAGCACCTTGGGTTTTTTGCTTTGTTCTTATATTTTCAGCTGCTTGTGTGTTTTCTGGGAAGGACGCAACAAATGCTGAACCTCAACAATCCAGTAGCAAAGATTTGGCTACCATTAAGAAGCATGCAACCGAGAGGCATCCAGAAAAGTATCAGGGTATTTCTATTTCAAACTTGCATGTGGAGCCACGTGGCACAGATACTCATGCCAGCTCATTACAGCATGAGAACAGCAGTTTGTTACTCACTAAAGACAGAACGAAAGTAGAAAAGGCTGAGCTCTGTGATAAAAGCAAACAGCATGCCTTAGCAAGGAGCCAGCAGGGCAGATGGGCTGAAAGTGTGAAAATGTGTCATGATAGGCAGACTCCCGGCACAGGGGGAATAGAGCCTCTGAATGTTGATTCCCTGTATGGCAGAAAACAGTGGAAGAAGCAGAAGCCTGCCTGCTCTGAAACCTGTGGAGATGCCAATTCTTGGTTAACAGTAAATAGCAGCATTCAGAAAGTTAACGAGTGGTTCTCCAGAAGTAATGAGATATTAACTCCTGACGACTCACTTGGCCAACAGACTGAATCAAGTACCATCCCGGCTGGTACATTACAATTCTCAAATAAAGCAGATGGACATTCAGTTTCTTCAGAGAAAGCAGGCTTGCTGACCAGCGGTTCCCAAAATGCTATAGTGTGTGAAAGCGAAAGAATCCATTCCAAACCAGTCGAGAGTACTATCAAAGACAAAATATTTGGGAAAACTTATCAGAGGAAGGCATCCCTCCCAAACTTGAGCTGCGTAGTTGAAAATCCAGTGAGAGAAGTATTTGCTATAGAACCACAGATAACACATCCCCCCACAAACAAGTTAAAGCGTAAAAGGAGAGCCACAACAGGCCTTTGTCCTGAAGATTTTATCAAGAAGGTGGATTTGACAGGTGTTGAAAAGACTCCTAAAGAGAGGAATCGGGAAACTGAGCAAATGATGCAGAATGATCAGGTGGTGACTACTACTAATGGTGGGAATGAGAATGAAACAAAAGGTGATCATGTTCAGAAAGAAAAAAGTGCTAACCCAACAGAATCATTGGAAAAAGAATCTGCCTTCAATACAAAAGCTGAACCTATAAGCAGCAGTATAAGCAACATGGAACTCGAATTAAATATCCATAATTCAAAAACACCCAAGAAGAACAGGCTGAGGAGGAAGTCAGCTACCAGGCGTGTTCATGCACTTGAACTAGTCGTCAGGGAGAAACCAAGCCCACCTAATCACACTGAACTACAAATCGATAGTTGCAGTAGCAGTGAAGAAACAAATTTGGGCCAAGTACGCATCGGTCGCAGAAGAAAACTTCAAGTCATACAAGATGCCACTGGAACCAGGAAGAACAATAAGCCAAATGAACAAATAAGGAAAAGACAGGCCAGTGATGCTTCCCCAGAACTTAAGTTAACAAACGTACCCAGTGTTCTTACCAACTGTTCAAGTTCTAAGGAGCATCGTGAGTCTGTCGATCCTAGCCTTCAAAGAGGGGAAGTGGGAGAGACGCACGATACAGTGCAAGCGTCTAATACTGCCACAGACCCCAAAGGTCTCCCGTTGAGTGGAGAGAGGAGCGTGCAAGCTGAAAGATCTGCAGAGAGCACCAGTAATTCACTTATTCCCGACACTGATTATGATACTCAGGACAGCATCTCATTACTGGAAGCTCGCACCGTTAGGAATGCAAAAACTGCAGCAAATGGACAGGAGAGTGAGAGTATGGCAACTGGAAACCCCCAGGAAGTTGCCCCAGCTTGTTTGGGAAATACTGGAGATGACCCAGAGGGCTTTAAGGACCCGTTGAGAAGCGAAGATGACCACATTCAAGAGACAGACACAGAACTAGAGGAGAGTGAGCTTGATACTCAGTATTTGCAAAATACATTCAAGACTTCAAAGCGTCAGTCATTTGCTTTGTTTTCAAAACCAGGAGATGCAGAAAGGGAATGTGTAACTGCACATACCCAATCCAGTTGCTTAAGGAAACAAAGTCCAAAAATCTCTCTTAAATGTGAACAAAAAGAAGAAAATCCAAAAAAGGAAGAGTCTAAAGCCAGGCATTGGCAGGCAGTTAATCCCACTGTGGGCTTCCCTGTGGTTTGTCAGAAAGATGAGCCAGGTGATTATGCCAAATGTAGCCTTAAAGAAATCTCTAAGCTTTGTCTGTCATCGCAATTCACGGGTAATGAAACTGGGCTCATGGCAAATACACATAAACTGTTATACAACCCGTATCATATACCACCGATTTCTCCCATCAAGTTATCTGTTAAAAACACATGTGAGCTAAGCCCGTCAGAGGGAAGGTCTGAGGAATATTCAATATCCTCTGAAAAAGCAGTGGGAAGTGAGAGCATCTTTTATAGTGCAATGAGTACAATTAGCCAGAATTACATGAAAGAAAGTGCTCTTAAAGAAGGCGGCTCAAGCAGTGTTAATGAAATGAGTTCTAGTACTAACGAAGTATGCTCCAGTATTAATGAAGTAGGATCCAGTGGGGAGAACATTCAAGCACAGCCAGGTAGAAGCAGAGCAGCTGAGTTAAACTCTGTGCTTAGATTAAGTCTTGTGCAACCTGGTGTCTGCGAGCAAAGTCTTCCCGTAAATAAATCTAAACTTCCTGAAGTAAAAGGGCCAGGAGAAAATGAAGTACTTCAAGCTGTAAGTTCAGATTTCTATTCATATCTAGTTTCAGAGACCCAAGAGCCACCTATAGGAAGTAAGAATCCATCTCAGATTTGTTCCGAAACACCTGATGATCTGTTAGATGATTATGATGTAATGGAAAGTACTAGCTTTGTGGATGATGGCATTCGGGAAAGATCTGCTGTTTTTAGTAAAAGTGTTCAGAGAGGAAAGATCAGTAGGACCCCTAGCCCTTTAGGCCATGCATGTTTGGCTCAGAGTCACCAAAGTGAAGCTGAGAAATTGGAGTCCAAAGAAGCGAATGTGTCCAGTGAGGATGAAGAGCTGATTTCCCTCCAACAATTGTTGTATGGTAAAGTAACCAATAGACCATCTCAATCAACCAGACATAGTGCTGTTGCCACTGAGGGTGCATTTGTAAAATCTGAAAACTTGGTATCATCAGAGAACAGCTTCGACGACTCTAGTAGTGAGATCATACTGCCAGAGGCATCCCAGGAACATGACAGTGGTGAGGAAATAGAATGTTCTGGTAGCTTGTTTTCTTCTCAGCATGGTGCAGTCGAAGAGGTGAATGAAAATGCAAACTCCCAGGATTCCTTCTTAATGTTTGATCCTCTCCCCAAACAAATGAGACATGAGTCTGAAGAGCAGCAAGATGTGAGTGACAAGGAATTGGCTTCTGATGATGACGAAAGGGCAACTGGCCCGGCAGAAGATAATCTCCAAGAACAGAATGTGGATGCAGACTTAGGTATTGGAACCAGGTTTTTGCCTTGGTCTGTTTTTATAGAGATGACCTACATGCTTATACCTTTTGGGGAGCTCATTTTACAACTTTCTGAGTATACTTAAAATAATCGCTTGCTAAATCTGAAACATGTTCCTCCAAAGGTGCTTGTCCTTAAAAGTCCTCCTTCACCCATCTAGAATGTATTTTCTGACTGAAATCTAACGTCCTGATTGTTGGCAGAATTGCTTCTGGTTTTCAGAGTTAGAATTTTTGGTAAGAAATCACAATGTCCCAGTCAAGGAATTCAATCATTTTGTATCCTGCCATTGGGAAGATACGTGTACAGCACTTGCCGTGTTTGTGGCGTCTGTATCCCTGAACCTCTGTTTTATTGTCTTTTAAGGTGAAGCAGCGTCTGGGTATGAAAGTGAAACGAGTCTGTCTGGAGTTCACTCAGAGCTGTCCTCTCAAAGTGAAATTTTAACCACTCAGGTAAAACGCATATTTGGTATCCCTTGTTCAGCGACATAATGCATACACCAAAGGACACGTATTGTTTCCTCTTATTTTAAAATTTATTTTTTATTAGGAGATTTTTACAGAGAGAAGGAGAGACAGATCTTCCATCCACTGGTTCCTCCCTAAGTGGCCACATGGACAGAAGTGAGTGAATCAGGAGCCACTAGCTTTTTCCTGGTCTCCCACGTGGGTGCCGGCTCTCAAGGCTCTGGGCCATCCTTTACTGCCTTCCCAGGCCACAGGCAGGGAGCTGGATGGGAAGTGTAGCAGCCAGGACACAAGCCAGTACCCATATGGGACCCTGGTACTTGTAGGTGGAGGATTAACTAATTGAGCCAATGTGCTGGGCCCTATTTCTTCTTATTATGGAATGCTTAGAGTAATTCAGAGACACAAAGACAGAGTAGTGGTTAGCAAGACTTGATGAAAGAATGAGAGATTATTGATACAGATTTTCATTTGGTATGATGAAAAAGTTCTGGAACTATATAGTAGTAATGATTACATAAACATGTGAACTAATAGTACTGGGTGGGATACATTGATAAATTAATGGTTATACAATACACATTACCTAGCAATAGTTACTGTTAATGGGTTGATCTGATCCTTTCTAGTCTTCCTTGTGTGCATAGGGTAATTGTATACACTTTGTCTATAAAAAATACTCAGGTGTGAGGAGCTGCGCTGTGATACAGGAGTGAACCTGTCAGCTGCGATGCTGGCATCCCGCATGGGCACCGGTTTGAGTCCCAGTTGTTCCACTTCTGATCCAGCTCCCTGCTAATGTGCACAGGAAAGCAGCAGAAAGATGCCCAAGTGTTTGGGCCTTTATACTACCTGGGAGTCCCAGAAGAAGCTTCTGGCTCCTGGCTTTGTTTCAGGCCATTGCAGCCATCTGAGCAGTGAACCAGCAGATAAAAGATCTTTCTATATGCTCTCTTTGTCTCTTCTCTCTAAAATCTGTATTTCAAGTAAATAGATAAATTTTTTTTTAAATTATTTTTTAAAGACTTACTTATTTTTACTTGAAAGGAAGTTGGTGCGGGCTCCCAAGGACTTGACCCTTCCTCTGCTTTCCCAGGCTATAAGCAAAAAGCTGGATCAGAAGTAAAGCAACCAGGCATGAACCAGTGGCCTTTTAGGATGCTGGCGTTTCAAGCAGATTAGCTTGTCTTACCACCGTACCAGCCTCTGAATAGATAAATCTTTATAAGAAGAAAGTCAATGGGCTAATTCTCTGCCTTCAAGTGCCAGCATCCCATATGGATGCCAGTTCGTATCGAAGCTGCTCAGCCTCTGATTCAGCTCCTTACTTATGTCCTGGGAAAGCAGCAGAGGATGACCTAAGTCCTTGGGACCCTGCAACAATCCTGCAGCCACATGAGATCTGGAACAAACTCCTGGTTTCTGGCTTCGGATAAGTGTAGCTCTGGCTAATGTGGCCATCTGGGGAATGAACCCCTTCTCTTTATAAATCTACCTTTCAAATAAAAAAAATCAGATACCATACACATAGCTCTTGCTATGTTAACATTCTTCACTGACTTCATGTTTCATATAATATTGCATCCTTTGGAATGTCATGATTTGACTACTGGCAGATATTCTGGTTTTCAGGATAAAAGAGACAGTTTGCTAGTATATACAGCATTATGGTAGACATAAATATTTGTCCATATCTCTGATTATTTCTTTAGTATAAATTCCTAAAAAATTGAATTTTTGATCTTTGGTATATATTGTTAGATTTTGCATTAGAAGGATTAAATCAGTGTGTGCTCTTGGAACCAGTTTTTTTATGCCTTTGCAAACGTTACATTGTATTCAATTTTTAAAAACTTGTAACTCTGGCATTCCACTGAAGACTCCAAATAGAGAGGGCTTGTCTTCTGCCCGTTCTTCAGATGGAGCAAGTTTCCCCAGGCCTGAAGCCTGTGAGAGTCAGAGAGAAACCTTTGAGACAACTGCCTGCTCTGTACCTGAGCTGTCACAGTATTTGCCACAGTGACAGGATTGCCATGGTGACTGAATTGATGAGATGACTCAGGTCTTCTGTCTGTTTACAATTCCTGTAACCCTTTCCCGATGTGGATTTGGAGCTGTTGCCTATATGCCTATTATCCGATTTTGTCCCTTGTTTGTAAGCTTTAGGATCCAGTTTGATTCCACCTGCCTTAGCCATACTGTATTACATTTGACATTCAGTCAATTACTTCTTTGTTTCTTCTATCTCCCATCTTATTCCCAGAAGGAAGCCTATTTGTTCCATATCCATTTTGTAAGATATTTTATCAATCATCTACTTGGATCTTTAGGTTAGATGTAAGGCTAACAAATCTTAAAAAACACAGAATATTGAAGTGGGATTTTTTTCCCTCTGGTAATACAAACTGAGCAGAAATATGTAGGGAGATAGAGAATGTACTATCATAGCTTCTTTTTTTTTTAACCTAAGGCTAATTAACTATTCATCCATGAGTTCATCTTTTTTCTGCATTAAACATTTGCAGTGCGCTCTCTTAGATTTTGAGGATACAGAAATTATTAAGGAAAGATACCTCCCATGTAGGAGGTCAGGCGTCCCACCTGGGAATACTGGTGCATGAACAGTAAAAGCCAAGTAGTGAGGGAAGCAGACATTTGAGCTGGACCTTGAAAGATGAGAAGGGGGCCCGGCGCCATGGCCTAGCGGCTAATGTCCTCACCTTGAACGCACCAGCATCTCATATGGGCCCCGGGACCCTGCACCCAAGTGGGAGACCCAGAAAGAAGTTCCGGGTTCCTGGCTTCAGAACAGCTCAGCTCCAGCCGTTGCGGCCACTTGGGGAGTGAATCATCAGACAGAAGATCCTCCTCTCTGTATATCTGCCTTTCCAATAAATAAATAAATAAATCTTTTCAAAAAAAGAAAGATGAGAAGGAGGAACCAGCAACTGAATCACAGGATGACCAGGAAACACAACATTGCCCTGTGTTGCTGGAAAATGGAGTGTATATCAGGGGATGTTGGGGAGAAATAAGAGATAAGATTAGAGTACAAAAGGCCTTTGAGGGTTGTGCTCGGGAATTTGGACTTTGTGTTAGGACAGTATTGAGTCATAGTTACCTAGTGTTCTGAAAGAGTTGAGTTGCTTATCTAAGCAGTGGTGTATCCCTAAAGTCCTTGCGAAAGTACCTGCGGAGGAAAGCATGGCTTTTAGAAAACTTCTGCAGTACTGTAGCTCTATTAAAAGGAGAGATGAGAATTGCATGGTGGGGATGCAGTGCAAGAGTAGAGCTTTTCCACACTAAAACCTAGAAGACTTAGTCACCTGTTTGCTTTTGTTCCCTGTGTATATTTCACAAATTGATCACGTGGGAATTTGAGGTTATGAAATAATTCCTTTGAGAAACACAAAGGAAAGTATCTAATTATCTTGGCACTATTTTTTTTTTCTCTGATGTTTGGGAGTATTTAATGGCTTATAGAGAAGTTAGATGTGGAGGTTTCTGGCAGAAGTAACTGACACACTGAAACATTGCTTAGATTTTCCTGCCTGGTTTCATGCCAGCTATATTGAGGCAAACCCGTTGCTAGGGTTTGGTCAGCGATGCAACTACTCAAAAGTACCACGTGGTGGCAATGGTGTTGCTGCACACACTGGCAGCAAAGCAGTCTCGAGGTAGCAGTAGAAACCCTTCTGAAACTGGAATGTATTTCCTCATTCATTAAAAACTGCGAATCATGAACTCAGAGCATGGCTCAGGAGATGGCTTGTTTTTAGAAGAGGGCAGTCATTTTCCAAAATCAGAAGGAGAAATGGCAGGTGAAGTGATCTGTCATGCCCTCACCTGCTGGCCACCATTGATACTCTTTACAAAATGAAGGGATAAATGTAGATTTTGGAAAACTCCTTATGCACCTAGTTTCTTTGCAAATAAAACACATTAGGCTGAGTCAAACATCTTGACATGAAGCAATAAGCAAGAGACTCCTAGCCAGAACCCGTTGTCTTGAATTAAAGACACTAACTGCCCTTCCAGGCTTTCTTAGAGCTCTTTGCTGAATCCTCTACTGATCTGCTTAGAAGGGTAGCACCAGGAAGCAAGGCTAAATACAACACCAAGACAGTGTGCCTACTATACAATAGAGGGCCAAGAAACAGTGATTAACTAAACAAGAATGAAATGAGTTAGCTGTGTGTGTTTTCTGTTACAAACTAAAGGTTACTAGAATCCCAGAAAAGGAATCCTCAATCTGTGGGATTACTGAAAGTTTTATTTACATATATAAATATATAGCATATTTTTATATATATATATATAGTATTTTATAAAATACCAGAGGAAGGAGAGTTTTTTCAGTAGCAGTCTGAAATTCACAGATTTTTTATTAGAGAGTCAGATATACAGAGAGCAGGAGAGACAGAGAGGAAGATCTTCCATCCGATGATTGACTCCCCAAGTGGCCGCAATGGCTGAAACTGCCAATCCTAAACCTGGAATTTTTTTGGGTCTCTCACATGAGTGTATAGTCCCAAGGCTTTGGGCTGTCCTCAACTGCTTTCCCACGGTACAAGCAAGGAGCTGGCTGGAATGTAGGGCCACTAGGATTAAAACATGTGCCCATATGAGATCCTGGTGCATGCCAGGCAAGGACTTTAGCTGCCCTATAGGGTGTCACATTGGGCCCCCAATTCACAAATTTTTACACAGACAAACAATTATATATTTTTAAAGGTTTATTTATTTTTTTTATTGAAAAGGCAGAGAAAAAGCAACAGAAAGATCTTTGATCTATTAGATCACTCGCCAAATGGCTGTAATGGCTAGAATTGAACCAATCCAAAGCCAACAGCCAGCAGCTTCTCTGTCTCCCATGTGGATGCAGGCTTTGGGCCATCATACACTGTTTTCCCAGGCCGTAAGCAGAGAGCTGGATGGGAAGTGGAGCAGACTGGACATGAACCCATTCCCATATAAGATGCAGGTGGCAGCTTTACTCAGTATACAACAACACCCACCCCTAACATAAATATCTTATGAATCTTACAATGCCAAATCTTTGACAAATCACCTGTGTCAAATACAGACAAGCCTGGTCCAGCCTGATGCTGGGAGGTGGGCACTCAATCCGGGCCTCCCATGCAAACAGCAGGAGCCTAACTACAGCAGCCATCACTGTCTCCCAAGGTACACAGGAACAGGCCGCCGGGGTGGGGAGAGAGGGCTCTGCACACAGGCTCTCCTGCATGGGCTGCAAAGATCCTAACCTAGAGCTTGACTGCTAGGCTAAGTGCCTGCCCCCTCATGCTAATTTTAAATATCAATGGTGCTTAAGCATGTTAATTATTTTTTTCTACTCTCTAGCCATCAAAGAAAATTAGCAGTTTCAAAGAGACATCACAATAAAGGAACTCCATTTTGGAGTGTTTGAGGATTTTTTTTTTCACCCTGTAGCATCTTTCTGAAATAATTTCATGAGTATTGATTATATGAATATGACAAGATTAAACAGTGCTCATCCAGAACTCTTAATTCCATCCTGGGTGGTTTCAGTTTTTAGGTTAAAATTAGCTGGCATGGCTTCTTTTCACTCGATGGTAAATTTTCTTCCAGTATGTAACTTTCTGTGTGTTGTTTTTTATTTTTGCAGCAGAGGGACGCCATACAAGATAACCTGCTCAAGCTGCAGCAGGAAATGGCCCTCCTGGAAGCTGTGCTGGAGCAGCACGGGAGCCAGTCTCCTCACACATCCCCTTCCCTGCTCGCACTGGAGTCCTGTGCCTCTGAGGGTCAGCTCCATCTACAACAGAACACATCAGGAAAAGGTTCGTAGTATTGGCCGCTTACCAAAAGCAAACCACTTTCTTCCCGCCCTCGGCATTTATCGCCTCTGAAAAGTAGGGACCAAGCTGCAGCATTCTGTGGTCTTTACTGAGCCCCTCCATGGGTAATCTTAGGAAGCTCTGGTTCTGGACCACCCTTACAACTAAGTCACCATCGGAGTAAGCCAAGACAAGCATCCATGGCCTTGGCTGATTGAGCAGGCTGTGGCTCTTAGGAAGCTGAGTCTTAACAGGGGAAATCGGCAATAGATAAACAAGTGGTTTCTGAAAACTATGAGAAAACACTCAGATTTCTTACAAGACTGGTGTCAGGTTACAGAGACTAAGTGAATGTGCTTTCTAATTTATAGAAGCATCCTGTACTTTAGGAAATGCACTTTGATCTGCTGAAAGCCCAATTATATACCAGAATCAAATGCTGTCTGGTAATGTTATATTTATCATCAAGGCCAGTGGACCTCTTAGAGGAGACTTGGAGTAAAGCAAGCAAGTGGGATTGATTTCCTATATAGGAAGTAAGCAATGAACACAGAAATAATTTGGGTGCCGTGGTATAGTAGGCTAGGCCTCTCCTGTATGGCTTACATCCCATATGGGCACTGATTCATGTCCCAGTTGCTCCACTTCCTATCTAACTACCTTCTTAAGGCCTATGAAAACAGCAGAGGATACCCCAAGGCCTTGGATCCCTACAGTCATGTGGGAGACCTGGAAGAATCTCCTGGCTTTGATTCAGCCCAACTCTGGCTGTTGTAACCATCTAGGGAGTTAACCAGTGAGTGTAACTTTTCTATCTCTCCTCTCTCTGTAAATCTTCCTTCCAGATAAAAATTAAGTTTATTTTTTAAGGGGAAACATTATGTTAATGAAGGAGAGCAAGATAAAGTTTTGAGTTTTTAAACTGGAGAGAGAATCCTTCAGGCAGATATTTAAATAAGGTTGGAAAGAGACAGATGTCTAGAGGATGAGTTGGGCTTGAGGTCCCTGGCAGGGAGCCTGATGCTGCACAACAGGCAGTAAGGGGATCCCTCCCTGCTCCCTGATTTCTGCCCACCTCAGCATGGCTGTGCCTTCCCTGACACCACCTTGCATGGTCCTCCAAGGGGCCCCATGATCTTCCCTTGAGTCTGGGATATAAGGCTGCTCGTTGTTCTGAGTGGCCTTGCTCCCCAAGTGTTTTTATGATCAGGAAGAAACTATGGCTGCTGCACGAGGAGCTAGGAATTCTGTTACTTTGGCAGTGCTTCCACATGGGTTTCCTTTGTGTCTTTATTGAGTTCTTCTCCCAGGTGATGAAGCCCAGAGTCCCGTGCCCCGTACAGATCTCTTTAACGTGCTTTCACCATCTTCAAGCTAAAACAGACCCAACTAAGAACTCCATTGCGCAACATACAGGATGCTGCTGTCTGGCTTTGAATATTTGTGTGAATAGGCTATGTCATGTTTGTTTCCTGAAGATCTGTATATAAAATGTTTCTTTCTGACTTCATTTCTCAGACATTTTGAGTGTCAACACTAAAGTTTTGAGTCTTTTTCTCCCTCAGCTTGGTATGAGAACAAGTAAAACCAAGTAAATTTCTTCATCAATTTATTTTCTATTTTACTCATGACACATTTTTTTTTTCTTTTTTAAGGTTTATTTATTTCAAAGTCAGAATTGCAGAAAAGGAGAAACAGAGGGCTTCCATCCACTGGTTCATTCCTCAAATGCCTGTGATGGTCAGGGCTGGACCCAGCAGAAACCAGGCACCAGTTTTTCCTGGATTTCACAAGGGTACAAGCACTTGGGCCTTCTGCTGCCAGCGTAGCAGAGAGTAGCCTAGCCTGCTGTACCACAGTGCTGGCCACCCATGAGGTATTTTTTTAAATAAGATTTTTAAGATGCCATATTCTTTTGTAATGAGAACACCCTCTGTTCTAGAATCTTTGCATTCTTGTCTTGCCTTTCACCCTAGGTTTTCTCTATTGTGTATATCTTAGGGCCATTCCCAGACCTATATAAAATATGGGGACAAATGTGTGTACTCACCGCAATAAACTGGATGTGTCTATCTCTGTAGCTAAAGCTATCTTAAGCACTTTTTTTTTCCACCTGGGTTTACTGTCATTTAAAAAACAAATATTAGCATTTCTAACACCATGACTCAATGCAATAGAAGTGATTTCCAGACCTATCTCAGCTGCTTTGTCTTGCAATGCTGTCCATTCCCAGAAGCATTGGTTACAGAATTCCTTGGTATCCGTGGATGGTTAATTTCATTTGGTGTGGTTCCTTAGAAGTGGCCCATCACTATTTTTCAATTATTCTGAATTTCTTGGGAGGGAAAAGTTAGACCCTGTCTACCTTCAGCAGCTGCTGGCTTCAGGCTGAGCCCTGTGTTCCCAGAAACTCATAGATCCAAAAGGATGAATGTAAAGGAAGTTATATATAAGGTGTGTGAACATTAACTGAGGAAATCAATGATTATTTTCCCCCAGGCTACCCACTGACTTTAAAAAAAAGCTAAATTAATAGAAACCCTTATTTAAATGTTCTACCTCAATTTATGGAATTTATCTCTTCTAATAAAAGCTTAAAATGAATTAAGGTCATCAGTGACTTTTTTTTAAAACATTTATTTATTTTATTGGAAAGACAGATATATAGAGAGGAGGAGAGACAGAGAGAAAGATCCTCTGTCCGTTGATTCACTGCCCAAGCGGTTGCAATGGCCGGAGTTGAGCTGATCCAGACCAGGAGCCAGGAGCTGCTTTCAGGTCTCCCATGCAGGTGCTGGATCCCAAGGCTTTGGGCCATCCTCAACTGCTTTCCCAGGGCACAAGCAGGGAGCTGGATGGGAAGCAAGGCTGCCATATTAGAATCAGCGCCCATATGTGATCCTGGCACATTCAAGGTGATGACTTTAGCTACTAGGCTAATGCACCAGGCCCCATCAGTGACTTTTTTTTTTTTTAAGATCTATTTATTTATTGGAAAGTCAGATATACAGAGAGGAGGGGAGACAGAGAGGAAGATCTTCCGTCCAATCATTCACTTCCCAAGTGAGCGCAACAGCTGATGCTATGCCGATCCAAAGCCAGGATCCAGGAGCCTCCTCCGGGTCCCCCACGCAGGGTCCCAAGGCTTTGGGCCGTCCTCGGCTGCTTTCCCAGGCCACAAGCAGGGAGCTGGATGGGAAGTGGAGCTGCCGGGATTAGAACTGGCGCCCATATGGGATCCCGACACGTTCAAGGTGAGGACTTTAGCCGCTAGGCCATGCCGCCAGGCCCCATCAGTGACTTTTTAATCGTATCAGACGTTTGTGATTTTCCAGTGTTCTGCATTTTAAATAGTCCTACTTGAAGCCAGTTCCTGAGGGCAGTGGTACAGGAACTCATTTGAAGGATTTAATAAATGAAAAGAGTATACTAAAATTTTAGAACTTGGCCTTGGGTCTGTTTTGTGTTCTTTCCCCTATTATGTCGTTTCATGATCATTTCTGTGTATTATATCAGCATTCCCCATAAGCCAAAACTTAGATTTTTTTGTGTTGATTATTGCTTTTGTTTAATTTTGTTTATTTTTCCTAAGTAATTGAAAAATATTTAGGAAATGTCACCTGTGTTTTTCTTTTTTTTCTTTTGAGGGATGTTTTTTTTTTTTGCTCTCATCTGATCCCCAGCCCCTCACCCCTTTCTTCACATGGGCAAAAGCTTGTATCCTATGCCGTATGAGCTTCCCTGTGGAGACTGGAGCCAGGAAAAGAGCTGCTTTGTACTTCCCCAGCTCGCTTCCATTGCTAGCTCAAGGGATTTAGTATTATTTTGTTTGCAGCAAAGATAAAAAATTATTGCACATTCTTGTTTTCATTATCATTTCAGGTCAAAAAGAATAGAAAGATGCTTTTCTCAGCCGAGTGTCTTTATTTGCTCAATTTTAAATGTTCCTTTTATTATCAGTTTTTAATCACTTAGTTCCATTCAGTGCTGGCATCTGTCGCATCGCAAATGTAAAATGTTAGCTGAATGCGTGTTGAAAACCAATTTGATTGTCACTGATTGCTTCTCTTGAAAAAAATTGATGTTCTCACCTGAATTATCACCATCAGGACAAACAAAGTAGATTTCTTCTTTTTTTTTTTTTTTTTATTCCATTTAAAGCAATACTAACTTCAGAGAATCGTGGTGAATCTCCTGTCAGCCAGAATCCAGAAAGCCTTTCTGTGGACAAGTTCCCAGTATCTGTGCATGGTTCCAACAGCAACAATATAGGACCAGCAGCTAAAAGGTAAGAAATGTTGGCTGTGATATCCACATGACATCTTAGGGTCGGGGATAGGCCGTGATCCCTCCCACTGATTCCTTTTCCAATTGTATTCTGAAGCCAGGAGCCAGAAGCTCCATCCAGGGCTTCCTAGTGCGTGGTACAGACGTAACTACTGGATCCATAAGCTGCTGCCTTCCTGGGTTTGCATAGGCAGAAAGCTGCATTGGGGCGCCAGTACCAAGTGTCATGACGATCCAGGTGTTTTGGTAGAGATGCAGGCCTCCTGAGCAGCCACACACCTGCCTGCTGAAACCCCTCGGTTGACTAACCCCATACTATCTCCATTTTGTTTTGTTTTGTTTTCAAAAATTTATGACCTTTCACTGCTCTAGAACCTGTCTCTTAAACTGGGAAATAAGCTTTTGACCCTATACTAGACACAAGCTGCAGTATGAGAATTGTGCAGTTAGATAGACCTTCTCCTTCTGAAGGTCAGGGTAAAATATAGAAATACAAGCCACAGTGAGCGAGTGGAGCGGCCGTTAAAGTGCCCACACATCACAGTGCCTGGCTCACGGCCCAGCTCCTCTACTTCCACTCCAGCTTCCTGCTAATGTACTAAGAGGCAGCAGATGATGGCTCAAATACTTGAGTCCGTGCTAGCCATGTTGGAAAACCAGATTGAACCCTGGGCTCCTGGCTTCGACCTAGGGTAGACCTAGCTGTTGTGTGGACATTTGGGTAGTAAACAAGCAGTTGGAAGATTCTCTTTGTCTCTGTTTCTCCGTCTTTCAAATAAAATTAAAATATTTGTAAAAGTTTAAGAACAATAACAGGCTCCAGTGCCATGATACAGTGGATTAAGCCTCTGCCTGCAGTGCCAGCGACCCATAAGGGCACAGTTCATGTCACAGCTGCTCCACTTCCTTCCTATCCAGCCCCCTGTGGGAATGCCTGGGAAGGCAGTGGAAGATGACCTAAATTCTGGGGACTCTCCACACACCTGGAGGTCTGAAAGAAGCTCCAAGCCCCTGGTTTGGTCTGACCCATCTTTAGCTGTTGAACCAATAGAGAGAAGAGGGAGAGAAAATAATAGTAAGAAAAACTAATTTAAAGAAAAAAAAAAAACAATTGAACAAGCCTGGAAGCTGAGAGACAACTTTTCCAAAGTAGTGTTTGCCGTAAATAAAATCTCTTCTAAGAATCTAGCAAATCTGGATGTTCAGATTTTTCTGAAATTCATTTTTCAAATTACTATTGGTATAAAACTGTATAACATTGTATTTGCAAAAAATACTTTACAGCGCAGGCATTGTGGCACTGCTTGGGATGCCCACATCCCATGTCCAGATGCCAGTTTGCCTTCTGGTTACTCTACTTCTTGATGTGTGTGTGTGCCTCCTGGAAGGTAGCACATAATAGCTCAAATACATACACTCCAGATGGCCCCCACCCTAGCTGTTGAAAACATTTGGGAAGTAAACCAGCAGGTGAAAAATCTATTTCTTTGCTGTCTTTCCTCTCTTTTACTTTCTTTTCCTCCCACTCCCCCTTCAAACAGGGGAAAATAATTTTTTTAAGATTTATTTATTTTTCAGCCTGGTGCGGTGGCCTAGTGGCTAAAGTCTTCACCTTGAGTGTGCCAGGATCCCATTTGGGCACCAGTTCTAATCCTAGCAGCTCTACTTCCCATCTAGCTCCCTGCTTGTGGCCTGGGAAAGCAGTCAAAGATGGCCCAAAGCCTTGAGGCTCTGCACCTGTGTGGGAGACCTGGAGGAGGTTCCTGGTTCCTGGCTTTGGATCGGCACAGCACTGGCTGTTGTGGTCACTTGGGGAGTGAATCATCAGACGGAGGATCTTCCTCTCTGTCTTTCCTCCTCTCTGTATATCTGACTTTGTAATAAAAATAAATGAATCTTTTAAAAATATATTTTTGGGGCCCGGCGCGGTGGTGCATTGGCGCATTGGCTAAGGTCCTCGCCTTGCACGCCCGGGATCCCATATGGATGCCGGTTCTAATCCTGGCGGCCCCGCTTCCCATCCAGCTCCCTGCTTGTGGCCTGGGAAAGCAGTCAAGGACGGCTCAAAGCCTTGGGACCCTGCACCCGTGTGGGAGACCCAGAAGAAGTTCCTGGATCCTGGCTTCAGATCAGCATAGCATCGGCCATTGCGCTCACTTGGGGAGTAAATCATCGGACAGAATATCTTCCTCTCTGTCTCTCCTCTCTGTATATCCGCCTTTCCAATAAAAATTTAAAAAATAAATTAATTAATTTTTTTAAAAAGTACCAACATAGGAGCTATTTTCAAAAAAAAAATATATATATATATGTATATATATTTTTTGGACATTGAATAGTCCCTGGATCCAGCGCAATGGCCTTGTTTCTAAATCCTCTGTTAAAATTGGATAGAGCAAGTAGATGGAGCAATTTTTCTGATTTCGTAAGATGCCATTTTTAACACATTTATTTGATTTCCAATGGAATAGTGAGTGACTGGCAGTGGATAATTTGGTCAGATTTTCTGACATGTTTTAAACAGCTAGGAGATAGCCAGTCCCTAAGAGTAGATACGTCAGCCCTGACATGTTGACAGAAGCATGAATCCCAGTGTCCAGGCCATCACGTGTGCTCTTTGCTTCTGCTGCTTCTGATCCAGCTGTGAACTGTCAGTTAGGCTTTGGGCTGATCTGTCCTTCTACAGTTGATCATGATGGTCTTTTCTCTTTCATCTGGCTTAGCTGTCCCATTCCTGAATCCCAGTTGTTCGGCAGTGGGGACGGACACCCTAGCAGTCTTCAAAACAAAAACTGCCCAGCTCCAGAAGGGCCCGCTAAGGATGCTGGTGTGGAAGAGCAGCAGGTGGAAAAGTCGGAGCCGCAAGATTCAAGGTCACAGTCTTATTTGCCCACACAAGAGACAGGTAATATTTCATCTGCTCCAATGGAAATGACACTTTTATTTTCTCTGAGTCCTATATGAAACTATTGTGACTAAGCAGCCTTCCGATTTATTAGTTTCTCATTGATGTTTCTTTTTTATGTTTAAGCCATTTTTGAGAAATAACTTGAATGGTAATCTAAGCTTACTTGAAGAGAGCCACAGCTAATAGTCTTTCTATGTTGATTTAACTAATAACATAGGGGATGGGAATAAGTATGTTGTTCAAATGTTAGGAAGGAATTCTATAGTTCTAGAAGTTTTAGGCCTGTTTTTCATTGACAAATGACTCAAATCTTGAAGCAAATTCTTTTTTTAATGTATTAATGGATATAAATGACTATATATCTTCTGCATTCACTTTGCATACGCTGGAATTCCATTAGGGCGCCAGTTCATGTCTCATCTACTCTGCTTCCCTATCAGCTACTGTCTTGTGCCCTGGGAAAGCAGTTGAAAACAGCCCAAAGCCTTGGGACCCTGCACCCACATCGGAGATCCAGAAGAAGCTCCTGGCTCTTAGGTTCAGATCAGCTCAACTTGAGCAGTTGCAACCACTTGGGGAATGAGCCTGTGGATGGAAGATCTTTCTCTGTGTCTCTCCTCTCTGCAAATCTGCCTTTCCAATAAAAATAAAATGTTTAAATAAATCAATTAATCGAAGTTTTAATCAGTAAATAAAGTTTTAAATTAATCCTAAAAACATACTTTCATAAAAGATGTTATTTGGCATCAAATGTGATATTTGGGTGCATTCATTAGGGACTTTTTGTGTTGGGTTTTTTGGTTTTGTTTTTTTTTTTTTTAATTTGTTTTAAAGAGTTACTGAGAGGAATACAGACAGAGAGATCTTCCATCTGCTGGCTCACTGCTTGAATGGCCTCCATAGTCAGGGGCTATACCTAGGTCTCCCACATGGGTGCCCAGGACCAAGTACTTGGGCTGTCTCTGCTGCTGTCCCAGGTGTAATAGCAGGCATCTGAATTACAAGTGAAGCCAATGAGGCTCGAACTGGCACCCATAACTGATGCCAGCACTACAGGTGACAGCTTAGTTTCCTACATCACAGCATCAACCTCTGCTGTCTTTCTTTAGTCATTTTTTCTTTTTGTATTACGACTTATTATTGCGGGCCCGGCGGAGTGGCCTAGCGGCTAAAGTCCTCACCTTGAACGCGTCGGGATCCCATATGGGTGCCGGTTCTAATCCCGGCAGCTCCACTTCCCATCCAACTCCCTGCTTGTGGCCTGGGAAAACAGTCAAGGACAACCCAAAGCTTTGGGACCCTGCACCCGTGTGGGAGACCCGGAAGAAGTTCCTGGATCCTGGCTTTGGATCAGCATAGCATCGGCCGTTGCGCTCACTTGGGGAGTGAATCATCGGACGGAAGATCTTCCTCTCTGTTTCTCGTCTCTCCTCCTCTCTGTATATCTGACTTTCCAATAAATAAATCTTAAAAAAAAAAAAAAAAAAAAGACTAGTATTTCTTTGAAAGAGTGACCAGTAGAGAGCGAAAGATCTTTCTTAAGCTGATACTGCTGAGATAGGTAAAATCAGCAGGGCCTGTCCAGGCCAATGCCAGCAACGTGGGACTCCATCGGTTTTCCCACAGGAGTAGCAGAGACCCAAGTACTTGAACCATCCTCTGTTGTTTTCATAGCCTTATTAGTAACGAGCTGGATCAGAAATGGAGCAGCAGGGACTAGTCTGGCACTCTGATACAGAATACCCATATTGCAGGCTTCTGCTTAGGCCACTGTGCCATTATGCTGGCCTCTATTTAGCCATTTCAATAAAGTCTGTATTCTTAAAGTAGAATCAATATAAATGTTCCTCAACTTTAATGTGTTAGAAATGTTTCTCTGTTTTATTTTGCATTAATGTTGTACTTAAAAGAAAAGCTCCACTGAATGAAATGTATCACAGTTTATTGGACACCTGGTTGTTTTTACAATTACAAAGGGAAGCCACTACGCGGTATGTCAGTGTACCCATTTTCCTCTCAAGATAGCTTCACTGGGCTGCACAGTTGTAATTCAAGTTTCATTGTCATGTAGATTATGCTTCTTCCATTCCTTTCAGAGGGCACCTCCTGTTTGGAATCTGGAATCAGCCTCTTTGATGACCCAGAACCTTCTCCTGAGAATAGAGCCCCTGGGCCAGCTGCAATATCTACATTGAAATTACCTGAGTTTGAAGTTGCAGAATTTTGCAAGGGTTCAGCTACTGAGAGCGCTGGATACAAAGCAGGAAAAGAAAGTGTGAAGCTGGATAAACCAGAGCTGGCATCCTCAACAGAAAGGAGCGGCAATGCGATGTCCGTGGTAGTTTCGGGCTTGACCTCTAAAGAATTTGTGAGTATATCCATGCGTCTCTCAATGACTGAGGCTTTAATAACATGCCGCAAATCTGGGAAACAAACACACAAGTCTATGTAACTTTCATTAGTAAATCCTGAAGTTTGCATCAAGAAAAAGCTATTGTATGGATTATCTTTTTAGATCATTTCCTAAGAAAATATGTATTAGGTATTAACCAAAAAGAAACTGTATACTTCAGGTTATGATATAAAGTTTTTGAATTTGCTTTTTCTTTTTGTCTAATGAACCAAGTAGGCATCTTTTTCCTTCTGCAGTTCACGTGTGAATAAACTTCCCAGCATGTTTAACTAGATCCAGACTGGTTCCAAGCATCCTGCCAGACAGTGGCATGACTCCAGTCTGTGTTCGTCTTGATGTTGGCTTGTAAGACAGTTATTTAATCGCCTGTCTTGTCATGTCTGCCCTCCAGCACCTTTTTCTATTAGGATTTTGGCATCTTGGTGGGCCTCTCATGCCAGATGTGGGAGTTGCTTCACATTGTGCAAAAATACCTGGTAAAACATAGACCACTGAAACCTCCTTTCTGCCTGAGCTGCTTTAGATTTCAGACATCCTGGGAAATTTGATTTTCCTATAATTAATTATCATGTCATTTTAGAATTGAATAAGTATTTCTTTAAAATATGATAACACCCAGATTGTCAAATGGATTAAAATGATAACATGAGTGGCTGTTTCTTGCATGCTGAGAGATAACTGAGTAATTCTGGAATATTCGCTAATAGATCCTTCATAGGTAAAGAACCGTTTCTCATGCTTAGCTCTCTGTGACTGGGGACTTAGCTTAACCTCCATGACTAGATACATTCCTCCGTAGAAAGGATAAAGTAAGCTGTGTGTTCCATGAGACACAGTAAATAAGTGCAAGGTGATGGGTATTAACAATATCAGCACACAGATCCATTCCTACACTAGTAATGTGCTCCAAAACTTTGAAAAAAGTATTGCAAAGGCAGATTGACAGAAACAGGAAACTCTTCCATCTGCTGGTTCCCTCCCCAAGTGGCTGCAACAGTCAGAGCTGAATCATTGCAGAGCCAGGAACACTCATGTGTGGGTACAGGGTCCCAAGGCCTTGGGCCATCCTCCACTGCTTTCTCAGGCCACAAACAAAGAGCTGGATGCAAAATGGAGCAGCTGGGAAACAAATCGGCAGCCATGTGGGATCCTGGAGCTTGCAAAGGATATTAACCAATTGAGCCCTCATGCTGGGCCCTAGAAAATTTCACACTGTATCTGTCTAAATGACTCTATCACTTCTTTGTGTAGCTAGAACTTCCATTTATTCACTGAAAATTAGCTTTCCTTATTCCTTTGTTTTGTGAGTTCATCTCGAAAGATGGCTATAGTGGTCTGATTTTTCTGGCCCTGGCAATTCTGAGTTGCAAATTGGACTGCAGGCGGCTTGATATGTGTTGCCTTAAACAAGCAGCGAGGGAAGCCTTGGGCTCCATTCAGACCTGCTGAAGTGTGGTAAATTTATGATGAAAGCTACTGACTGTATTACGCATGATTAATTCTGTAGCCCGTATTAAGATGATCTTTTCAGCAGTTGCTCTTCTTACTGAGCACTGTCTCAAGGCTGGGATTTCAGCAATTAATCAGTTCAGAATTGCTAATGATCCTGGCAGAGGGCAGTGGCAAAATGGGAGGATGTCATTAACTCCAGCCAGCCTTTTCTTAGCGCCCAGTGGCAGTAAGGAGTAAGCTTGAAGAGAGATGGGTGGCCTGCATTGCAATATTGTGTGACATATTAATATTGTGTGGATGTGGGTGACCATGGCCAGTAAAGGATAACCCTTGGAAAAAGAAGTTATTTACCATCCAGAAACTGCCAATTGTGTCAGCTATGCAATTGGCTTGTATTTGGTTGATAGATAATAACTAGAGAACTCTGGATTGTGGCTTTCTTCCATTCCTTAAGAGAGAATTAATAGTTGTTATTGTTTGTTTCTTTGAAGACTTGAAGATTTACTTACTTTCATTTGAAAGCAAATTTTACAGAGAGAGGAGGTTCTTGCAGTATCACTCCCCAAATGGCCACAATGGCCAGAGATGAACTGATCCAAAGCTGGAAGCCAGGAGCTACTTCCAGGTCTCCCATTGTGGGTGCAGGGTCCTAAGGACTTGGGCCATCCCCCACTGCTTTCCCAGGCCATAAACAAAGAACTGAATCAGAAGTAGAGCAGCTAGGACATAAACCAGCACCATGTGGGAGGCAAGCACCACAGGGCAGAGGATTAGCTTGCTGTGCCACAATGCTAGTCCCAGAATGAATAATTTTTGCACTTAGCTGTACTAGCATCTTTATTTGACTGTTTTGTAACTATCAGAATTGAATTGCTTTTTTCTGTTTTAAAGATTTATTTACTTTATTCAAAAGGCAAAAGGAATGAGATCTTCCATCTGCTAGTTTACTTCCCCAACGCCTGTTAAGACAACAGCTCAAAACTCCATCCAGGTCTCCCACATGGTGGCGTTGACCGAAGTACTAGGATGGGTTACTGGTACTTTCTCGGTCAGGAAGTTTAACTGGAAGTGTAATAGTCAAGACTCTTGCAAGCAACAGCTTAACCCACTGCTAAGCCCCTGAATCATTGTTTTAAACAGTTATCTATAGTATTGCTTTCTATACATTCTTAAAGTATAAGCTAAAGGACTAGTGTTGTAGCTTAACAAGTTAGGCTGCTGCCTGCAAAGCCAGTATCCCATTTAGAAGCCAGTTTCAAGCCCTGATTCCTCTATTTTCTAACCAACTCACTGCTAATGCAGCAGAGAAAGAAGCACAAAATGACCCAAGTACCTGAGCCCCAGCACCCACATGGAGACCTGAAAGAAGCTCCTGGTTTTGGACTTTGGCCTGGCCCTGCCGTGGCTGGTGTAACCATCTGGGGGCTGAACCAGTGGATGGAATGTATATCTCTACCTGTCTCTGTAACTCTGCCTTTGAAATAAAGAAAGTAATAATTATTTTAAGTATAAGCTGATAAGTCTAAATTATGCTACAGTGTCCTACACAAAGAAACTGTCAGCTTATTAAAGGAAAAATTAGTATTATTTTTGAAGCTTGGATTTTTGTTCCTTGTCTTACAGAGTCTTCCTCTAATTTTACTTAGTTTTAATTAAATTATTTGCTTTGAAGCTGGGGTCATGGTATAATAAAAAAGAAAAAAATGTATCTTTTCTGAGAGAAGTAGAGATTCAGAACTAGGGAAACTAATACTTTAAGTTGTGTACTGGAGTTACCTTCCTGTAATGCAGTATTTGCTTGATTTCAGTCACTGGTGCAAAAGTTTGCCAAGAAATTCCACATCACTCTAAATAATGTAATTACCGAAGAGACTACTCATGTCATTATGAAAACAGGTATGTCAAGAACCTTTACAAAATATGCTGTGTCTTTTACATAAAATCATGTTAAAAATATGTTCCAATTTTAGTATACGTGCTGCCAAAGTGAGCACTAAAAATACAAATATAAAAAAAATAAATAAAAATACGAATATAGGTTGAGCATCCCTAATCTGAAAATCCAAAATCTGAAATATTTTGAGCAATGATATGACGTCGTAATTGATATGTGTAGCAACTGGCCTCACGTGATGGGTCACAGTTAAAACAAATGTACACTAAAAATATTGTATAGATTCCCTTTTGGTTACGTGTGAAGGCATGTGTCAGACCTAACAGAATGTGTCTCATGTTTAAATTTGGATTCTGTCACCATGGTAGCTCATATGCTGACTATGCAAATATTCTAAAATCTGTAGCAGGCTGTTCCCCAGTGTCTTGGAAAGGGATACTCAACCTGTGTTTGTTAAGCATGGCCTAGGTTATTGTCTTCCAGTAGTCAGTCACTGCCCTATGAAAAACAAATGAGTTTTATCAGTTCCTGACCCTCTTGTACTTAAGCTTAAGATTTGGAGCATCCTTCAACTTTCAGACCAAGGATGGAGAAGTCTCCCAATGAAACTGTTGAATTTGTCTGGACTCTGCGTGATCCATGTCCGCAATGAAGGAATCATGACTGGTTATGATCTGTAGTACTGTAATAATATGGAAGAATTCAATATTGGGGGAAGGGTTGGGGGAATCCCAGAGCCTATGAAACTGTGTCATAAAATAAAATTTAACAAAAAAAGATTTGGAGCATCTTGAGCCCATTTGCCTGCCTGGAGCACACTGGCTGACTGCCTTGCTGATGCGGCAGTGCCTGTGTCCTGCAGTAACAACTGAGGCTAAGCAGGTACAGGGCAGAAACCTGCACTCAAATCTAGAGAGCCTCCCTGCATGGAACACTTGGTTTGAGAATTGTTCAGTTTTTAAGAAGGAACTTCAGTAGCTCTGACATTGCTTTGACCTGTAATAACATGTTTATTCATTCACTTTTATTTGTTTGAAAGACAGAGTGGGAGACAGAGAGGATTTCCATCTGCTGGTTCACTCCCTACATGCCCAGAGCAGTTGGGGCTGGGCTAAGCTGAAGCAGGAATCAGAAACTCCATGTGGGGCTCCCACATGGGCGGCAGACTCAGGTACTTAAGCAATCTAGCATCTGCTGCCTCCCAGGGGCGTCAGCAGAAAGCTGGAGCTAAAGCAGAGGTGGAAGCAAGAATGAATCTCAGGGGGCCCGGCACGGTGGCGCAAGTGGTTAAAGGTCCTCGCCTTGCACGCCCGGGATCCCATATGGGCGCCGGTTCTAATCCCGGCAGCCCCGCTTCCCTTCCAGCTCCCTGCCTGTGGCCTGGGAAAGCAGTTGAGGACGGCCCAAAGCTTTGGGAACCTGCACCCGCGTGGGAGACCCGGAAGAGGCTCCTGGCTTCGGATCGGCATAGTATCGGCCCGTTGCGCTCACTTGGGGAGTGAATCATCGGATGGAAGATCTTCCTCTCTGTCTCTCCTCTCTGTATATCCGCCTTTCCAATGAAAAAATAATAAAAATAAATCTTTAAAAAAAAAAAAAAAAGAATGAATCTCAGGTACTTCCATATGGGATGCAGCCATCCCAGGTGATGGCTTTCTTAACCCACTACACAATGGTATCAATTGATATTTATTTATTTATCTATATCTATCTGAGAAATTGACAGAAATAGAAAGAACTCTAATCTGCTGGTTCATTCCCCCAAATGCTTGGGTGTTTCAGGGCTGGGCTGAGACAGTTGGAAGCAGAGAACTCAATCCAGGTCTCTCCCCTGGCGGTGGTAGGAACCCCTGAGCTCTCACTGCTGCTTCATGGGGGTCTGCATAACCAGGAAGCGTAGTCAGGAGGAGGAGACATGTGTATCAAACCCAGGTATTCAAATATGGAATGAGAGGCCAGTGCTGTGGTGTAGTAGATGAAGTTTCCCAAAGCTACAGCACTGGCATCCCATATGAATGCCATTTCAATCCCGCCTGCTGTACTTCCAGTTCATCTGCCTGCTTATAGACTGAGAAGGCAGCAGAGGAAGACCCTAGCACCCAGCTGGGAGACCAAGGCTTCTGGCTTCAGATTGACTCAGTTCTGGCCAGCCATTGCAGCCATTTGGGCAATGAACCAGTGTGTAGAAGATCTCTCTCTCTCCTCTAATTCTACCTTTTAAATAAAAATAAAATCTTTAAATTTAAAAAAATATGAAATATGGATGGTTAAAGGCCACATATCTCCATTTTCTACTTTTTAAATTTTAATTATAATTTACATGATAAAAGGAGCATCTGGGAGTTTTTAGTTGATATAACCTAAATCTGAGTAAACACTCAGAGTACTGAAAAAGCTTATTTGATTAACTCCAAAGTTTTTGATTCTGCAGGTTTTTTTTTTAAAATGTACTTATTTATGCAAAAAGCAGAGTTACAGAAAGAAAGGGAGAGACCAAGAGAAATCTTCCATCTGCAAGTACAATCCCCAGTGGCTGCACCAGCCAGGGCTGGACTAGGCCAAGCCAGGAGCCTGGAATTCCATCCAGGTCTGCGCATGGGTAGCAGAGTCCCAGGTATTTGGATCATTTTCCACTGCTTTCCCAGGTGTATTATCAGGGAGCTGGACCAGAAATGAAGCAGTCAGGACACAAACCAACCTTCAAATGGAATGCTAGCATTGCAGGCATCATCTTAACCAGCAGTACCGTGCCAGCACCTTGTTCTGTGAATATTTCAATGACATTTATTCATTTATTTCAAAGTTCCCTGACTAGTATATTTATTGCTTAGTTTAAGTCTTTATAGGTGTCCCTAAATATAGTTTGGTTGTACCTCATGGGTTAGGACAATCACTGACAAACGAGAATGTATACCAGCAAAGATGGGGAAAGGAAGTCAGTGCTATTGAAGAGGAAAAGAAGGAAGGCATTCAAAGATGTTAAAGAAGATAACTGTCTTCAGAGCGCTGAGGAAGTGGTACCTGGAAGCATAGTTGCATGTGCACAAGGACCATGGCATTGGAGGGTGCAGCAGATGCTTATTATGGCTCTACTCTAAAACCATTCTGACAGGGGTTCTCTGAACCTGCTAGGCCGCTGTCAGGATGTTCCTGTGCATGGAGCTGCAGGTGCTCCCTCAGAGGCTCCAGGCCCCTGATGCTTACTCTGTTCAAACCTCTGAAGCCTGAGGCGTCTGTCCTGTCCTGGGGCCAGACAGTGGGACTCATTGCAACCAGGTGTCAGGACAAGGAACCACAAACTGGTTACTGATTTACAGGCAAATATCATTAATATTTGATATAAAGCTCTAGTTGTAGGTTTGGGTCAAAGCTGGTGAAAGGTGAAAAGAAAGTTTTAAAATGCAAATTAAGTCCAAAGTAGTTCGGTCTTTAACTCAAAGCCAATACAACATTCGCTGCTTTTGAACTGGAAAGGAGGAAAAAGAAACTTTAAAGCATGTTATTAAATCTGCTTTTGGCAACAGTTAAACAGAAAACTTCAAAAATTATGAGAAATTCTAGCAGAGAACGGCCGCTGCTGCTGCTTGCAGGTGGCCCGCTGTGTTTAGGATTAAGTGGAATACATTTCTCCTATTTAAAGCTACATAGCCCTGTCTCTGTGTGCTTAGTCCTTCAAAGAGTCTTTGAAACACTAGGAAACACAACACAAGTGATCCTTCAGCTACTGCTTTCTAAAGTAACATATCAGAAAGAAAATCTATGAAAATACTTTGTATTTTTCCTGTCCCTCTCAAGAGTGTTGTGGGCTTAGAATTTCTGGAGATGAACATTGGTCACATTAACTGACATTGCAGATTTAGGATTTCCACAACGTTATTTGCTTCTCCTTCGTGGTTCAAAAATCCAGTAGGGTAAATCTTCTCCATCCTTGTTCATCTATGTAACTGCCATTGATAAATCCTTGAGCATGACAATGGAAACCTTTGCTTGGGTTGGCATCGGGAAGATGGGGCAGGCATTTCATCTGATCTTAAGTTTATGTGTGCCTCTTCCAGGCTTCCAGAGACCTGCACCTGCTGGTTATAATTAGTGGTGCTTCTGGCCTCTGATTTTTATCACCAGGGGTGTCAGAGTCATCCACCCAGATTGATCTTGAGAGCAAAAAGAGCTGCAGCTATTTAGGTTCTCAGAGGAGCACTTCCTGATGCTGTTTTCTTCTTTAAATCCTTTGGATGTTTTTCATTCTGCAGATGCTGAATTTGTGTGTGAACGGACACTGAAATATTTTCTGGGAATTGCAGGAGGAAAATGGATAGTTAGCTATTTCTGTAAGTACAATACAGTTTCTTCCCTTCTCCCTTTAACACTTCTGAATTACGTTCTTGCACCTAACATTTTAACACGTAAGGTTTTTGCTGTTGCCGATTCTGAATTACCAAAAGGTCTTTAATGGTGCCACAAAGCTAGCTTTATCGTTCCTGCACATCACTTTGTTCAGATAAGCTGGTGATGTTGGGGAAATGGATTTCTTTTATAACTAATAGGACCTAATCTGCTCCTAGCAATGTTAGCATATGAACTAAGAGATTGCTTAATAGTGAGCAGAAATATGTGTACAGTCAACAATTTTATAATGTTTAAATTAAGCATTGAATCTCTGCCACAGCTGTATTAAAGAACTGTGGCTTTAGAGGGAGAAGAGTTACCAATTCTTCCCACACTTTTGAGCTCTATTTCCTTAAAAAGTGCTTGTGCTTCTGCTCTTTGTGACCTGTTTTTTCTGCGGTCTCTTCAGGGGTGATCCAGTCTATGAAAGAAAGAAAGATGCTGCATGAGGTGGGTACTTGATCTTGCTAACTAATCAGACACTTGATGCCACTGAGACAACTAGTCAAAAACAAAACTTACCAACTTCCTTTCCTCGATAAACCACTCTCCCCGAATTTTCCTTGAGTCTGGAGATTATCAAGACATTCTCTGTCATTATTAACTTGTTCCAGATTTCAAAAGAGTCCTTTCCTGGAGGTGAAGGAAAGGAACTTACCAAGCAGAGGAAAGATTGCTGGAGAGAAGATACATATGTGCATCTTCTGAAAAACTGTTCACTGTTGCTGGAAGAAAAGTCCTGCATATCAACATACAAATGTATCTGTTTAGAAATCAGATTTCTTGAGAGATGTTGCTCTTTATGATGCTGAGAACAGTGAGAGGTAAATAAGACAGAGTGTAGGAGGAGGAATAATTTTAGAACAGCCATCTAAGAGCTGCTGGAAGCAAGAGGTAGACAAAATAAAATTAGCAACCTTTCAGTGTGTATTTGTAAATAATTAAATGGCATTTTGTTGGTTTGAACTTTCATTTAGTGACTGTTTGGAGGAGCCTGTTTTTTTCCAGGCCTTAGAAATATGACAGTACACAGGCCCTGCACAATACTGTAGTGGTTTAAGTCGTCACCTTGCACACGCTGGGATCCCATATGGTCGCCGGTTCTAATCCCGGCAATCCTGCTTCCCATCCAGCTCTCTGCTTGTGGCCTGGGAAAGCAGTTGAGGACGGCCCAAAGCTTTGGGACCCTGCACCCGCATAGGAGACCCGGAGGAACTCCTAGCTCAGCTCCAGCTGTTGCGGTCTCTTGGGGAGTGAACCATCAGTCTTCCTCTTTATATCCGCCTTTCCAGTAAAAATAAATAAATCTTTAAAAAAAGAAATGACAGTACAATAAACAACACTGACCAAATCCCAGCTACGGTAGGATTCTGGTAGAGATACACACAAAAAATAAACATAAATTTAAGACATCAATAAATACTATGAAAAAAACATGTAAAACAGGTTAACAAATGTCTGGGAACTAAGACTGAGTAGTTGAGGAGAGCAAGGAAGACCTTTGTGCAAAGACTGATCTGAAATCGAAATGACAAAACGAAGGAATGACAGCAAGCAAGAAGGTCTCGAGGGAGGACAGAGCTGGCTTATTAAAGAAAAACAGACCAGTGAAGCTGGAGACTGGTGATTGGTGAATCACATGCAGGGATTAGGGCTGAGACAAGAGGTGGAAGAAAGTCATGGACAAAAGCCAGATCAGGAAGGAGTTGGTGTGAGCTCTGGCAATGAATTCAAATTTTATTCTCATAGTCATTAAGGTGTTAAAAATTATAGGCAGATGATGGCTCAGGAGTTTTGGGAAATGGGACTTGGTAATGGATTACAGGTGGAGGCTGAAGGAAAGAGAAGACCAAGAGGTGATTCTGTTTGGACTTTGGGCTGAACACGGGTGTGTGTGGGTAACAGGAAGTGAGATGAGAAGACGGGGAAGGAACTGATGGGGTGCAACAGACTCCAGACCTGTTAGATGAGGAAATTTTGAAATTTATGCCAAATACCTGGGTAAGAGAGGTGAAGTAGAAAGTGGGACACGTGAAGCCCAGGCGTGCATTCAGTACAATAAATGGGAAAGTCATCCTCAAATAAGTGATAACCTTATCAATAGAAAATGTTTGAGGTGTTTTTTTCATTTTAGTTGTAGGCTGTGATTACATGATTGCTTTTAATTTTTCTTTTCTTACTCTTGGTAGCACATGCAGTCTTCTCTGTTTATCGAAGTTTCACAGAATTATTTCTAAGCATTCTTCCTGATTGCTCCTGAAAACTTTTTCCTCCCCAGTTCCATTATTCTTGATTCTCTGTCCTTCAGTCAAAAAAAAATAGTAATTCTGAAAACTTTCTTCAGTGAATTAAATGTATATTTTGTCATTTGGCTTCATTAACTTTGTGAATATCTCAATGGAAAGCCAAAAAAGCTCTTATTTCTTTGGATGGTAATATACAATTCATTTAAGAGATCCAGGAATTCTCTGGTTATCTCTATAACAGCATAAGCTTAGCAGTTCAATCTAAATGCTAAGTGAATGTTTTGAGAGGAGATAGATGTTTGAAATTAAAATAAAGGGCCTAGCACAATAGCCTAGCGACTACAGTCCTCGCCTAGCACATGCCAGGATCCCATTTGGGCACAGGTTCTAATTCCTATATGGGCACCAGTTCTTATCCTGGCAGCTCCAGTTCCCATCCAGCTCCCTGCCTGTGGCCTGGGAAAGCAGTTGAGGGTGGCACAAAGCCTTGGGACCCTGCACCCACAAGGGAGACCTGGAAGAAGCTCCTAGCTCCAGATCAGCTCAGCTCTGGCCATTGCGGCCACATGGAGAGTGAATCAACAGACGAAGATCTTCCTCTCTGTCTCTCCTCTCAATATATCTGACTTTCCAATAAGAAATAAGTAAATCTTAACAAAAAATAAAGAAATTAAAATACAGGAAGCCCCAGTGAGAAGAGCTGGCTGTTAGTTTCTACACACAAAGATGTACTCAAGCAAATTGATTTCAGATCCGCTCATTTCACCCAGCCCGGCAAAAAAGAATGATTTTATTTATTTTTGATCAAAACTCTGGTGATTCTAAATACCTTAAATACAATGTGTCTGTTCCATTTCCACTGAAGGAGGCTTCTCTTTGGCTTTCTTTCAGCATGGCTTTGAGGTCAGAGGAGATGTAATCAATGGAAGAAACCACCAAGGTCCAAAGCGAGCGAGAGAATCCCGGGACAGAAAGGTGAGATTCCCCTTTTCCTGTTGGGAAAAAACAAACACCATTTTGTATCCCAGCCCCATTCCCAGAGATGGTCTCCAACTTTCATCCAACACTGCATGCGCACTCAGCATGACCTAGGCGTGTTTGCAGAGGGGTTTAGGATCATTGTTTCCTGTTGCTCCCAGCCTAACCAGGTACGTAAATAGTGTCTACGAGAGAACTTGGAGGTTTAGAGAAGGTGTATAATTTAGAGCCTGCTCTGGAGTACAGGTGTCAGGTGATCAGTGACAGAGATAGGATTTTTTTTAAAGAATTATTTGTTGTTTTTATTTTCTCAGGTTTCTTTTTTCTTATTTTTTTTTTCTTTTTAAATGATCTATACATAGTTAATTAAGGCTCAAAGGGTCAAGGGCTACAGGAAAGACTTTTTTTTATATAAGATTTATTTATTTTCATTGGGAACGCAGATATAGATAGGAGGAGAAACAGGAAGATCTTCCTCGACTGGCTTTCCAAGGCCACAACAGGGAGCTGGATGGGAAGTGTAGCTGCTGGGATTCGAACTGGCGCCCATATGAGATCCTGGCACGTCTAGGTGAGGACTTTAGCTGCTAGGCCATTGCACTGGGCTCAGATTCATTTATTCTTTATTGGAAAGTCAGATATACAGAGAGGAGGACAGACAGAGAAGATCTTCCATCCACTGATTCCTTCTCCACGTGGTTGTAACGGCTGGAGCTGAGCTGATCTGGAGCCAGGAACTTCCTCTGGGCGTCAGATGTGGGTGCAGGGTCCCAAGGCTTTGGGCCATCCTCTACTGCTTTCCCAGGCCACAAGCAGGGAGCTGGATGGGAAATGGAGTGGTAGAATGTGAACCAGTGCCCATATGGCATCCTGGTATCTGCAAGGTGAGGGATTTTAGCCACTGGGCTACCATACCAGGCCCAGAGCTAGGATTTTTAATTATGTTTATTTATTTGAAACAAAGCTCTCTAATCCACTGGTTCACTCCTGCAATTCCTATAACAACCACAGCTGGAATAGGCTGATCCAGGAGCTGAGAACTTAATCTGGGTCTCCCATGTGGTATGGGTACCCAGTCACCTCAGTCATGTCATGCTTTGTGTTGGCGCATATTAGCAGAAATCTGGAAATCTGGAAGCACAGTAGCTGGGATTTGAACCCGGCACACTCAAGTGGCAAACTGAGACACTGCCAAGCACCCCTGCCAGAGCTGGGATTTTAAACAGATGTGAATGTTTACAAGCCTTGCTCTTTCCCCCGGTGTCTGTCTCTGAAGTAACATGATAATAATCAATAGCGGCTGCTATTTATCTAATGTTCGCTACACGCCAGGGACTACTTTAAGCACTCAACCATCCTTGACGTGATTGACAGTTTCATAACCACCCTATGCGGTTTACTGTAATTACGCCTGTTACACAGATGAGAAAATTGAGATACAGACAGATTGCCCAGAATCACAGTTTGTGATAGAACTAGAAGTTGAATCCAAGCAGTATAGTTCCAAATCTAATCTCTATTTTATTTATTTTGATTTTATGTCAAAGGCAGCAAAGGAGAAGAGAGAGACCTGTCATCTAGCTACTTGTTCATTCCCCCAAAGGCCTGTAGCAGCCAGGGCTGGGCCACACTGAAGCCAGACATCCATCACTCAGTCTGGGTCTCCTGTGTGGATGGCAGGGACCCAGGTACCAGAGCCGTCCTCCGCTCTCTCCCAGATCTGCATTAGCAGGCAGCTGGACGGGGAGCAGAGCTGTCATAACTACTGCACCAAAATCCCACCCCCAAGTCTGAATGAAAGTGTCATGTTTTCTGGAAGGATTACAGAATGCATCACATTGGAGAAAATTTGATTAGTTTGCTAGCTTTGCAAGTGATCCCAAAAAACTCCATGACTTTCCCCATATCATAGGTAGAAGATGATGTCGCCAGAACCTCCTCTCAGTGGTTAAAGCTATCCCAGAGTTCCCCCTGCTTGTTGAGGGGAGCTGGTTGCTTTCTCAGGTTACTGACCAAATGCTTATGCTCCAAGTCTGGTTTTTTTCTCCCTTTTCTAAGTGCACTGCTGGGTGTTTTCAGAATATGCTTACAGAACAGCTGTCTCTACTGAAGCCTTAGAGGGAACCACCAGAGGTGGTTTTGGAGATGATTACAAATCAAGTCCAGAGTTCTGAACCCTTAGTGTCAGTCCAGCCTTGCCCTCTGAGCCTATCCAATAACTGTTCCAGATGGCGAGAAAAGCTGTGTGCCCTATTTCATTCCTGCCTTCACCAGGGGAGCTCCGTGGAAGCAGCTTTTACTCCGCTGCATACAAGATAGAAGCAACCCCAGATTGCTCCCCTTTTCAAAGGGAATTCTAGTGCTTTGGGATTTTTTGGTTCCACCTACCCACCCACCTGTGCTTTCAGTATTGTAATGAGGCAAAGTGCCTGATAAAAGCAATGACATTTTGAAGATCCTAAATGTTCCCATGGGGCCCTGGTGTCTTGATGTAGTAGATGAAGCCACTGTTTGTGATGTTGCATCCCATATGGGTATCAGTGCATGTTCCAGCTGTCCCAGCTCTAGCCAGCTCCCAGGTAATGGCCTGGAAAAGGCTGTGGAACATAGTTCAAATGCTTAGGTCCCTACCACCCATATGACACCCAGAAAAAGCTGTGGGCTCTGGCTTCAGCTCTGTCCAGCCCTGGTCATTGCCACCATCTGGGAAGTGACCTAGAAGGTGGAAGATCTCTTTCTGTCTCTCTCCCTTTGAGTAAGTCTTTCAAATAAATCTTTTAAAGAAAATGATGAGCGCTCAGCACAGTAGCCCCATGGCCAAAGTATTTGCCTTAAATGCACCAGTATCCCATATGGGTGCTGGCTTGTGTCCCATTGGCCCTGCTTCCCATCCAGCTCCCTTATTGTAGCCTGGGAAAGCAGTAGAGGACGGCGCAAAGCCTAGGGATTCTGCATCCGCATAGGAGACCCAGAAGAAGTTCCTGGCTCCTGACCTCAGATTGGCTCAGCTCCAGCGGTTGTGGCCACTTGATGAATCAGTGGATGGAAGATCTTCCTCTCTGTTTTTCCTTCTCTCTGTATATCTGCCTTTCCAATAAAAACAATTTTAAAAAATTATGAAGCAAATGGGGCAAACTCTGAACTTATGATGGAGCTGAATAAAAGTCATGTAGGATTTCTTTAGGAAAGAAAAAAAAGAGTGAAAGAAATAACACCATAGAATTTGCTCTGGAAGAAAAAATGTGTTTGTAGAAGTGAAACCTCAACCTTGTCTTGGAGGCCAGTGTCGTGTTATTATAGACTAAGCCTCTACCTGTGATTCTCCAGCCCTTAATAAGGGTGCTCGCTGTTTGAATCTTGGCTGCTTCACTTCCAATCCACCTCCCTTTAATGCTGCTGGGAAAGGAGCAGAAAATGGCCCAAGTGTTTGGGCCCCTGCCCCCATGGGAGAGACTCGGAAGCTCCAGTTTCTGGCTTTGACCTGGCTCATTCCTGGTCACTGTGGCCATATGTGGAGTGAAGCAGAGGATGGAAGAACTGTCTCTCTTTATATCCTCCTCTCTTTAAATCTGCCTTTCAAAAAATAAAAGATCTTCAGGTGGAGGGGACTTATCTCATGACCAAAGACCCTCATTCTTGTCAGTCTGGATGTCACAGTTTCTGATCTCTGCCTTATGGCAGCTGGTAACTGCAACTGGCTGCCTGTATGGCAAGCACTGAGGTCCTATCCACAAGTTGGATTTTTAGCATCCACTTTCAGGTAGTGAGAAAGTCACAGGTAGCAGTTGTCGCTGTAAGCAGAAGCAGACTTGTCTAGCTGTCCTTTCATTTCTTCTGGCTAAACATGATTGGGAATAATATTGCTTAAGCGACCATTCCTGGTTTTAGCTTCCTGGTGTTCTCTGGCCCGGTCTCTTTTGAAACTAGGTGAATTCTAGGTAGACAGTTTTCTCTTTAGTGGAATAGTAAGAAAGAAAGATCCAGAGCTTAAAAGTAACTCAAAATGATATTAAAATATCCCAATCCAGTTGGCATAAATTTAGGTTTTTTTTCTATTTCAGAGAGGCAGGCAGAGCCTGTGTTCACTTGTTCACCCAAGTGTTCACTTGTTCACTTGGATAAAATATCTCATTCCCTGTTGCTTTACCTTTCAAATCCTCTTTTTAAGATATTTCAATTATGTGATTCAATTTCTCGCCCTAACTGCATTGTCAAGTGTACAAGAACACATGTCTCTTGGCTATGTATTAGTGTAGATACAGAACATTTCCACCATCACAGAGAGTTCGCTGGCACATCGCTGCTGGGCACTGTGGATGGAAAAGGCCTCTAAGAGGTGCCATGTGATTTGATTTCTTCAGGACACCAGACCCTGGGATCCGCTCAGTGCGCAGAGCCAAACCAGGTTTCCCTTGTAGAATACAAACTGCTTAAGTGCCCAAAGATGCAATGACTATTCTTGGAACAGTGTGAAGGAAGGATAAGGTGTTGGGAGGACCAGAGGGAAAAGAGAAAAAGGAAAGATGGTTCATGTACACAAAGTAAGGACCAGGAGTTTTTTGTTGTTTTGTTTTGTCTTTTCCTCCCTCTGGTACCTAAAGAAATAAAATCACTCACCAAGTCCTCAGAAAAGAGCCGGGGCCTGGCTGGGGGAACGAAGTAGGGTCCTCAGCCTTTGGATAACACGACTGCCGAGTATGGAGCACCTCTGAAAAGCAGCCATGTTCTGTCTCTGGGAAGTGATGGAAGTTTTCAAGTGGTAAAAGTTACTGCTTCTGGAGAATTTTTTTATATGTTTTGTGAAAGTCTTATAACTCATGTTTATTTTTCTATTCCCAATGCCTTTTCTCTCCCACCCCTCTAGATCTTCAAGGGCTTCGAAATCTGTTGCTACGGGCCCTTTACCAACATGCCCACAGGTAAGGGCCAAGGGAATTTCAGGGTTCCAGACCCACTGTCTATCACATAGTGGGATGTTAATAGGGAGATCCGCTTATGGAGCTTCCTCAGATGGATGGGATTTTGCAAGATTTTATTCCAGACGCTATTCCTCACTTCTCCAGAGTAGCACCTAAAGGTTACCCTCTGGCAAAAGGCTGGATTGTGCCGCTCCTCATGAGCATGAGGGTGGTGACAAGTTGAGCTCCAGGACTCAATATGTTCTCAACTCAGACAGGGTAGAGCTCCTATCCCAAGATAGCAGGGATAATTAATTAGGGAGATTGTTTCTTAGGTTCTGGAAACCTGGAGAAAGCACTTTATCTCTTCCTGATCCATCTTATAACAGAAAGAAGATGCAGCAGCCTAAGCCCCAAGGTCTGGAGCTCTCAGGCTCAGAGCAGGGAGGGACTCCTGGTGAACATTTTCTAGTTAACTTTGACATTGACTGCGATTTTGTGTTTAGGCTGGCTGCAGGGCTCAGCTCTGGGAGGTGTGCAGCAGCACCAAAGCCCTGGGGTGTTCCCCTTTGCAGCTGTGTCATTCCTGCCCCAGGCACTGGGAGTGCTCCTCAAAGGAAGGCCTTAGCATCTGCTCACAGATTTGAATGGCAGCCAGGCAGCCTGACAATGTCATTTTGCTTCTGTCTTCCTGAATGGTGGTTGACGGACTTTCATGACATTTCCCGGTGTGGCTCAAACAGATTCCTCACAGTGAATTGGCACTTTGCTGACATGAAAACCAAGATGTCTAACAAGTATCACTTAAGGGATGAATGATTCACCCCCAGTACAGTAAGGCAGAGGAGCAGTGCCCAGAAGTGGGCTGATGGGAAGGAACAACTTACACGGATGCCTTCAGGGAAGATATCCCACGGAGATGTCCCAGAGGACATGGTGCCATCTCCACAATCCCTTCTGTCTGATCCCTGTTCCCTAGGGTGCTGATCCAGCTCAGCACGTACCCCTCCACCACCACCACCCTTTTTTTTAACGGAATGAACTATCTTTCTATCTCCTGACATTCACTGTAATTACCACCCAGGATGGAGCTTCCACTGGCTGTGGTTACCAGTGACCAACACAGAATTAGGATGCAAGGAGGGAAGGTGGGTATTTTTTTCACACAGTGTCTTAGCCAGTAATTTAGCAACTTAATGGCAAAAAAAAAAAATTCAGTGTGATTTAAAAGACCGTCAGATCTTATCTAGCAGTTGGTCCTACAGAGACTGCAAAGGAGAAGTGACTGCCCATCAGTAGCAGGCCAAGGGAGGCCTCAGTTCAGACCCTTCTGTCCTTTGGAGCAGAGTGGCAGGGACTCTCATCCTGAAAAGTCTTGCTTTTGGCTTCCACCCAGTCGAGTATGGGGTTAGAAGGCTCAGGTTAAGTATGCAAATCACCATGGTGATTTCAGGTCTTCATGTTCCATTTAGATCAACTGGAGTGGATGGTGCAGCTCTGTGGTGCGTCTGTGGTGAAGGAACCTACGTCATTCACTGTAGGCACAGTGAGTGTTTGATGCCCTTTCGGGGGTGAGACATAGGATCCTCTCCTGGGGCTGGACAGGGTTGCACTCATCAGTCCCATCATTCCCTCAGGGGAGCCTCAGGAGCCTTTTCTGCCCATACACGGGGCCAGAAGACTAGAGGCGCAAGGAAGGACAAGGAAACCAGAAGTATTTGATGTCCTAAGGAAAGACTGTTCTCTGTTCCCTCCAGGGGATGCAGGATTCCCACCCAGTTGTGGTCGTGCAGCCAGATGCCTGGGCAGAGGACGATGGCTTCCTCGGTAAGATGGCTGTGGGACCCACGTGTGGTGGGAGCCTGGTGGGCGGCTTTGGTTGGCCACTCACTTTGCAGCGCTTGAGAAGTGCCATTCTCTGCAAACTGAACATCTATCAGATGAATGAACAGCTAAAAATGCCTTTTTAAATTTTCTCATTGTTTGGAAAAGTAATGAGTGTTCCCACTAAACTAGTGTTATGTTGGTTTTTATTTGCCAAACTTCTTATTCATATCTACAAAACAGGTTGAATCTTACAAAGTAATGAAAATTAGCTTAAAAATTACCCAAAAGGGCCCCAGCACAGTACCCTAGTGGCTAAAGTCCTCACCTTGCATGCTCCAGGATCCCATATGGGCACCAATTTGTGTCCTGACTACTTTACTTCCTATCCAGCTCCCTGCTTGAGGCCTGGGAAAGTAGTCGAGGACGGCCCAAAGCCTTGGGACCCTGCACCTGTGTGAGAGACCTAGGGGAAGCTCCTGGCTGTTAGTTTCAGATAGGCTCGACTCCAGCCATTTCAGCCACTCGGGGAGTGAATCAGCAAATAGAAGATCTTTCTCTTTGTTTCTCCTTCTCTCTAAATCTGACCTTCCAATAAAAATAAATATATTTTTTAAATTATCCAAAAAAAGAAGCATATAAAATACTATACTATCATACATTTTAGCTATATAGACATTTATTTTATTAATTTAAAAAGTAATGAAAGTAATGCATAACTTTTTCCATGGAGTATTAAATATAAATATTCATTATAAAGATAAACCACAAAAATAATAAAATAATCCTAGTAATCCAACCACTTAGAAATAATCGTAAAATTCTCTCAGGAACTTATATATATATATATATATATATATATACACATGTGTATTTTGCACAAATGTCATGTTCATTATACTGTTTTCCTTTCTCACTTGAGGTGGTTTTCTGCATCATTAAGTTGCAATACTGTTTCACTCCGGTGGCTTTTCCTTTAACAGATTGAAGTTCATGTTAAAGCCATTGCCAAAGGCTGTGGGCCTTCCTCAGCAGCTGCTCCTCGGGGTTCTGAGTCAGGGCCTGCACCCTGCAGCACTGCTCAAGAGCCATCATTTGGCTCCGTCCTGATTCACCCTGAGAATTTATATAACCGGGTCCCCAGAATAGATTGCTTTAGAACCTCATCTGGGAAAATGTAAATTAACACTAAACTCTGCTTGTGTTCCCCGTCCCCAGCCATCGGGCAGATGTGTGCGGCCCCCGTGGTGACCAGAGAGTGGGTGTTGGACAGCGTAGCCCTCTACCAGTGCCAGGAGCTGGAGTCTTACCTGATACCGCAGCGCCACCACAGCCACTGCTGAGTGCAGCCAGCCACGTGCCTGGAGCTGCAGGACCCCAAGGCAAAGCTGAAGAAGTGTCCTCTCAAGGCCCCAGCAGCCCCTCACTCTTCAGTCTGTCCACAGTCCCTGTTCGTAAATATTTTATGTACATCAGTCTGAAAAGGACTTCTGGCTATGCAAGGGTCCCTTAAAGATTCTCTGCTTCAAATCTCTCTTTGAAATCTGCCATGAACACAAAATTGTGGTAATTTTTCACCTGAGAAGAATTTAAGACCATTTAAGCCCCACCAGTTCAGCAAGATGCTGATTCATTATTTATGAACCTGCCTCCTACTGCTACTGCTGGCAGTGGGGGGCTGGAGGCACAGAGTGGCTTGGCCTCTCAAGATTGGTTTTCCTGTCTGGCCAAAGCTTTGGTTTCCTTCAGGCCAAGAATTCAACCCTGCGATGGGAGAAGAGTGCTTAGGATCTGTGATGTGACGTCCAATTTGGACTGCTCTGAAATGTTGGAATGGAATGGGGAGGAAATTGAGAGGCAGGTAATGGATATGTACGTGAAACTGGAGGGTTAATTAGAGGCAAGTTCCTTTCTGAAGACTGCTCAGAAACAGCCGAACACCTTAAAGCACCAGCGTCCAAAGACAGTCTTCCAACTGGTAATAAAGAAAATGTTTATTGTTGTAGCTCTAGAATGTAACTCACTCCCCTGAAGATGCAAGGTCTCTGATATGAATATTTCATGTCTGTAAAATGACAGATCCCACCAGGAAAGGAGCTGTTGCCTTGTTTGAGGTAATTTTTTTCCCTTTTTCTCCCTGTTGCTGAACTGCAACAGCTTCATAAATAATTTTGCTTGCTGAAGGAAGAGAAAGTGTTTTTCATAAACTCATTATCCAGGACTGTTTATAGCTGTTGCATGGACTGGGACTTTTCCTGCACCCCCGTGTGGAAGGGCATTGCAGCCTTCATTGTGCAAAATCTGTTCTGTAACTGTTGGTGCTGCAAATAAACAAGGCAGCAAATACTTCCACCCAAGGTGAGTGTTGTTGAGACACCTGCAGACACTTCCGGCCTCTTCACTGTGCTTCAGCCATGGGGGTAAAACAGGTTCGGCTTCCCAGGGCAGCTGAGGCAGTCAATACCTTTTGTGTTTTCTGTTACTGCCCTAACAAATGTTCTAGAATGTAGGGACTTGTTGTTTCACAGTTCTGTAATTCAGAAGTCTGAGACGGCTCAGCTGGTTTCTTTGCTTCAGGTTTTGTGAGGCTAAAACCAAGGTGTGCCAAGGGTTGTGTGCCTTCCTGGAGGCCCCGGGAGTATATCTGCTCCCAAGTGTTCACATCCTTGGACCAATTGTTCCCCACAGATGTAGGGCAGAGATCACTGCCTCCTTGCTAGCTGCTGGAGGGAGGCATACTCAGCCTCCAGAGCCCACTGCCCTGGGCTCCTCGCCACCCTGCCCCTGTCTCCATCTGTGCAGCAGCGAGGGTGCTCAAGTTTTCTCCCCTGGGAGCCCCTGACTGCCGAGCCCCTCCAACCCTTGCCCACAGGCATTCGGTTTTTTTCAGGTGTCAGAATTAGATGCACCCAACAGGAAATCAGGGGTAACCTCCTGATCATAAGGATCCACAGCCTTAATTATAACTGCCACAACCCTTCAGAGGAGTGCTTAGACAGAGGACAGCCATCAGGGGGAGCTGTGGAATTCTGCCTGTCCCTGTTTAACATGTGAAATTGACAGCACCATGCAGCATGTTCTGAGCCTCATACTGCTCCAGGATTGGAATCCTCTGAAATCGCCACGTGACTCAGGTCTGTTCTATTTTCAAGGGAGTGTTGAGAGAAGAGTAGAGGAAAAGGAGCTAACAGCCATTGTTACTTTTTTTAATCTCCATCTTCATTAAAGTCTAGTACAATGCAATGGGTAAGTGTCACTTCATTTGAAAGATGGGAACTGAAGCTCTCAAGTTTCCTTGTGCGATTTTGCCAGCAATTTGTATAGTTACTGCCTGACGGCATGGAGCTGTGTGTGAACCTGTCCTCCTGACCCATCATACAGCTGCCACCTGCACTGGTCACTAACCCCAGGACAGAAGATTTTGGATGAAGCCTTAAGGAAATTTTGGGAGAGCAGCTAATACTCCCTTTATGGGTCATGATGGGAGACCATAAAAACAGCCCCATAGAAGGAGACTTAAGGGATTGGGTCATGGCCACTGCTTCCACTCCCATCCAACCTGCCAGCTTCTGATGGCAGTATCTTTGAGCAGTCAGAGCCTTCCAGTTAACAGCCTTCCCTGTAACAGGGCCTCTTGGGCTCACGCCAGCCTTGTCAGCTGGCCAGGGAGCCAGTGGTGCCCGTGTTAGCAATGAAGGCAGGCAGGAAGCAAGCACAGTGCTGCTGACCCAGTCCTCTGTCCCAGCAGCTCATTTCCAATGACTAGTCAGTTTCCTAGGCCTGGGTGAGCGAGGCCAGGCCTCACCCCACTCCTCCCACCCCTGCCACCAATGGTTAGTAGAAAACAACATCTATCTATTTCGGGAATCCTAGGTAAAAGTAAAGATGAGCTAAAAGATTTTCTGTAGGAGCTGATATTGTGGCACAGTGCATGCCTGAAGCCACTGCCTGCGATGCTGATATTGCATGAGAGCTGGTTTTTGAGTCCTGGTGGCTCCACTTTCAGTCCAGCACACTGCCAAAGTGTCCAAGAAAGCAGCAGAAGATGGCTCAAGTGGTTGGACCCATTGTACCCACTTGAAACCTGGATGAAGTTCCTTCTGTCTGGCTCAGCCTTGGCCTTTGTGGCCATTTGGGGAATGAACCAGCAAATGAAAAATCTCTCCCTCTCTGTAACTCTGCCTTTCAAATAGTTGTTTGCAATTGTGTCTCAAGATCTCAACAAATATATATCCTTTTTGTCCCAATTTCTGGTTTATGTCTGATGATGGAGTAAATCTACTCACTCATTCCTTTGACCTCTGATTTTTTTTTAAAGATTTTTTTTTTTTTTTTTTTTTGCAAAGTCACATATACAGAGAGGAAGATCTTCCATCTGATGGTTCACTCCACAAGCGGCTGCAATGGCCAGAGGTGAGCGGATCCAAAACCAGGAGCCTGAAGCTTCTTCCAGGTTTCCAAAGTGGGTGCAGAGTCCTCGACTGCTTTCCCAGGCCGCAAGCAGGGAGCTGGATGGGAAGTGGGCCGCCAGGAACTGGGGCTCATATGGGATCCTGGTGTGTGCAAGGTGAGGACTTAAGCCACTAGGCTACCGCCCCAGGCCTCTGACCTCTGATTTTAAGATGTCCTCCCATTTTTCCACCCCACATTCTGAGCTCTCTATGGATACAGCAGACTTGCACACTCCTTCCTTTACTACCTTTATTTCATTTCACAAAATGAATTTTTGCAGGGGGTGGGGGAGAAAGGATTATGGTGTAAGTACAGGGAGGAGGCCTGGGGAAGAACTCAAACAGATTATCTCCTTCCTAAAAAATGCAACTGGAATCAACAAAGTATCAGCTTATAAAAGCAGGAGAAAAAGAAAGGAATCAATGTTGGGGTGGTTGGAGCGGAAGGAACCAAACTGCCCAGAGTGTATCCTGTGTAAGCTGCAAGAAACAGATAAAGGCAGCCCCACTGCCGCCCACAGAGACATGCAGGGTTGGGAGAGGTGCAAATCCACCCAGAGGAACCCAAGACAAAATGGGGCCTGCTGCCCAGGGAATGCAGACGCACCTTTATCAGCAGCTGTAGAATGGCTGAGCCAGAGGCCTCACCGTGCCCCAGTGATGCTTGGCACCCTCAGACATCCTGTAAATTTGTCCATAACGAGAACATTAAAGAACTGAATCTGGACAAATAGAAAAGAGAACTGTTAGCAGTCAGCTCCTGCAGAGAGCAGGAATCTGGAGAGCGGGGCTGATGCCATGGCGTAGCATGCCAAGCCTGTGGCTGTAGTACCAGCATCATATACAGGGGCACTGCTTCAAGTGCCAACTGCTCCACTTCTGATTCCAGCTCCCTGCTAATGGCCTAGGAAAGCTTAAGTGCTTGAGCCTCTCTACCCATGTAGGAGACTCAGAGGAAACTCCTAGCTTTGGTCTAGCCCAGTCTAGCCACTGCAACCTTTTAGGGAATGAACCAGCAGATGGAAGACCTCTTGCCTCTCTGTTAACTCTGTCTTTCAAACATATAAATAAATCTTTATTAAAAACTTTGGAGACCTCAACTCCAGGACTCAGTGATAGGGCAGGGTACATGGGACCTAGTGGAACAGGAGGCATTGTCTGGTGGAGTGTGAGTAGGCAAGCCTACTAGACATGCAGCTCCTGGATGTGTTGAATCAGAATCCAGCAACCTGTGATTCTGTCAGGCTCAAGTTTGAGAACACCGAGTGTCAAGGGGCTGCTAATTGGTGTAAATGTTAGCTGCAGCTTTTTTTTTTTTTTTTTTTTTTTTTTGGTCTCCAGGAGAGGTAAATCTTGGGCCTCTTAAGGATAAATAAGGTGTGTGAGCTGGTAAGTGGTTCTTATCTACAAGGTTGCTGCAGCTGGCTTTAGTTAACTCCAAAATGGACCTTTAAGCAAATACAAAGCAAAGGACAAAGATTAGATTATATTAGCAACCCAGGAGCAGAAGGGCCAGACTGCTTAAAAAAGAAAAAAAAGAAAAAACAGCTAAAGGTTTAGGAGGTTTTATTAATATTTAAATTGCAGTGTAACCACAGCTGCAGCCTTTGACTCCTGCATAGAGATATGCAAATATAGCTTTCAAGAGCGAGGCAATTTCAGACAGCCCTCAAGGTAACAAGAACAAATAAAACAAATGATTTTGTAATTTATCTTTATTGACTGATGGCAAGCAAGGCAAGAGCAAACCATACTGTGTCAGAGTGAGCTACAGCCCAGCTCTGTGAGAGAACCTGTGTGGGCCTGGAGGGAGAAGGCAGCCAGACCCATAGGTAGCAGAACAGACCCTAGACACCCAGCCATTCGGTGGGTGCGCCGTGTGGCCCTGCCAGCTCACAGGACAGCAGTAACAATCACTAATGACTGTCACTGCCACATGCCTGGGTTCCCCAGGTGCACTGTTCTCCACATTCAAATAAGGAAGGGGATGCTTTGAGAGGGCACGTTACTTGCCCAAGATCTTCCAATAGAAAGAAGAGGCAGAACCCAAACTGAAGCAGGTTCCTGGGAGGCAGTGAGTGACAGGGGAGACCAGCACCCAGACCTGTATGAGAAGATGCATCTCTGGCCTTCAGAGTTCAGTGCTCGCTATCCAGTGGGGGAGCAAGAAAACCGTAAGACCCTTGCAGAATTCCACGTCGGGGGGCTATGCGGTTAGAACAGTCACCGTCTCCTGGAAAGGGACTTGTGGGGTGGGTAGGATTTGGCCAGAGGAAAAGGAAGCCAGGAGATTCTAGAATCCTGGAGCACAGGGTCCAGGGAGGAGTAAGATGGGAGAGTCCCAGAAGGCCATGTTTTTTTTATCCTTTCCCCTACTCAGCTTCCCCAGACCTTCCATTCTAACCCAAACCCAAAAATCCACTGTTTCCTTTCAGGCACCTTGGCCACCAAACTTCTACCTGCTAAGTTCTGATCTGCAGTCTCTACAGGCCCATACCCTTCTCACCCGAGCCTCTCCACCCTCTCCTTCAGGTTTTCGAAGAAAAAAATCATTCCAAACCTAGAATACCGCAGAAATGGGGTGGGTGTTGTGGTGCAGTGAGTAAGCCATTGCTTGGGACACCAGCATCCTATATAGGAGGGCTGCTTTAAATCCCAGCTACTTGGGCCTGGCCCAGTAGCCTGGTGGCTAAAGTCCTACCCTTGCACCATGCCAGGATCCCATATAGTCACTGGTTCTAATCCCAGTGGCCCCATTTCCCATCCAGCTCCCTCTTTGTGGCCTGGGAAAGCAGTTGAGGTCAGCCCAAAGCCTTGGGATCCTGCACCTGCGTGTGGGAGACCGAGAAGAGGCTCTGGGATTCTGGCTTTGGGTTGGCTTAGCTCTGGCCATTGCAGCCA